ATCTTCTTTGAGCTGCTTCCTAGACAACATCAGAACCTTCCCCCGAGGAACGGGGAGTCTGCATGGTGTGTGTCCCCCCACAGCCCACTGGCTGTGTCCATGCTGACTGCAAGGAGCCCAGCGCCCGCCCTGCTCTGGTGGCTTCTCCCTGTCTCCGACCCAGATCACTCGCCAGCTCACTTTCAAGGTAAGAACTCTTTGTAAGATGAACACTCTCCTTTTGTTCTTGATCATGACTCCCATCCTAGAACTCATTTTTTTAAATTATAAAAGCAGTAAATTCACAGATGGGGCATCTTTTGAGTAAGCTAAAGAGCTCATGTTATATACACTGCTCTGCAACTTGCTCCCCTCCCCCAACCCACAATATTGACAACTTTTCTTACACACACACACACACACACACACACACACACACACACACAAATTCACTCCTCCCCCCACCCTTTTATTTTTAGGGTTTAGGCATAAGTGGTTTTTATTATTTGTTTTTAACTTCTTTTTTTTTTTAAAAAAAAATAAATCTTTACTATTCATATTACTCTTCCCCCTTTTTAATGTAAATCACAACTTTCTGAGAGATAGTCTGGCTTGGTGAGGAGAGCTGGACTAGGAGGTTAAATCCTGGTGCCTACTCCCCATCCTTCCTTAAAGTAGCTGCATAACCTTAGGCCAGTGATCCACAAACTCATTAATCAACAGAGCCAAATATCAACAGTACAACGATTAAAATTTCTTTTGAGAGCCAAATTTTTTAAACTTAAACTTCTTCTAATGCCACTTCTTCAAAATAGACTCGCCCAGGCCGTGGTATTTTGTGGAAGAGCCACACTCAAGGGGCCAAAGAGCCACATGTGGCTTGAGAGCCGCAGTTTGCCGACCACGGCCTTCGGGAAACCCCCTAACCCTTCCCTGATTCCAGCCTCATAAAGAAAGGGATGGGGCTGGCCCTGGCTGGGTGGCTCATTGTCCTGTACACCAAAAGGCTTTGGGTTCGATTCCTGGTCAGGGCACATACCTAGGTTGCAGGTTCGATCCTTAGTGGGGGCATGTATAGGAGGCAATGGATGTTTCTCTTCTCTCTGTCTCTCAAATCAATAAACATCCCTGGATGAGGACAGGAAGGAAGGGAAGGAGGGAGGAAGGGTAGGGATTGTTGGGAGAAGAAAACTTTTAGTGCGTGCAGACAAGAAGGTTTAGGCAGATGGGTCTTTCTAATGAAGATGCAAAGGCATCTGCATCCCAAACCCGGGACCCTGTGAATATGGGACCTTCCATGGCAAAAGGACTTTGCAGACATGAGTAAGTTAAGGATCTTGAGAGGAGGAGGTTATTTTAGATTACACAGGTAGGCCCACTGTAACCACAAGGGTCCTTAAAAGATGGATCAGAGCCAAAGGAGCTGATGACAGAAACAAGGTTGGAGTGATGCCGGCCACAAGCCAATGAATGCAGATGGCCCTAAGGCTGGGAAAGGCAAGGGGTGGAGTCTCCTTACAGCCTCAGGAGGAGTGCAGCCCTGCTGGCCCATTTTAGACTCTGACCTCCAGAAATGTAGCAGAATAAACTTATGTAGCTTTAAGCCACTACGTAGAAATGCGTGCAACAGCCATGAGAAACTATTACAAGCTGTAACCTCATGACTCTAAAATGCCTTAGACTCAGGCAAGGAAGCACTTATCAATGGAAGAAGGCAATCAGAAGGGATAAGGAGGTACATCCAGGCAGGAAGCTCTGGAGGAATATGGGCCCTCCCGCTATCGAGCTTGATACAGGCTGGCTTCCCTTTAGACCTGGGCCGGCAAACAGTGGCTTTCAAGCCTCATGCGACTCTTTGGCCCCTTGGGTGTGGCTCTTCCACAAAATATCTCGGCCTGGGCGAGTCTATTTTGAAGAAGTGGCGTTAGAAGTTTAAGTTTAAAACATTTGGCTCTCAAAAGAAATTTCAATCGTCGTACTGTTGATATTTGGCTCTGTTGACTAATGTGTTTGCCGACCACTGGCCTAGACCACCTGCATGAGCCACTTCCTGTATGTAATGTTGTTCCCAGAGGGTCTGATTTGGGGATGAGGGCCCCACAGGAGGATGGTGTCTGAAGGTCAAAGGGATGAGAGGTGAAGGAGATTTGAGAGTCTGGAATAGGGAAAAGTTCACTTTTCCTCCCCGTTTATGTTCTACAATTTTGTTGTGACTTTTGTTGTTGTTGTGACTTTTTTAAGCCAAGGATTTGGGCAGGTCAGAACGAACAGAAGGCTGACCAACTGTCCTGGTTTGCCCGGAACTGAAGGGTTTCCAGGGACACAGGACTTTCCATTTTACAGCCCAGTGTCCTAGGCAAACCCAGATGACTCGGTCACTTTAAGGTTATGGTTTAAAGGTTTCCCCAACCAGGGTAAGAGTCTCAGGGCCATCTATATAAAAACGTACAGGAAAGGGCCTGGGGACTGGAGGAGAGAAGGGCGTAGTGATCCCAGATCACGGACATCTCCATGGGGGGTCTGATGGAGAGAGAGTTCTGATTGCTAACAAGACCCCAGGGGGCTGTTTTAGAGGGTCACCCTGAAGAGACCAAGACGGGCAGGCCTTAGGGTCCAAAGGAAGGCTCAAACCATGTGCCAAAGTCCTTAAGAAATGAGGGAGCCTGGCTGGGAGGTCAGGAGACAGCCACCTCAGGGAGAAGAGGGAGGCGAGGGGCACACCAGGCAGGGGCCGGGGTTCTGTGAGGGGGTGCAGACGTGGTCTGGAAGCTGCAGGGGGCATACAGGGAAACAGGACCACATGACTTCTTTTCAACTCAAAAATCCTGACTTCTGGACAAGGGAGGATAGCTCCTTCCACCTACCAAATTTGGTCCAGATCCCTGAGAGCATTGCAACCTCGATAGGACAGGTTCCCGTGGAAAAGCTGCATCTTGACTATCGATCTCTCTGCCGTAAGGAAATTTACAAAGTCACAGGAAAGGCTGAAAATATCCCAGTGGGCAGCCTGTACCTCTGAGGAAGAGAGTTTCTGGAGAACCCTCTGCACCGAGCACAAAGGCTGGAGCACTGGCTGCCTCATGCTGGAATCCAGATCCCACCACTTGTTAGCTGGGGTCTTTCTTTGCAAGTCCTGTCATCTCTGTGTGACTCAGTTTCCTCATCTGAAAAAATGGAGACATCAGACCTGCCTCAGAGACCACCTCACTTACAGCATCTTTGCTATCATCCGCAAAGGGTACAAAATTGTAAAAAGAAAGAGGAAGACTCTGCCCCATGCCTCCCAATACCCATACCTTGATTTCCCCCTGATAACAGAAACCCAGCTCTGTGTGAGGTTGGCAACGTGCCCAGTTCAGTGCTCCCTTTCCCAGCCTCCCTTGCAGAAGCCATGTGACCTAGTTCTGGCCAGTGATGCACAAGCAAAAATCTGTGGGGAAGAAAGAAAATTTGGGGGGAAACTTTTGCTTTCCTGGAAAAGGAGAAACAGGGGCTGGTAACCAGATTCCCCCTCCTTCCTGTCCTGGATACAGGGGTGATGTTTGGAGCTGTGGCAGTGATAGTATAGTCATGGGGCAAATGCCAGTGCTCTCAGGGTGGGGAAGAGAGACAGGAGCGTGGATGGCACCTTGGGCAGCTGAACCAAAGCTGGTGACTGCCTTCCCTTGTTCTTGCTATGTAAGAAAAACAACTACCAATTTACTTAACTACTTTATTAGGGGTTTACAGTTCACTGTAGCTGCATATAAATGATATAGGGGCTTAGTGTGACTCCTATTTAAAGGAGGCCTCTAACCAAAACTGGTTTGGCTCAGCGGGTAGAGCGTCGGTCTGCGGACTGAAAGGTCCCAGGTTTGATTCCAGACAAGGGCATGTACATTGGCTGCAGGCACATCCCCGGTAGGGGGTGTTCAGGAAGCAGCTGGTCAATGTTTCTCTCTCATGGATGTTTCTAGTCTCTACCCCTCTCCCTTCCTCTCTGTAAAAAAATCAATAAAATATGTTTTTAAAAATTAAAATAAAATAAAGGAGGCCCCTACCAAAGCATAGCACACTCTAGATTCAAGTCACCTTCTACCAAATAACTTTCAAAGAAAGGAATCAGGTGCTACAGGGCCTAGCATGAACCCCATCATCCTTCCCCACGGAATGTGAAGGGGATGGTACCAAATACAGATAGCGGGAGCACAGAGTATAGGTAGGTGTGCCTGAGGGCACCAGGCGGAGGTCGTGCTCAGCAGAGGGGAGCTGCCCGCCTCAGAGCTGAAAAGTCAGCAGATAAGCCGCTGTCCCAAGCTGGGCCCTGAGCCCAAGCTCTGCTGAGGGCGAGCCCTCCGCGTGGTCAAGAGAAGCTGAGCCAGCCCACCTGCCACCTAACTGCTCACTCAAACAAAACCACAGAGCCGGGTCTAAATGACGGCAGTGGCCCGTAATGCAAGCTTAAGACTGCTATGGCCTTGTATGCCAATCCAACCTCATCCATCCAAAGCTTTTAAAGCAGCCACAAATGAACTCCGTGGTAAGCTCCTCTCCTTCCCTTCCCCCATCCGGCTCTCCAGCCCCCAAGGACACGGGGCAGATGGGGGAAATGAGCTTTTAAATCAGAGTCTTGCTCCGTGTAAAGCAAAACTGAGAAAAGACACAACAGAGATGGAGGAGGTCAAATAATGAGAAACCAAAACAGTTCACCCTAGGCCGCGCCCCCGCGGCTGACGCGCTGGCACAGCTGACAGCCCCACCCTCCGCCCGGGGAGGGCGCCCAGGGATCAGCGTGCACCTTCCCGGCTGGTGGCGGTGACCGAGGTGGCGGGTCCCCGGTCCATCATGGGCGGCCAGGGCCGGGGGCTGCGGCTCCAGGCGCGGTGCCCGGAGCCTCCCTCCGGGGCCGCCTGCTCCGCCCACCCGCACACCCGCGCGTCCGGGGGCTCAGGGCCGCTCCCCGCCTCCCCCCGGCTCCCCCCCCCCGGCGCGGGGCCCCCCCGGGCCGCCCCCGCAGGCCCCGCGCCCCGGCCCGCACTCACGCTCCACGTCGTGCAGCTTGGCCCGCTCCTCCTCCAGCTTGCCCTTGAGGCTCTCGGCCTCGCTCTTCAGCGTCGCCAGCGTCTCGTTCTCGTGCAGCCCGTCCGTGGCCATCTTCGCGGGGACGCGGCGGAGGGAGGGAGAGGAGAGCCGGGATGCGGGGAGCCGCCGGGAGGCCCGACCGCGGCGCCGCTCCGCCGTGCCCGCGGCCCCGCCCTCCGCTGACGCCGGCGGCTGCGAGCGGGGCTGCGGGGCCGCCTCCCCCTCCGCCCGCGGGGGCACAGCCGCTCCGGCCCCGCGGCCCCCGGCGCTCCCACCCCCCGCGCCCCGCGCCCCGCGCAGAGCCCCGACCAGGCCCCGTCAGCGAGGCCGCGCGCCCCGCCCGCACCCGGGGGCGGCAGGGGGCGCGGTGCCCATTTCCCGGCGGGAAGACCGAGGCCGGGGAGACGCGACGGCGGAGGCCGCGCAGGGAGCGGGGGCCGCGCTGGGATGGCAAGTCCCAGCGCCCAGCTCCTGGGAGGCGGCGAGCTCCCAGCGACACCGGCCTCCCTCCCCTCCCCTCCGCCTCCCTCCCTTCCCCGCACGGACCTCCCCGCACAATCTCCCCGCACCGGGGGGAGGAGGGCTCTTCCTGCAGAAGCGGGAGGGGAGCGGGCGGCGAGGTTCGGCTCCCCCCGGCTGCGAACCGGAAACTTTCCTCGTTTGTTGACTTCATATAAGCAAATAGTGAGCTTCCGAGAGCTCTGGGGTCTTTGCAGGCCCGCAGCCGGTTTGCTGTTCCCTTCTTCGCTGGGGGTTTAGCCCCGGGGAAGGGAAGGAGGGGCCATGGCACACCGAGGGGTCCAGACCCCGGCCTCTGAGCCCCGGCCCGGTCACCGAGGCAGCTTCCTCCGCTCTGCGAGGCAGGTCCCCACTACAACTCGCTCAAGGAGGCAAATTGTGACACTCAAGCATCCCCTTTCCAGTCCCCTACAGTGCCCGGCCCTGTCCCAAGTGCTTTATGTTAATAACTCACCACAGTCACCCTGAATGGGTACCATCATCGCCTCATTTCACAAATGAGGAAACTGAGGCACAGGAAGGTTCAATGCTTTGCTGGGTGCACACTCCCAGAAAGGCAAAGGCTAGACTTGGGCCCAGGCAGCCTGGCCCCGCTCAGTTACAGGCTTCAGGAGGACCCCTCCCACGGATGCTTCCTCTCCCCGCGCCATGACCCTGCCTGCGTGTGTGCGCCACAGACTGGGAAGGCAGGTCCCACCCCGCACATATTCTAAAGGGAAACATCGCCTCTTCGTAGCCCCTCCCCTCTGGAGGAATCCAGCCGGGACTTGCTATCCTGAGCCCTCTCTAAGAAAAGTTGGAAGTAATCTATACTAATATTAATCTCTATAATAAATACATTAGGTGCTCAGTTAGTGTTAGTTTGTTAAATGGATCTGTGGCAGAATGTATAGATATATAAAATGTAATTAAGTAGAATATCAAGTGTGTAAAGTGTATACATATGTTTTAGATACATACATACATTCACCTCTTCATAGATCTGTTTTAAGAGTTTGAAGAGCAAAGCTTAAGAGCATAGGTTCTGGCTAGATCAGACAGCCCAAGGGGGTGCTCTTTAGGAATGGCTGCAGGCCTGTCAAACTCAGGGCTGGCGGGCCACAGGCCTTGGGGCTTGCCGCCTGCTGGCGGAGAGTTGGAAATGTTTAAGCAGAGGTCTAATTCCTAGGGCATCAGTCATGCTCTGGCCTTTTTTTCTTTCTTTTTTCTGCAATATCTGAATACAGATCTTCCATAATTAAAGACCTGAATATAAGACCTGTGCATAGCCACCTCCGGTGAGGATGGATTTTGTGTACTTTGGGGAAAATGTCAGGATTTATGTTTAGTCTCTAGCCCTTGTTGAAGGCTTGGGTTCTAGGTCCAAGGAGCCCTTTTCCTTCAGCTTGATGATGCTCATCACTGCGGCCCTGTGTGGTTCAGTCCCAAAAGAGCTGTTCCCGGGGGCAGAGGGCACGGGGCCTTTGGAAAGGTGCTCCCAAGCTGTTGATTTGCCAGCGTCCCTTTCAGCTTGGTTGCTTGCCAAGAAGACTGATAGGGGACAAGAGAGAAAAGCCTCATCGCTAAAAAAGCGTACCAGCTGAAACACTGAAACATTCATGGGCCACTTCCTGTGCTGGGTACTGTTTAAAACCCTTTATCGAACTCATTTAATACTCACAAAGCTATTATTCCTGTTTTGCCAGGACAGGTGGGAAAACAGACCTCCTTAGGGAGGTGAGTTTGTTGATTGAACCCGGGGAGGCAGGGACCAGTCCGCACCTTCCCTCCGTGCTATTCTGCCTTACCCAGCCACGCTGAAAATGTCTGTGTGTACACTGATTCTGTGGCAACTTATCTGTCACAGACCCGCACATTAGACATTGTTTTAAGATAGGTAACTATTTAAAAAATTTTTTGAAGTTACACTTACAATTTCTGCACATACTGAGCAGTAGCTGAGCTGTTGAGATTTCTTAAAAACTGGTCTCAGAGCCCTTTGTTTGAAACATTTGTCGCAGGAGCCAAATACGTTAACCAGAAAGGTCTGATCACACATCTTTAACGCAAGATGAAGCTGAAAGAGAGAGAAAAGGGGCGTGTGTGAGAAAAGCCAACAGAAAACGCTGTTTTAAAGCTCATCATGGTAGTTGCTCAGACCTCCACACTGGGATAAAGTATCTGCAGTTAATCTGTAACCTCTGATTTATTACAACGTGCTGGGTCAACACCAACTAGCTTATCTGTCAGGAAGCATCAGACAATAGGTCTCCTGAACTTAGGTGTAACTGGTTGTTTTGGCGGCTTGCAGACATGGACACAAGTAATCTTTGCAGCACAACATTAGTTCTGCGGGGCTCACCATGGAGAGCATTGCTGTAATGAAGAGGATAATTTGAAATTTAAAAAACAAATAACGCCCCTCTTCAGGGTGAACTTTTAGAGTCAAGAGCCAGAAAAGGGTAGAGCCTAGCCAAAACCGGTTTGGCTCAGTGGATAGTGCCTCGGTCTGCAGACTGAAAGGTCCCGGGTTCGATTCTGGTCAAGGGCATGTACATTGGTTGAGGGCGCATCCCCGGTAGGGGGTATGCAGGAGGCAGCTGATCGATGATTCTCTCTCTTTGATGTTTTTAACTCTCTATCTCTCTCTCTCTTCCTCTCTGTAGAAAATCAAGAAAGAAAGAAAGAAAGAAAGAAAGAAAGAAAGAAAGAAAGAAAGAAAGAAAGAAAGAAAGAAAGAAAGAAGGAAGGAAGGAAGGAAGGAAGGAAGGAAGGAAGGAAGGAAGGAAGGAAGGAAGGAAGGAAGGAAGGAAAGAAAGAAGAGAGAGAGAGAGGGAGGGAGGGAGGGAGGGAAGGAGGGAGGGAGGAAGGAAGGAAGGAAGGAAGGAAGGAAGGAAGGAAGGAAGGAAGGGGAAAGAAAGAAAAAAAGCAGCAGAGCCTAACTCCAACCAGGGATGAGTCTGTGTAAATGCATGCTGGTTCCCTGCCAGGAACGCAGCATCCCACTTCCTTACTAAACACGTGACAGCGCAGACCCAGGGTCCCTGCCTCCCCACCCAGAAGCCCACTGGCCCAGCCACTGAAGGGAGGGCCACGTTGAGCCAAAACATACCGGCTTTGACTGCATGGACCCTGGCCCTGCTGCTTGGGCAGGTTGCTTCATCTCTCTGAATCTTTGCTCACTAATCTATAAAATGAGGATCTTAAGTCCACCTCCTAGGGTTGTCGGGGGATTCTAAGCAGGAAGCACTTAGCTCAGGGCTGGGATGTGGTGAGTTGTTATGCTGTGCGGGGAGTTGCTGTAACAGCAGCATCAGCAGCAGCAGCAGGAAGGAGGGACAGAAGCTGGAGATGTGGACAGAGCAGTGAGGAGCCTATTGCCAAATTCAGGCAAGACACACGAAGGCTGAGCTAAACCAATACTGTGGGATGGATGTGGACCACAGTCAGGAAGGAGAAGGAGCTGGACCTGGCAATGTGAGGGGATGGAGAGAGGGAGATGTCTATGATGACTCCTGGTTTCTGTTCGGGAGGCTGAGGGTTTGTGGTGCTGTTGTTAGAGATGGGAGATGGGAGGGTAAGGTGGGCGGGGGGCAGCCATGTGGCCCTGCTGATTGAAGGGTGTTCCTAAGACTGGGCCACGTCAAGCTTCAAAGAACTGTCCCGCTGACTATACAGATATTTTGAGGCACTTGTCTGACCATTGCCACAGAGCCAAATTTGCGAGGGATGTATTTGGGGGCAGGCGACAGTGGGGATACCTCGGAGAGGAATGTCTACAAGGCAGAGGTCACCACAGGGCTGCAGAGAGATCGGGGGTTCATGAGGTGGGGTGAACTCCTACCGCCAACGGGCAGCTGGGACAGTTCTTGGAATCTCTAAGTGACCGAGGAGTGGAGGAAGCCCTAAAGGATGAGAGGACAGAAGAAAACCAGCTCCTGCCAGCCACAGTGTGCTCAGCCCTGGCCCCTCACAGCCACCCTGGGAGGGCGGCAGGACATCTGTCCGACAGCTGAGGAAATGCCCAAGGTTAAACGAGTTCAAGGTCAGCGGTGCAGCCTGAATCTGTATGCAATGGGACTCCACCACCCTTACCATCAAGCTGGCACCACGAAGCTGCTCTGCTTTGCCACAACGAGTGAGTGAGAGAATGTGAAAGGTTCTGCCCACGAGAGCCTGGCTTGTGGTGGGGTCCTGGTGATGCTGCCCTCTACTGTCCGAGCTGCCCAGGAGGAGTCACAAGGTCATGCTGAGGACTCTAGGTAATAGCATTAGGAAGGTGAGCCGTGGATTTTCAGCAAGGGAGCAATGTCCAGTGGATTATTCCAGCATCAGTGCTTCCAGAAGTAGGTCAGAGACAGAATGTACAGCAGGAAAACCAACTAAGTTAAGGGACTGTTATCAATTCTGGGGAAGAGGAAATGAGCTCTGGTCAGAAGCAACTGCAGGAATGAAAGGGGTGGGAGGAACCAGAACCAAGAGGAGAAGGAATAGAAGGAGGCTAGGAGTTATGGAAGATCAAGAAAAACAGAAGTAGAAAAGAATGTCAATATTCCAAATCTGGACAATGTTTTCCTTCCCAATTTTTGTTATAAGAGCTGCCTATGTTCATTATAAATAACTAGAGGCCCAGTGCACGAAATTCATGCACAGGTAGGGTCCCTAGGCCTGGCCGGCAATCAGGGCCTTCTATAAACATAGAAGATACTAGAAAAACATAAACATATATGTGTATACCTTTTAAAAAATTAGAATTATATACCATGTACAATTTTCAACTTTTTGTTTAATAGAGTTTTTGTCTTCACATGTCAATGTATATTCTTGGAAAACACCTTATTTTAATGGAGACCACAAGTTTTGGTCATATCAACCTTAAATCACATAACTAGCATTTTAGATCTGGTTAAACATGGGCAAACTACAAACCAAATTTGAAAGATTATAGTATTTTAAAACCATAAATGTTATACATGGTTATGTAGATTTGGAAAAAAATTTAAAAAGGTGTAAGAAAGTAAAGAACCACCTATAGTCCCATTGTCCAGAGAGATTCCTTTTTACATTAAGAACAGATTTTTGGACAATTGTTCATGTATATTATTTATAGTTTTATATCCTGATAGGTTTTTCATTTAGTATTTATATCATGAACTAGGTTTTTCATTTAGTATTTATATCATGTCATAATCATTTTTACAACAAGGTAACTTTTCACAGCCAGAGTAAATGCTTCAATGAGCATTTTAACAAGAAAATGATAAAAATGCCCCATTTTAACAAGTTTTGATGGGGAACTGCTCTGCAGAAAATGCTATCGTAATAATAGACCTTCTCAAACCTTCCCCCAACCCTACTCCAACCACAAAATTTCTTTGAAATGTTTCACCTAAACATATGGTTTAAAAATTGCCCCCTCCCACATTTTAAAAAAAGAATTAATGAGAAAGATAGAAAGTCAAAAATGAAGGTGCCCATTGCCTGCCCCGCACCCACTCCCCTTGTCTGGATGGATGCACTTTCCTCCAGACTTTCCTGATGCCTTAGATAGAGCCTTGTTAGCTATGCAAAGGGGCTGTTCCATACTTGTTTTCTTCACCTAACTCCATGGTCGGCAAACTGTGGCTCACGAGCCACATGCAGCTCTTTGGCCCCTTGAGTGTGGCTCCACAAAATACCATGGCCTGGGAGAGTCTATTTTGAAGAAGTGGCATTAGAAGAAGTTTAAGTTTAAAAAAAACTTGGCTCTCGAAAGAAATTTCAATTGTTGTACTGTTGATAAGTTGCACTCTTGAGGCTTATGTTGACAGGTAGAGTATTAAACTGGATCCATTTTTAAAACTGATTAAATGATTTTAAAGATGATTAACTTTTCCCCTGATCCCAATACTAAATATATTTTAAAAACAAAACATTGTTTCAAAAGAAATGCACATGAGTTGTAGAAAAATTAGAACAAGCAGATTAACAAACACCACCAGCCCTCGCCTGTGCTCCCGCCACACGGTTAGCCCCTTGCTGGGTACATACCTGAACACCTTTCTGAGCTCTTGCGGAAGTCCAAGTATTCTAATTTAATATCAATTCATATATACCTTCCACAGAGTTAGCGCTAGGAATGGATCAGCAGAAAGGTGAGAAGTTAGAACCGCCAGCTCCAAGGTGCAAAGAGGCTGTAACACCTCTAATCCCCTTATCTGGACATTACACGCAGCTGCTCCGCCGCCTACTGGCAGCCTGCGGCCACTGCGGGGCACTCGCTGTCATTTGCATCAGGCACTCCTCCTTGAACATTTTGCCCACCCGCTGCCAGGTGCCCTGGGGACCCCCTGCTGACCAATGTCTTGAGCTTAGTTCTCCGTCTGACCTCTGAGGAGGCAGAGGTCACAGATTGGATCCACCAGCTGCTCCCCTGGGCAACCTTGACATTCACCTGTGACTGGGTGTCATCAGCGCCTCCTGCCTCCTCAGTCCTCATCCCACCAGCACCTCATTAATTTTGACCACCTCTCCCCACTTCAGCCTTGAAGAACTGATCAAGCTTATGGGATGAAAACTCCCTCCACCCCCACCCCCCATCCCCGCTTCCCATGCATGCACACCTCAGCCTCTGCAGGTCCCCAAACAAGATCTACTCCTTCCCAAGGCTGACCACCACCACCCACCCCAACCCTGCCACCTCCAGCAGGACTTGGCTCCTGCAGTCCCCCCACCTCCCCAGCGTTAAGATCACACAGGGATGAGGGAGAGTGGACCTGCTCTCAAGGGTCCACAGGCCAGGACTGGCAGCGTTACCAGCTTCCAGCCGAGGGTCAGTGCTGTAGAACAGACATGAACCTGAGTTATGGGACAGGAAGAGGAAGGGTGATGGGCTCCTCCTGGCAGAGGGAAGGTCTGGAAGGGCCACAGGGAAGGCATGGTGCAGACCACAAACCCAGCAGCCCGAGGCGGGACTTAGAGCATATTTACTTCCTTTCTAAGAATTCTTATATGTGTTTTATGAGATAGTATGAGAAGATGTTGGTGAGCGCAGGAGACTGGGTGGGAAGTCTGTAAGGATGACATTCTGATAAAAGCGAAGTGCGTGGAAGGCCACCTGCTCTTTTTATGGAAATTCTGACTTAGGGGAGACTTAGGGGTGTCGAAGGTGGCACCCCTAATTATTCCTTCCCAAGCAAGTCTGTGCAGGGGAAGACCGCTTCTCCCCCCCCCCCCCCCCCCCGCCCCACCACCACCCCCAGTGTTTACTGGAATCCTTTGCTTACTCCCTGGATACCCTTGCCTAGAGGACAAGGTAAACACATGTGTCTTACCGAGATTACTCACCCTGCTGATTGCATCTAAAGATATAAATTCCAATAAAGCCTAAGAGGCAGGCAGCCTGGCTCCTTCAGCGCCCTCCCTTAGCCCTCTCCCCCACAGTGAATCGGTGCCGGAATAATCTGTTCATCCGTCCTTCAGGGGCTGCTTGTCAGCCCCGGCAAGACATGACCCTTAAAGAAAGGCACTGAAACTTGTGTACGTAAGGAAAATATAATCTCTTAGCAATTAAAAGAACCTGACCCAATTCATATGGGAATCTTTTTCATTGATTAAAATATTACAAAGTTCTACTTTTCATTTCTTCATATACATGTATCTAAATGAACTAAATTAAATTACTTATCATAAGAAAAGACATTATTCCATGTTAGTAGGGTGATGTTGCTTCAAAATCATGTATGACTTCCACTTCTAAGATACATGTCTGCGTTACAGAATCACCTCTCTTGCCTGTGACTGTCAGAAACAGAAGGGCCGGTTGGGATTCTTGGGTGTTACAAAGGGCACTGGGTCCACTAGGAGGGCTTAGCAAGTGGCATTTTATGATCTGAAAGGAAGGAATGGAGATATCTTGGGAGACAAGGAATAGTCATAAAACGTGGGAAACACAGACTTCTCAAAAGGAGGGACCTAGCATAATTCTTCAGTTCTTTTTATGAGAAAATTTAAAACATATTTCAATGCTTTGAAGATATTTTCAAGAGAAAATAATTTAGGTTGTCTTTTTAAACTTAGTTTTTAAAAGTTGTTGTATGAGCCTGCCTGGCATGGCTCAGTGGTTAAGCATCAATCTATGACACAGGAGGTCACAGTTTGAGTCTGTCAGGGCACATGCCCCGTTTGTAGGCTCGATCCCCAGTGAGGGGCGTGCAGGAGGCAGCTGATCAATGATTCTCTGTCATCAATGATGTTTCTATTTCTCTTTCCCTCTCTCTTCCTCTCTGAAATCAATAAAAATATATTTTTAAAAATGTTACCGTGAGAAAGATACTAAACAATAAAAAATGATGGCGAATGTGTTGGCAGGCAAAATTTAAGAAATGTTCTTTTGGAGGAGGAGATGAAAAATGGTGTGGCAATTAAGCTTTAATAAGATGTTGGTTTTAATTAGATAAATATATAAAATACTTCATATAATTCATTCAGATTGAATATTTTCTTAAAAATTAGAAAGATCTGAAATAATAAATTATTTTTTTATGCAGGAGCATTTTTAGTAGAAACAGTGGGAAGCTCCCCACCTGCTCCCCCTACCTCCCCCCCACACACACACTCCTCACCTCTCCCCCAAACAGGCATGGGGTGAGGGGACGTTTGAAAGACTCAGCCCTGGACCCACTGTGACTTCATAAATGTACCCAGGCTTCACATGAACCTTAGACAATCTGGAAGACACTGTGTCCCCGGATCTTATGCCCCTGTGGGAGGAGTCCTGTCACAAGACAGATGGAGGCCGAGAGACACCTGAAGAAAAGGGGAGCTTCCAGGAATTCTGGTAAAAGCCAGCTGGGATGCCGGAGCTAGACAAGGCCACAGCTGGTGTGTGTAAATCTTCGTTAAATGACAGCGGCAACATCGCCACTGTGAGCGAGAGGGGATGTGGCCCATTTGGGGGGGTTTTCATTTTCTTCCTTAAATCACATTCCAGAGCGTTTCCAGTTCCAGTTAATATGCCACATCCCTCATGTTTGACCTTCGTGTAGCTTTGCAGGGAAAAGTGCATTTTTTCTCTTCCCCTGCTACAATCTATTGAGAAAGCCTAGCTTGAAACTGCTGGGGATCTCGATCATTTCCAGAGCGTGGGGAGAGGGCGTAAAAGGAAAGACGACTTGGAAGAGATAGCTGGCATCCAGCATCAGCTGAGCGGAGTCCTCTCGGTTGTTGAGGAGAGCCTGAAATGAGAAACGGGGGAAAGTGAGTAAGGAAACGTGTGCATTCTGCTTCATTGCTGTCTGAAAGCCAGGAGTAAGGAAAACACAACTCCCTCTCTAGGGAGACCCTCCTTTCAAAAGGCCAGAGAGGCCACACACACAGCCTTCCACAGCCCGGTTCCAGGTGAAAAGGCCTGGCGGGACTTCCAGACCAGCTCTCCTGGATGCTTCCTTGTCTGTTTCACTCCAGAAGATAACTTCCCACTAAATCGATCTGTTCTCTCTTCTTCGCTATTCTCATGGCAGAATTCCAAGCCCAGACATGAATAGATCTCAAGTATTAAATTTTTATTGCACTCAGTGGTTTCTTTTTATTCAAGGGTTTGCAAACCCTTGGTCTCAGGACCTGTTTTATACCCTTAACAACTATTGAGGATTCCAAGAGCCTTCGTGTATATGGGTCTAACTACTGATATTTCCCATATTAATAATTAAAGCAATAACTTAAAATGTGTTCATTCACTAAAATAACAAGAGCAAAATAAATAAATAAATAAATAAATAAAATGACAAGAGCAAACCCAACACATGTTCATATATTTTTAATTGAAAAAGAACTATATTTTTAAAACAAAAAAGATTACTGGAAAGTGGTATTATTTTATGTTTTTGTAGATCTTTTAAATGTCTGACTTAATATGATAGATGGAATGAATCTCAGATCTGCTTCTGCATTCTACCTATTGTGATTCATTTTTTTGGCTGAAGATAAGAAAAAAAGTTGGCCTTGTACAGATATGGATTGGAAAAGGGGAGACTGCAGACCTCCCAGAAAGGTCGTGAGGATCCCCAGAGATCCTTGAACCAAACTGCTGCCCTAGGTCATTGGGGAAGAAACTTTTGGGATTAAAACAAGGAAGACGGGTACATAGGTCTCTGCTTCCATTCAGCCTCTGCTCACCTGCGTGGCACTCAAAGGCTGATAAGAAATAGGATCTGCTGAAGGAACTAAGAACCCCAGTCACCTCTGGTGTTTTTGTTTCCTTCCCCCAGGTAACATGGGTTCTGAAGCTGGGAACCTGACAGGGAAAATTCCTGATGCTTTGTCTGTTTATTTGGTGAATGTGCATTAATCCTGGATTTCTGTAATATTAATCCTATATAATAAAAGCCTAATATGCTAAGTGTCTGGTCATCCGGTCGTCTATTCAACCAATTAAAGCATAATGTGCTAATGCTATGCTAAGGTCGCTCAACTACTCGCTATGATGTGCACTGACCACCAGGAGGCAGATGCTCTGACTGGTAGGTTAGCTTGCTGCTGGGGTCTGGCTGATCAAGACTGAGCAAGACGGGGCTGGACATGCCCTAGAGCCCTCCTGCAGTCCCTCCCAGCAGGCCAACCTCCCTAGTCCCGATTGTGCACCAGTGGGATCCCTTGACCTGGCCTGTACCCTCTCGCAATCTGGGAACCCCACAGGGGATGTTGGAGAGTTGGGTTTGGTTCAATCCCACTGGTCAGGCCAAGAGACCCCACTGGTGCATAAATATGTGCACTGGGCCTCTAGTTAAATATAACTTTCTTCTATTAAAAATTAAAAGGCACATTCTTAAGGATCTCACCTGTACTTTGCGAACGAAGGATGGAGTCACTCTTTTCTCGAAGTCATCTATAGGTGTGTATGAATTAAGGATCTTTATGATCTGCAAACCATACAGAAGACATGTTAGACCATGAAAAAAGACAGCTCTGCCTGTGATATAATGGTTCTGGTGGTTCTGGGACAGCTAAGAACCACAGGTAGCTCTTTTATACTATACCTAGAGGCCCAGTGCACAAAAATTCATGCACCTGTGTGTGTGTGTGTGTGTGTGTGTGTATGGGTGGGTGGGTGGTCCCTCAGTCTGGCCTGTGCCCTCTCTCAATCTGGGACCCCTCGGGGGATATCCACCTGTTGGGTTAGGCCCACTTCCCGGGAGATCAGGCCTAAACTGGCAGTCAGACATACCTCTGGCAGCCCAAGAGCCCTCAGGAGATGTCCAACTGATGGCTTAGGTCTTTTCCCCCCAGAGGAGTGGGCCTAAGCTGCAGTCGGACATACTTAGTGCTAATGTGGAGGCAGGAGAGGCTCCTGCCACCACCACTGTGCTCACAACTGTCAGCCCAGCTTGTGTCTGAGCGGAGATTCCCCTGTGGGAGCGCACTGACCACTAGGGGGTAGCTCCCGCATAGGGCATCTGCTCCCTGGTGGTCAGTGCAGTCATAGCTCTCGGTCGTTCCAGGTAGTTCCACCATTAGGGTCAATTTGCATATTACCCTTTTATTATATAGGACTTGGCTTTAGGAACTATGTGTTATTTCTTTCCAAGAAAAGGAAATAAGATGAGAAGTGCATGGAAGGAGCAAAGACAAATCACACAATTAGATGACAGACAATTCTTCTCTTCCACATCTGTAAGTTTAGTGCGTAGGCAATATGTTATATGCACTTTTGTGTTTTTAAGGCCTGGACTTAGTATTTGATAAATGTTTATGAGATAAGAGGGTGGGATATGGGAGATACTATGCTACCAAAAAACACACAGAGACTCAGGTGCACTCCATGGCTGGCTAGGCCAGGAAGCTGACACCAGTGAGAGGGTCTGTCAGTGAAGATCAGGGAGACACTCAGCAAGCCTGCTTACCTGCACAGCAGACAGTGAGGTACAGCGTTCGAAGATCTCCTTGGCATCACTATCTGTGATCTTCTTCACCTGAAGCAACCAGGCTGCCTGAGAGAGAGGTTCTAAAGTTTCCTTGGCCAAGCTGTTCTGCAAATTCTTATCTTTAAGCCATTCTTCTAAGTAGCTGATGTTGCACCTGGAGTAAAAGCCAAAGGAGCAGAAAACGGTGGGCAATCCATATAGGACATGTTAGGGGAGGGTGCCGAGTCCCCTAGTTTGTCCTGAGATTGCACCGAGGAGCCCAGGACCACAGTCTAGCAGTTTCTTCATTTATAATATAAGAGTGTAGAACCATGGCTCCTGGTTCTAAGGATCATGACAGTCTAGGGTGAGGGACTATAACAGCTATAAACCGTTATAGTCCTCTGCTCATTTATCCACTCAATAAATACTTGCTAAAAGTCTATGATGCCTATGTCTGGCACAGAGCCCTGTCCTTGCTTTCCTCTGTCCTGCACCAGGCAGTGCTGCTCACAGAGGCGGTGGACAGTAAACCCTGGGAGGGTTTATGATAACCACAGAAGGCAGGCTTTTAAAATACAAGGTTACTAGTTCCTTGTTAAAGCCACTCTGCCACAGCTCAAATGAGCACAATGTGGAGTGATGGGAGGCGGTCTGGGCGGTGGATGGCAGAGACTCTAAGCTTCTAAGAGTCATGTTGCCCCACGCCCCCTACCCCTGGCACTGCAGCTCTGGGGGAAGAGGAACGGAGTGTGTGCCAGACTTGATGAACACTACTCCCCGCCAGTCTCCCCGGAGGAAGTTGGGGCGCCTGGGTTTTACCTGATCTGCATCCCTTTCCGGCAGGAGCACATGTCCTTGCGCAGGAAGAGGCTGTTGAGCGTGACGGCCCCGATGAGGAAGAAGAGCTGCTTCACGGCCTGCCTCACGAGCTCGGGGTCCAGGCCGTTCTGGCACATGGTGCTGTAGAAGTAGCTCAGCTGCTGCAGGACGGAGGTCATCGTGTAGGCGTCCGTGTCGTCGATGCTGGACGACCGCTTGCGGAAGCCCGTGGGCTTCAGGCCGGAAATGCCCTGCAGACTCTCATACTCCAGCATGCCCGGCACTGCAGGGGGACACCCAGAGGACTTTCTCACCGCTCTGTGCATCTGTTTCAGGAGGTGCGACCTTTTCTACAAGACTTAGTGGTGGGTGTAGTTGTGACAAAGCAATAGATTCAAGGCCTGGGGAGCACAGGCCGCAGGGTGGATGGGACAGGTGCTGTTTACAACAGCCAGCAGGCCCTGGCTAGGCTTGGAGACCTCTTCTATCAGAATCGCAGGAATGGGAGCAGGTTTGCATGATGGCTCATGGTCTGGGACCATTCAAAGTATTTACATTTTAGAAAACTGAAGAAAGGATAGAGGAATTTGAGATGGACTTCAGGATTCAGAAACACGTGCCTAAGACCCACAATTAGCCATGTAAGTAGCTGCACTACTTTCAAGGTTTTCCTTTCAGGATGAATTGCTCTTACAGGAAAAAACTATGAACCATGTGCTTTTACATATGGAACTGCTTCAAGCAAACAATGAATTAAAAGGTACACATGGCTGGGTATAAAATATGGACAACGAAGTTTTCTTGGTTTTAGAAATTATATTCTTTATAACAAACCTTGTGTCTGTTTTATTTTTTATTTTTTAAGGCCTCAATGTTACTATAAATATTTTTGGTTATCAAGTATTTTCTTACCTATTATTGGTTGAATGTTATTTTCCATTACGATAATGAACTGATGATATATTCGTATAGCCACATCACTAAGAATCTGTCTGTATTCTGACAGGTCAAAATTGTTCAAGCAGTTCTTGTTCTGATGTGGACTGTTATGCTTCATGAATTCCTGGAAGTAATTTGGGGCATATAAATATTAAAATAATATAGACATATAGGAAATGAAAATACTATCTCTATTGATGATGTTATAATTTGCTTCTACTATACTCCCACACTTCACAATTTAATGTCTGATTTGTATCAAAAAGGTTCTTGATGTTTGGAGTAGCACTTACGTTCTATAATGAACTACATGTCACTCCTCCTACAAACACGTGCCCCCAGGCCTGTAAACACAGTAGAAAACCACTCCCATGGAGCTCACAGGAAAAAACTGCAAAGCACCCAAGGATACAAACTGCTATTAGATTCATAATTTTATAATTATAGATTATAGGCTACTCTGAATATTATAAAATGTGTTATGAACTAACTGTTCATGTCTCCCCCTGACCCCAATTCCTATGTTGAAGCCTGTATCTCCTATGTGGTTATATTTAGAGATGGGGCCTCTAAGAAAGTAATTAAGGTCAAACGAGGTCATAAGGGGAGGGCCCTCATCTGTCAGAATCAGTGTTATAATAAGAGACACTGAAGAGCTCAATCTGTTTCCGCCCCCATGCAGAGGAAAGGCCGTGTGAGGGCACAGCAAGAAGGTGGTTGTGTGCAAGCCAGAGGGAGAGAGGTCTCACCAGATACCAACCCTGCTGGCACCTTGGTCTGGACTTAAGACTCCTGAACTGTGAGAAAAGGCCTTTCTGTTGTGTGAGTCATTTGGTCTATGGTATTTTGTATACAGCATCCCAAGCAGATGAATACAACATGTTTAACATACCCCAAGAGATAAAAGGAAAACATTAGGACAAGAATAGGACACTATGATAAAAGGCAGAGGTGAAAAAGAACCATTAAAGTTTTAGAAATAAAAATACAGTAATTGAAAACCAGGGGAAAGAACATTGTGTACATGGCTGAAGGGGGCAAAAATAGGATCAAAAGTAAATGCTGTTGTATAATATAATATCCTTTTCCATTAATGCCTCGTAGATGCAAGTTTTTCCTAAATGGATGACCTGTGTCTCCCCTCTCCTTTCTACCTCCCCTCCCCACACACTTTGGCATTGCTTTTAGTCAGAGCTTGGATCTTCTTTACTTATTTCTCCTTTTGTTCCATAGTCCCAGTAGGCATACTTTTGTATTTTGTTTTACTTTTTCTTCATTGGGATAATTGGCTATCTATGTGGAAGAAAACAGGAGATTATGACCTCACAAATTAATGTAGAATAGCTTATCACACCAATTTGGGATAGGTAAAAGCATAATTGTAAATTCTAAATTTAAATTATAAGCGTTTAGAAGAAAGTAAGAAAATATCTTCATGAACTCAGGATAGAGAAGAATTTCTTGAAACATATAACGTAAGGATAGACTTAAGTACATAAAAATTCAAAAACTGTGTATGAAAAAGAACTCCATAAATAAGATTAGAAAATATACCTAATCTATCCATAATATATAAGATTTTATATAAGTAAATAAAAAAATCTCCTCTAAAAAAATAAAGAATAGATGTAAATAGGTAGTTTAAATGGAAACCCAAAAGACCAATAAGCATATGAAATGATGCATGATCTCACTGGCATCAAGTAATTTCAATTTAAGTCAACAAAGTATTGTTTTATGTCCATGAGTTTGGTAAATAATGTCTGTCAATACTAGTGAAGGTCTGAGACACTGGAAATGTCATACACTACTGAGTGAGACACTTTGTAAAATGGTGCAACTATTTTGGAGAGCAGCAAAAACCCTAAAAGCCATTTTGTTATTGTTTAATCTCTGAAATTCTGCTCTGTGAATACTTGAAGGTGGAAAACTCCTTTATGATGTCAGTCCCTTCAAAATGGCCAACAATTTACAGACTATGAAGGAACAAACAGAATTTTATAGCGAACAGCTCTGAAGAAACAGGCATGTTGAACTAAAGGCTGTAGTTTAGAGTCATAATACTAAAAACTTCAGAATTTCACAATCAGAAAGAAACTAAAAATCACCTAGTTTACTTCACTCATTTAAAACTCAAGGACACCATGCCCAAAGTCTAAGCCTCTTTTTAGAAGTTTTCTGCTTGTCACGTCTGTCTACCTGGTGTCAGGAGGTTGACCTCTTGGGTGAGGAGGAGGCCAGAAAGCCAGTGAGGCCGAGGCTGTCCCCGGAGCTGGATGCTCCGATTCCTATCCCCATAGTGAGCGCTGGCTCAGGAGGAGGTTATAGACCGGCAGTCAGCACAGAACACAGAGCAGGCAAGCTTCCCTACCTCTTCTCCACTGTACTGCTTCAGGCAGTTGAGGAAATGACAAGTATTGGAAAGCCAAAAGGACAGCATCTCAAAATCTTCTAAATGCTCCTTAAAAAAACAAACAAAACAAAACAAGGAAAGTCAAAGGTCGAGATTACTGTTGCCTCTGAGCAAGATCAGACTTACCTTACCTGTTGGTTAGAGTCTTTGCTCAAAATGGAGTCCTCTTTTATTCACTAAAGCTTTTATTAAATTTGTGCTATAACGATAGGCCCTTATGTTATTTAGCAGGTTACTTGTATGAAGCTTAAATCAGACCCTGCAGGAATGCCAGAGAAATGTCAATCTTGGGCCTTGCCTTCCAAAGTTCACACTCCGCTGGGAGGATGGACATAACATATAGGACACAGTAATTAGGTGGCTGACTGCCCGTGCAGTGGATGTAGACTGTGTTCAGAGGATGGAGGGACCAGGGAAACCAGGGCAGCTGAAAAAACCTCCTGAGAGAAGTGGGAGGATGGTCGCCTTGAAAGCGGGGGACAGATAAGAGCTCAGGATCCAGGACTGTTGGGGAGAACACCCCCACTTATGGGTCAGGACAAAGAGGAACAACGGAGGAGGCAGAGATATGGTGGTCAGAGAGGTGAAAGGAAGACTGGGGAAGTCCTGGGATTTGCAAGACAAGGTACAAGGTGTTCAAAGAGATGTTGCTACTGCTTCTTCCATCTAAGGAGAATAGGAATTACAGCAATACCACTGGATTCAGCAAGAGAATTACCGGTGGTCTATTTGTGGAGCGGGAGCGATAGGGGTAGAAGCCAGGTGGCAAGGGATGAAAAAGAGAATTGGCGGAGAGCACTAGTTTAAACGCTCTTGGCAGTCAGGGGGGGACAGGAAGGTAGAGGCAAAGGCACTGTGGCTGAGGTGGGGGGGCCAAGTGAGGGTTGCTCCGATGTGCTGTGCACCGGAGCGGAAGGGGCAGGCACTGGCACCAGCAAAGGCAGAGGACAGGGAGCACTGGGAAGCTGAGACAGAAGATGCTGGTGGGAAAGTACTTATACTCCTCGTGTCATGCATCTCTAAATATTTAAACATTCCAGAGTAGCAAGATGGGGCAAATACTGTGTGCCTGCATCCTGGGATACAATGCAAATGTATCCTAAGAAAACCCCACCTATGAAAATATGGACAGGGAAAATATCCACATATGGGAGGCCCTTCCTAGGACACTCTGGTAGGCGCTGTAATGACAAAGACAATAAAGGACCCAGGACCAAACAAATGCTAATTTTCTCCTCTTAACTCCTGATGAATTCTTGGTGCAAAATATTTGGGAGGGGAGGAAAGAATTACTCTAACCTCTCATGCATCCACTGCTTTTATTCTTCTCTTCTCCTAAGATATTTAAAATAGAATTTAATTACTCATGATTTTACTAGGACATATATTTTACTAAAAGTGAGATAGGACCTTTTGCAACTAAAAATTCAAATATATCCCAATATCAAACATTGCTCCCCATGTGGAAGGGGAATGAAAATATTGGATCTATATGTTACTGAAGAAGGCAGCACTCCAGTTGGGCCAAGAAAAGTGAGTAGCCTTTGGTGGTTGAAACTTTGTTTCTGAGTTGGGACTAAGGGTGCAGAATGCAGTTTTAGAAGGGACAGTTATAGATGAGTAATTTTTCCTCACCTTTCACACTTCTTACATTACAGCCGGGACTCTGACACCCTGAGGGGACAGAAATAGTAGGGTGGTGGCTACGAGGCTGTAATCTCACAGATAAGGCTTCGAGGTCAATTGGCAGATTCCTACCCTCGGGGACCCCTGACCTAACTTGTCTTTTCCTAATAACTTGGCTTCTTTCACCGATTGGGCCTCAGACTGGTGCACCAAAGCCAGGAGGTGAAGGATGGGCATCTGGTCATCCCCATAGATGTTGCTAAAGAACCTATAATTCCAAGGGCCAATGTCAGAGGTAGTTCCTACCTTAACCACTTGCTTGATGCCATTGATGATGCTGTTCATGAGGGACTTGAGCATGCCGGCGTCATTGAGAGAGTCTGCGTAGCGCACACACATGAACAGGATGTGAGCCGGCAGCCCAGGGATCATGTTCACCACCACGCCGCGGGGCTTCAGGTCTGGAGCAGAGAGAGTCAGTGAGGATGACGGCGGGCGGTTAGCTCTCCCCCTAAAGAACCTCTGATTATGGGGCGGGGGTTGTTTGCTTTTCTGTGCTCTATGCAACGCCTGAATGCTCAGGGGTGTCTTTTCTGTTTGAGGAATTTAATTTAGCTCTCCTTTTGGCAAAAGTGTTCAGATGTTACCTGCTCCTCTTCCTTCTCATTTGCAAAGTACCTTCTCCCTGGTGTGGAGACCCTGGATTTCAGATCTCTAGCAAAAGAGAGAAACTGCGGTCCCAAGCACCCCCGCCCCCGCGTCTGTGACGAGGATGCAATATGATCTCAGAGCTCACATGCACCTGCCTTGAATCTGGAAAACAGGAACAGTTCCACAGAGGAGACCTTACTGGCTTGGAGAGGAGAGAATGGTGGGGAGACAGATGGGATGAAGGGGAGAGAGAAGCTTTATAGAACAAATTAAGATAAGCAAACAAAGACCTCCCTATGGCTGCATACAAATGGGGCCGGATGGAGACAAAGAGGAGGCTCCAAAGCTGTGCCCCAGTGAGGGGGAAAGGAAGGGTAGGGGTGCTCCTTCCTCCCTTAGCTGAGGAGGAAGAAAGTGGCTTTCTGCTCTGAGATCCTGGGACCAGTTGATAAAGAGGCATGTGGTTGTCATGGTGAGGGCAGTCTAGTCCCATTAGTTCTCTGACCACCAACCCTTGAGCATGATGCACATGGACATTGCCCCTACCGGGGTGTTGCTGGGAAGGCCCAGTCACATTGCCTGCAAATACACTTCTCAGCAGAAGTCAGATAGGGCACAGGAGCCACGCTCACTCCCACCAGGGACCCTGTTCTGAGACCCGAAGCTGTGGAAGTGGGTCTTCTCTCCGGGCCCTGTGATTAGGGTTGGGAGGAGGTTAGGGCAGTGCTTCTCAGCCGAGGGCAATGCATCCCCGCGGGGTATTTGGCAATGTCTGGAGATATCTTTCCATTGTCATGACTAAAAGTTGCTACTGGCTTCTACAGGTGGTAGCCAAGGATGACTCTCAATATCCTACAATGCACAGCAGAGTTACTAGTATCCGCTCAACATGGCTGACGCTGAGAAACTCTGGGCTAGGGCAGGAAGCAGTGAAAGAAGAGAAGGGACTGCCAGCACGCAGGACTGTGGCAATGGCTGATGTTCAAGTTCGCAAAACAAAGCAAAAATTCAGAGTTCCAGGTTTCACTACCGAGAATGAGGTTCTGAATGAGCTTGGCTTCATCTTCCCTCTTGTACTCCAGCATTCCCAGGTACTCCGTGGGTCCCGAGGACAAGTGCACGTCATTGGCTGCAGACAGAGGTAAACAATTAGTTAAACACTAAAAAACAACTTCAGGCGGCATTATAACAGGACTCTTCATCTCCTGCCCTATTCTGACTGGTTGGCACCTGAACTTCTGGCCATTTCAGATCAATGAAAACTCTTTTGAATGCTGAAGAATTTCTTCTGATAGTGATTCTTATCTGTGAGTATGCCAGTGAGTCTAGCTTCTGCTGAAAAGGTTGCGTTATCCTTGAAGAAATCCTTAAGAGTGCCTGGCACGCATCCAGCACACTGGGATACAAAAGCAATTCAAGAGGTAGCCCCGGTCTTTAAGATCTGATGCTACAGTTAAGGAAACATTTTGTGTGCCAAATACCAAAGTGCATGACCCTGAGGGGACTGTATTAGTGTCCCATGTGCTGTAAGAAATTAACATAATAGTGACTTAAAACAACATGAAATTTTAAACTTGTAGTTCTAGAGATCAGAAGATTAAAATGGATCTCAAAGGGCTAAAATCAATCAGTCAGCAGAGCTGTGCTCCTTCTAGGAACTGTAGGGGAGAACCCATTACTTGCCTTTTCTAGCCTCCAGAAGCTATGTGAATTCCTTGGCTTGTGGCCACATCACTCTGATCTCTGCTTCCATCATCATATCTCCTCTCCATCTACTTCTGTTTTCACTCCTGCCTCTTATTATATTGGGTCCATGTGTTTAATCCAGGATAATCTCCCCATCTCAAGACCCTTAACTTAATCACACCTGCAAATCTCTTCTGCCATGTAAGGTAGCATATTTACAGGTCCCCAGGATGGGGAGAGGGACATTTTGGATGGGCCACAGTCTGCCTTCTGATCCTCAAAGATTCGTGTACATTCTGAGAGAATGAGGTCTGATGACAGAAGCAGAGATTAGGGTCAGAAAAATTTAAAAAATGCCATGCTTCTGAATTTGAAAATGGGGAAAGGGGCACATAAGCCAAGGAATGCGGTGGCCTCTAAAAGCTGGCAGGGACCAGGGAATGGATTCTCCCTTGAAGGCTCCAGAAGAAATGCTGCCTGGCTGACATATGATTTTAGCACAGTGAATGCCATTCTGTACTTATGACTTCCAGGACTCTAAGAGAATAAATCTGTACTCTCTTAAGTCACTAATTTTGTGGTGATGTTATAGCAGCCACAGGAAATTAATACAAGGACCAAAAGGATTCACACAGAGGTGAACTGAAGCTGTTGAAAATACTTCTTGAAGAAGGCAGCACTCCAGTTGGGCCAAAAAAAGTGAGTAGCCTTTGGTGAGTGAAAAAGGAGGTGGTGTAGATAAAGAGTTATAGAATTCTCTTCCTACTGCGTGAGAATTTCTCTTTTAACTTACTAGCTCTGTTCCCTTGGAGACTGATAAAGGTAGAGTGTCAACTGCTTTACTAAGCAACACTGTTTATGGTAAGCATGACCTCTGGCTCCAGCTGGGTGGCTCATCCTGTTTCTCTCTTATATCGATGTGTCTCTCTCTCCCTCCCTCCCTTTCTCTCTCTCTAAAATCAATAAAAACATATCCTTAGGTGAGGATTTTTAAAAAAGCATTTAATAAGAATAAAAAAGAATAACCTCTGATTGGCAAATTGCATCTGGACCAGGAAGAACAATAATTGAAGCAGATGTATCTGATAAAGCCATCATACTTTGAGTCTTCTTCTTCTTCTTTTTTTAAATCTTTATTGTTGAGAATATTACATAGGTCCTCATTTCCCCCCATAACTTTAGATATTCTTGAGTGTGAAGACTTATATGTGGGCATGCTCCTTGCAGGAACCCTGGAAGCTAATGCCACGTATGCAGTGTTTAGGAGATACTGGCTTCTCATCAACTATCATGTGAATCAACTTGAATCAGAGCCTTTAGCCCCAGTTGAACCCTCAGATGACTTTGTCCCTGTTGTCAACTTGAATGCAACTCAGAGCCAGAAGCACTGAGCTAAGCTGCTTCTAGATTCTGTGTGTAGCAACACACAGTGTTCGCTGTTTTAAATTGCTAAGTTGGGGGTAATTTGTTATGACAATAGAAAACTAATATAGGAAGGGAAGCTGATGCATTCTGCTTTAAGTGATAGGAGAAAGGCAAAGGAAGTAATCTTAGAGGCAAAGGGGACGGAGACTCTGGCAAAGAGGTGAGAAGTGGGAGGTAGGCTGTGGAAGTCCTCATGCAGAGATGTCAGTTCATCCATTCCAACAACGAGGACACAATGAGGGTTGGGAAGGACAGAGGAGTGGTGAGTGATCTGCCTGCCTCAACGGATCTTTCTTTCCATTCCCCATCACTGAGCCCCAAACTCCGCCAGCTGAGAATTATTCCTTTGGGTTTCAAAGACTTTAAGCCACATTAAAAACTAAACATTTCATCCACACATGTTGACCTTAGCTAAACGTTCAAGAAATAAGAAAATGTTATTTCTCCCACCTTTTCCAATTGTCTTAGTTAGACTCTTGACTTGATTTTGTAGCTTTTTAATCACTCTGTCCTTCATATCCAACTCTTCTTCCAGGTCCTGCAGAGATGAAAACAAGCAAGATTACTGACTTAGAAGCATCTAAATTGATTTTTTGGTAATAGCTTTATTGGGCTACTAGAGGCCCATTGCATGAAGATTCGTGCAATAGGCCTTCCTTCTCCTGGCTGCCAGCACCGGTTTCCCTCCAGCACCCAGGACCCAGGCCTTTGCTATGGCTGCTGCCTTTCATCTTCACTCCAGCAGAAGCCTTCAGTCTTCGCTCCAGCCGAGCACCGAGCACCGAGGACCGCTCTTGTAGCTCCCTTCGCCCCTGCCCTCCCCCTCATAGCAGACTTCCCACCCCGCCTGCCTGGCTGCTCCGGGCCTACATGCGCATGGCCCAGAGGCTTGGAGTGGCTGGGGGGTGGGGCTGCCTCCATCTTTGTCAGGTTAAGTTGCATACTCACTACTGATTGGCTGGTGGGAATCATGAAGTGATGGTCAATTTGCATATTTATCTTCTATTAATGTAAATAATTTACCCAATTCACATACAGTTTATAGTTTACTATACTAGGCAATGGTTTGTATACAGTCTGAGTATAATCATCACCACCATCTAATTTAGAACATTTCATCATACCAAAAAGAGCCTGTGAGTTTTAGCTGTCTCCCCGTGGTCTCCTATTCCTTCCCAGCTCCTGGCAACCATTACCTACTTTTGTCTCTATCTACCCTTGTGTCTGGCTCCTCTCATTAATATTTTTAAGGTTTCTCCATGCTGTAGTCTGTATCAGTACCTCATTCCTTTTTGTGGCTGAATAACATCCTATTGTGTGCATACACCACACTTACCTTGATCTATTTTCCCCTTAATAAAATAATGTCCATTGTAAAGGAATAAAAAACGTGAATGTGGGAAAGTAAGCTCCCTGAATGTCAGAAGCTGGAGGCAGAGAAACTCTTCAGAGGTTGGAGTCCTGGCTTTGACCTTTCTTCCTCAAAAGGGGTGCCCTGCCTGGCCTGATTTTGGCTCAAGAACAGGGTGAGTCTGGAATTCCTATAAATATTTCCTCTAAAGTGGCAAAGGGTCTTCAAGTTCTTCCTGAATCCCAGGGACTTTGGCACAGGAAGGAATTAGGCCCCTCCCGCTCAGCAACGCCCACCATGCTCTCTGTGGCCCTGTGCCTTCGGGGACTCCTGGACAGAGAGAAACCGTGCTGTTTCCCCCTGTGGCCCCCTCTCCTCCTGCTTCCACCTTTGGAACTTTATTTGACCTTGGAAGTGGGGGTGTGTGTATATATACTGTCTTCTAGCTTGAGCCCATCCTATTATACATCTAAAATCCAAAAAAGGCACCCATCAATCCATAATCGGGAAGAAACAACTGCTCACGTTTTATTTCATTCCTTTCTTTTTTTCCCCCCTAATATGGCACATATATGTTTTATAAAATTGGGATCATACTGTCTGTGAAATTTTATATCCTATATTTTTCTCAAATTATATTGCAGATATTTTCCCGTGTCTGATAACATACCCAAATTGTCATTTTAATGGATACAGTAATATACAGTAATTAACCTACCCACTTTTATTGGACATTCCCTTTATTCCCCCTTTTTTGTTATGATTACTAACACTATTATTTGTCCAGATATCTGATTGCTTGCGAGAAATAGAATCTTAGCGGTTCATCACTGAGTCAAAGGGAACGCGCCTCCCTAGAGAGCTTACACCAGTGTATGTTCCCAGACACCATATCCGACGACAGCCTCACCAGCACCATAAGATCTCTATTACTTCAAGGGCAAAAATATTACCTAGTTTTAATTTTGAATTTCTTTGATAAATAGTGAGATGATCACTAAAAGATTTTATTAGTATCTACTTTTTAATAAGGATTTTCTTTGACTTAAATGATCAGATATGGGATTAAATAGTGTAACATCAAAATTCATGTCCACTGAGAACTCCTGAATGTGACCTCATTTGGAAATAGGGTCTTTGCCGGTGTAATTAAACCACAGATCAATATGATATCATGCTGGACTGGGGTGGGTCCTGAATCCAATGAGACTATCCTTATAACAGAGATAAAGGGCACACAGAGATACAGAGGAGAGGCCAGGTGAAGGGACAGCAGAGAGTGGGGTGCATTGTCACAAATCAAGGATGTCAGGCACACCAGGAGCTGGGAGAGGCAAGGGAGTCCTCTCCCCTAGAGACTCTGGAGGAGTGTGGATGGGCCAACACCTTGAACTTGGACTTCTGGCCTTTAGAAGTATGAGAGACACACTCATTTGCTAAATCTATAGGAATTATATTCCTTTATGGCATGTTCATCAGCTCATTGGTAGCATCAAGGCTCCTCATTGGTTTAGGGGAGTTTGTTGGAAGGACCATATAGATATAAAACAGGAAGCTATGACTGTTCCCTGGCTCAGTGTGGAGGCAGCAGGTTGGCCCATCCCCACCTGGGCACAGAGGCACACACCCGGGTACTGCATGGGACCTCACTCGACCAGGAGCATCAAGAACAAACTCACACAAATCCCACACAATCAGGGCCTGATATGTACCCAGAGGCACACTCACAGCTAGGGAATGACAGTTCACACAGGACAAGATGTGCAACATACACGTGACCCATCCCCATTACCACTGGCCCCAACTGTGACCCAGGGACACGCAGGCATCCTCACAGGCTCCATGGACAGCTGTTTACCTGGTTTACCTGGTGAGTTGATGAGTCTATTCTCTGAAGAAGGTGGGTCCCCTGAGAAAAGATGGCCATCATCTGGGTGCCCTTGACTGGAATGTGTTATTTCCTGTTAGATATCAAACTCCCTGGGTTCCTCTTTTTAGATATAATCATTCTTCAAAGTCAAATCCTGACACTGTAAAATATAATTTCACCCTATCATAGTTTTCCTGTGAGACAGAAGATTGGGGGGGGGCCTGTGGGCGTGTCCAGGTGCCCACTGCCCTGGTGAGCCCTTCCCTTGGGCACGTTGTAGAGGCTGCCTGGCCAGGAAGGGCCTCAGTTTCCAACGCCCAGGAAAGCACCCCAACTGCTACGTTAGTGTTTCTCTCAGTCTTGTAAGCTTCACACACCAATTAATATTAAAAGAATTGCTGGGGAGAGGATCCAAATAAACAAAATCAGAAACGAAAGAGGTGAAATAACAACAGACCCCACTGACATACAACGGATTGTTACAACATACTACGAACAGCTCTATTCCAACAAACTGAACAACCTGGAGGAAATGGACATATTCCTAGAAAAATACAAACTTCCAAAACTCAATCAGGAAGAATCTAAAAATCTCAATAGACCAGTGACTTGGGAAGAAATTGAAACAGTCATCAAAAAGCTTCCAGCAAACAAAAGCCCAGGGCCAGATGGCTTCACAGGAGAGTTTTACCAAATATTCAAGGAAGAACTAAAACCTATCCTCCTCAGACTATTCCAAAAAATCCAAGAGGAAGGAACACTTCCAAACTCCTTCTATGAAGCCAGCATCACCCTAATACCAAAACCAGATAAAGACAACTCAATGAAAGAGAATTACAGGCCAATATCCCTCATGAACATAGATGCCAAAATCCTCAACAAAATTCTAGCAAATCGACTCCAGAAGAACATCACAAAGATCATACACCATGACCAAGTAGGATTTATTCCAGGAATGCAAGGATGATACAATATTCGCAAATCAATAAACGTGATACATCACATAAACAAATTGAAAGATAAAAATCATATAGTCATATCAATTGATGCAGAAAAAGCATTTTATAAAATCCAACACCCTTTCTTGATAAAAACTCTTAACAAGGTGGGAGTACAAGGATCATACCTCAACATAATAAAAAGCTATATATCATAAACCCACAGCCAACATTATACTCAATGGGCAAAAACTAAAACCATTCCCTCTAAGAACAGGAACAAGACAGGGATGCCCACTCTCGCCACTCCTGTTTGACATAGTACTGGAAGTACTAGCCATTGCAATTAGACAAGAAGAGGAAATAAAAGGCATCCAAATTGGAAAAGAAGAAGTAAAGTTATCCTTATTTGTAGATGACATGATATTGTACATAAAAAACCCAAAAGACTCCATGAAAAAACTAATTGACTTAATAAATGAATTTGGCAATGTAGCAGGATACAAAATTAATGCCAAGAAATCCATGGCATTTCTATACACCAACAGTGAAACCACAGAAACAGAGGCTAAAAAAGCAATTCCATTTACCATCGCACCAAAAAAATTAAGATACCTAGGAATAAATTTAACTAAGGAAGTAAAGGACATATATGCAGAAAACTACATGACACTGAAAAAAGAGATAGAGGAAGATGTAAAGAGATGGAAGAACATACCATGTTCATGGATTGGTAGAATCAACATCATCAAAATGTCCATACTTCCTAAAGCAATCTATAGGTTCAATGCACTCCCCATTAAAATACCAATGACATATTTCACTGACCTAGAAAGAACACTCCAAAAGTTCATTTGGAACAATAAAAGACCCCAAATAGCCATAGCAATCCTGAGAAAGAAGAGTAAAGTAGGAGGAATCTCAATACCAGACTTCAAACTATATTACAAAGCCACTGTTCTCAAAACAGCATGGTACTGGCACAAGAACAGACATATAGATCAATGGAATAGAATCGAGAACCCAGATATCAACCCAAATCACTATGCTCAATTAATATTTGACAAAGGAGGCACGAATATACAATGGAGTCAAAACACTTTCTTCAATAAATGGTGTTGGGAAAATTGGACAGACACATGCAAAAGAATGAAACTAGATCACCAACTTACACCATTCACAAAAATAAACTCAAAATGGATACAGGACTTAAACATCAAACGGGAAACCATAAAAATACTAGAAGCATCCACAGGCAGCAAAATCTCAGACATATGCCAAAAGAACTTCTTCACTGATACTGCCCCTAGGGCAATGGAAGCTAAAGAGAAAATAAACAAATGGGACTACATCAAAATAAAAAGCTTTTTTACGGCAAAAGAAACCATCAACAAGACAACAAGAAAGCCCACGGTGTGGGAGAACATATTTGCAAATAATACCACTGTTAAAGGTTTAATCTCCAACATTTACAGACAGCTTATGCAACTAAATAAAAGGAAGATGAATGATCCAATTAAAAAATGGGCAATGGACCTAAATAGAATATTTTCAAAAGAAGACAGAAGGAAGGCCAAAAGGCACATGAAAACATGTTCAAAGTCACTAATTGTCCGAGAGGTGCAAATCAAAACAACAATGCGGTACCATCTCACACCTGTCAGAATGGCCAACATCAACAATTCAACAAACGACAAGTGTTGGTGAGGTTGCAGAGAAAAGGAACCCTCATGCACTGCTGGTGGTAATGCAGACTGGTGCAACCACTGTGGAGAACAGTGTGGAATTTCCTCAAAAAACTGAAAATGGAACTCCCATTTGACCCAGTAATCCCACTTCTAGGAATATATCCCAAGAATCTAGAAACACCGATCAGAAAGGATATATGCACCCCTATGTTCATAGCAGCACAATCTACAATAGCCAGAATTTGGAAACAGCCTAGGTGCCCATCAGCAAATGATTGGATCAAAAAACTTTGGTACATCTACACAATGGAATACTATGCTGCCATAAAAAAGAAGGAATTCTCATCATTTGCAGCAACCTGGATGGAATTGGAGAACATCATGCTGAGTGAAATAAGCCAATCAATGAAAGAGAAACATCACATGACCTCACTCATTTGTGGATAATAAAGAACATTATAAACTGATGAACCAAGAGACAGATATAGAGACAGCAAAGCAACAGGCAGACTGTCAAATTACAGTGGGGAGGGGAGGAAGATCTGGGGGAGATAGTAGATCAACCGAAGGACTTGTGTACATGAATATAAGTACAACCAATGGACATCAAACTCTGGGGAGGGAGGGTAAATATATGGAGGGAGGGAGGGGGGCAAAAAAAATCAATAAAATATATTTAAAAAAATAATAATAAAATAAAATAAAAAATAATAATAAGTTGGTTCCCTAGTATTTTGGAACCAATACATTTTGCTAGTAGTGATATTTTGGGAAGTATTATTAAAATCCCATTTATTTAAATATATTTGTATTAAAGTTGTTGAAGTTTGCATCCTTAAAAATAATAATAATAAAAATAAAAAAATAAAATAAAAGAATTGCTGGGGACCAACATAGAGTTGCCAAATTTCATTCTGACAAGGGCCTCTTCAATTTGATGAAGGCTTTCACGATTTAAAGTCTGTTGCCTACTACCACGATCGTTTCATGGAAGAACATTTTGCCTATGAAATTTGTAGGAAGGACATATCCCCAGGAGAACACTTGGACATTGTCTTCCCAGATGGAGCCACCATGGGACAGCGTGCAGGATGCCTGCACCCCGCCTCCCTTCACTTTATCAGGCCCGTCTCTGTGAGCCCTGAGCTGCCCCCGAGTGGAAAAGACCACCCGTCTTTTGCAAAAGGACACAGAGTGCTCTGATGTGGCTTTGGCCCACAGCTGCTCAGCGGGGGCTCCAGGTGGCCTGTCCCCGCTTCTGTGACATCTGCACACAGGCAGGCAGTCATGTATCGACAACTCGGTCAACTCCTCACCCTGTTTTCCATCGTGAGACGAGACGCTTCCTGCCGGAGGCTGCTCTCCACTCTGCGTTCAGTTTCAACCCGTTTCTTCAAGCCCTCGCTGACCTCCGGCAGCGCATGAATGTCACCCATCAGCTTCTCCTCCTCTTCGGTGTGCCTTCCCTTTTCTTCTCGACTGTGATTCAACTGACCAGATGATTCTTGTAATTTTCCTACAGTGAGGAGAACTGTCAGTGCTTGGCGCCACATCACTGGATTCTGATTTGGGCTTGGTCCTATGTATAGTTGTCAGGGGTCCTAAACTGTATCCAGCTAGAGATTAGGTTTTGTTTGGCGTAAACAATGTTTAAATTTTTTTGACATTATTTAAAACTTGTGATATTTCACATAAAATTTTTATTTCACATAAAAATGACTTCTCTTAAAACACACACACACACACACACACACACACACCCAAGACTATCAAGCAACACTGGGCCTGCATTCCTATGTGGCAACAATCCCCAGAGCTTGAGGCAGCTTCCCCCTTTTGATGCCCATGCACCTGATTGAACCCTCCACCCTGCCCACTCCTCACATTCATGCCGCTGCCTGGCCCGCGGGGGGTCAGAGTGCCGTGACTTCTGTCATGTCCCGGGTAGAGAGAACCTTTTTCTGAAAGCAGGTCCCTGAGGGGCCCAGTTACCTCTCATGTTTTCAGTCTGTTCATTCAGACGGATTTCAAGGTCTTGCTTCTGTTTCTCCAGTTCTGAGATTTGCTGTTTAAAGTCTGGGATCATCTTTGAGAGAATTAGAAATATTAGATTATGAAATACTTTCATCGATGAACTTTAAAATCTCAGAGCTCATCAGAAGCAAACAGAACTGCTGAGGAGTTTAACCCCGTGGAACATACATCTAATCTAGAATAATAATAAAAGGTAACATGCTAATTAGACTGGTCGTTCTTCCAGACATCCTTCAGGACGACCTTCCGAAGCCAGGCTGCGAGGGAAGCACGGGTCCCAGGTGCCAGAGGGAAGCTGGTGTTGAAGGAAGACATACTTTTGCATGAATTTTGTGCATTGGGCCTTTAGTAAATTGTATAAGAAGGCCAGCTAAGACATTATCCTGGATTGGTATGGTTTTTTACCTCGAGACCTGTATAGTCACGAGAAATACCAGCATGCTCAGAGGAAGCAGTTCCACACAGCCACGGTCCCCATCAGGATGACTCCTGGACAGCAGGGTGTGTGGTGGAGGGGCAGGGGCGGATGGGAATTCTGTGCTGAGCTGAGGGAGGGTGATGTGAGGAGGCGGCAGCCATCTAAGGACGGACCACCTTGAGGGGGTCGCACTGTGCCCTCTGCATTCTAGGCGGGGCTCAATCCTTTGTCCTTGTCTACCTGTATAGTTTTTAAATGTCTGTCACCGCTACTCTCAAGCAGGTAAAAACAGTTTTTCTGTTGTCCAAGTTTATAAAAACACCTACACTGCTAACACTCAGATAAAGAACACTTGTTTGATTGTGCAGTTATATTTCAACACAGATTCCTCATGAAAGTTTCACCCAAGGACCAAACAAAGACGTGAAGGTCCTTACTTCTGCTCCACGTGTTGGCTATGGCAGGGCCACAGCTCCTCACCTGCTGACACAGACCTGAGAGGTCCTAGTAGTTCCAGGTTAGGCAGAGGAGGAGGAGACAGCAAAGAAGCTGAGAAGGGGCAGTAGGTGAACCGTGAAGGGGATGAAAAACCTAGGAGGGTGGTGCTCTGGAAGCCATCAGAACAATAAGGAAGGAAAGGAAGCAAGTAAGTCATCAAATGCCACTGAGAGACAACGAGGAGGATGGAAATGATCCCTCTGTGCTCAGCTGGATGCAGACAGACCAGTAGGGGCACATGACAAAATAGGATGGCTACAGAGCAAATGGGAGGTGAATGGAGAGATTGCAGTTGGATGGCTGCTGAGAAGTCTGACAACATCCCCAAAGAAACGGGGTGGTGCCCTGGCTGGCATAGCCCAGTGGGTAGACTGTCAGCCTGAGCACTGAAGGTCACAGGTTCTACCAGTCAAGGGTATATACTGGGGTTGCAGGTTGATTCTCTGGCCCTGGTTGGAGAGCATGCAGGAAGCAATAAATTGATGTGTCTCTCAAATCAATGTTTCTCTCTTTCTCTCTCTCTCTCTCTCTCTCTCTCTCTCTCTCTCTCTCTCTCTCTCTCTCTCTCTCTCTCTCTCCTCCCTTCCACCTCCCTTCCATTTTCTCAAAAAAAAAAAAAAAAAAAAAAAAAAAAAAAAAAAAAAAGGAAAATCCTTGGATGAGGATTACCAAAAAGGAAAAAAGAAAGGGATAGAGTGGTAGCTACAGGGGATGTGGGGTCAAGAAAGAAATAGTTTTGAGTGAGGAGATTTATAAAGCCTTTCTCCATGCCAGTAGGCGTGAGTTAGCAGAAAGGACGAGACATGTGCAGGAGGAAAGAATGGGCATCTCAAGAGGGGAGGCCTCTGAAAAGGTGAGATGAGGAGTGGGAATAGAGAGACTGACCTGAGTGCATGCCTCTCTCGAATTATCCTTTTACCTTAATGTTGCTTTTGTCAATTTCCAAGAGGTATTGGCTAAATTTAGAAAACACACACACACACACACACAGAATGTGGACTCATCCTATGGAAAAAACACATACTTTCAAATCAGAGTGCTCTCCAACCTGACGTAATATAAGTTTCTCTTCTGACCCATGCATTTCACTCCTAGAAAACAAAAGTCTGATCCATTGTTTTATTGCCAAGAAACTGCATATGACTTGGCTAATGAATAACATCTCTAGAATAGTACCCACAACCGGGGCTCATGGCTGAGACCATACCATGTTTTCTGACGTCAGCCTGGTAACTTCATGTCGAATACTTTCATTGATGTCATTCTCTTCTCTAAATAATTTCTGTAGGTGGTTTATTTCTTGACTTAGATGTACTACTTTGAAGTTCAAAGCTTCTATCTCCTTTTCATAGCAATCCTTCTGGGATTGGAAATGGCTCTCCAAGACGCTGTTAGAGGAGGGACCGAGAAATTAGCCACTTGGTCTTCGCTCTGAGTGTGTGCACGTGCAACAGTTATGAAAACCCACCACTAGAGCCAAGAGCTAAGTACAAAAAGCATAATTATATGCACATCGCTACAGGGTATGGAACTAGTAACACAGAATTATAAAACTTAAAAAGCATATGTAGCATTAACATGCAGTTAGTAACCAATATTATTTTAGACATTATTAAAGTTACATTTTTACTCTAATGGTTTAAAAATGTCTTTATGCTGCAATAATGAGCCCAGAGAAGATACATTTCATTAAACATTTGTCAAAACAAATCCTATATAATAAAAGGGTAATATGCAAATTGACCCTAACAGCAACTGGGAATGGCCAGTTGCTATGGCCCACACTGGCCACCAGGTGACAGATGCTCAATTCAGGAGCTTCCTCCTGGTGGTCAGTGCGTTCCCATAGGGGGAGCTCTGCTCAGCCACAAGCTGGGCTGGTGGCTGCAAGCACAGCGGCGGTGGCAGGAAACTCTCCCACCTCCTCGGCAGCACTAAGGGTGTCTGGCTGAGGCTTAAGTCCGCTCTCCACAAGCTGCAGTCGGACATTCCCCAAGGGCTCCTGGGCTGCCAAAGAATGTCTGATTGCCAGCTTAGGCCCGATCCCCCAGGGAGCGAGCCTATCCTGGCAGGTGGACATCCCTGAGGGGTCTTGGATTGCTGGGCTGAGGGACCCCCCCAAGTGCATGACTTTTTGTGCACTGGGCCTCTAGTTTGATATAATCAGTTTTACCGTATAGGTTATGAGTTTTATCACTTAGCATTTTATCTCATAAAGAGTTTATCCCATAATTTTTTTTTTTTTACCAATTACTTAATTCTCAAAGAAATATTTTCGTGATTATTAGATCATTCTACTGTAAGAAATTTATTTTATGTGTCAAATCTATGTAAGAGAAACTTTTCACTTTCCAATCGTCTATTATCTCGGGGGGGGGGGGGGGGGGGAACCCTGCGGGAATTCCTCACCGGGTTGCTTTCTTTAGTCCTTCATAAGCAAACCAAAGTTCTCCATCCTCATTTAAATGCTCCAAATCTTCCACAGACAGCCTGGAAAATAAGGAGGGTAAGAAAGTCTATCGTCTCTCTCACGTGTTACACGTTTCTAACTGTTTGATAATGCAAAAATGATTACCTGCTTCTCACATCTGCAATGTCATAGCTTTCGAGGAGTTGCTTGGTGATCTCCGACATCTTTTCTGAGAGGAAAAGACAGAGCTGGTATAAATTACGTTCTTGCCTGGTTTCTCCCGTTCTCTTTCTAGGGCCCAGTTACCTTCACAGAGTCTCCAGCTGCTAACCATCCCAGCAGCTAAGAAACTGACCAACTATTTAACCCACCAGCTATCCAACCAATCAACCAACCAATTAGCTATGGAGCCAACCAGCTATTCAGCTAACCAACCAGCTAACCAACCAACCAGCCTCATGTCAATCAAAGGAGCATTTCCTTACCAGTGACACTTATGATACATTCAGACTGCACCCATGGGCTCGGTGCCTCATGGTTTTCTTACCTCTCATTTCACGCTTTTGTGACTGCACATGTTTTTCCACGTCTATCTTCTGTGTCTGAAGTAGCTCTATTTCCTTTTCAAACTCAGAGATTGTCTGAATCACAGCAATGACCAGGTGAAGAAAAAAGAGCTGCTGTGATTTTTATCAGACAGGGGGAACACTCTTACAGCACCATCTACCCATACAGGGCATCCTCACTGCTACTTCTTAGCTAAACTCTTGTTAAACCATTCCTGCCCATACATACAGCATGGCCTTGATGCATGTTTAACTGCCCCAAAATACTGTTATTTCCAGATCTACTCAGTCATATCAACAGAATTGGTTTCCCTACCTAAAGGGAAACAATAACTACTTGCTACAAGCTTTGGCGGGGTGGGGAGGAAGGAGAACCCAGAGAAGGAAATTCAAAGGGGCTGATTCTCTTTCCCCGTAGTTTGAAATATTGGATGTGGGCAAGGCCGCTACATTTGGAAGTATGGGTTTGGGTTCAGCTGGGTTTAGGAGTGGCGCAGTGGCAGAGCCAGGCACACCCAGAATTTGGGGGGTGGCCATGGGGCGTGCTAGGGGTACCCTGAGGGGTAGCCCTGGTTGTAGGGGGGAGGCTGTATCCTGCCTCTTTTACCGATCAGCTCAGCTTGAGCAAGGATGTCAGGTTTGTGCTTGAACAAACCTTTGGGGGCAGAGGTGACTAAGCTCTCGCTGACATTTTCTCAGTTAGTCCAAGTGTTTAAGGCCTACATACAAGTCCTGTTTCTACAGGGCGTGGGAAAGGAAATCACATTGACATTTGCTGGTCATTTTACATACACAACCGCCTCCTTAAAACAGGATCATAGGGTGAGTAGGGTGACCTTCTATAGATTAGAAAACAGAAGCTGCATAGAGTAAACGGCATGTTCAGGATCAGATGGCAAATTGGTGGGGCCCCAGGACTATCCAATCCGAAAGCCCCGCTCTCTGTAATGTTTCAGTCATGGTTACAAGTGTATTTATATAGATGGATTATAACACACATAACTTGATGATGATACATTTTCTTTCTTTGCAAATGAGACTAATCGCCACACTGGAGAGTCTGGGCCATAGTTTTTGTTCCCAAAGAGGTAGTGACAAATATCGGTGCCTTACTCCAAGTGTAGCCACATAATTTTCCAAGATGCAGACCGTAGCCAGATGGCCGACTCCCAGAGGGACAGCGGTGTCATGTGACTGCTGAGAGCAAGGCAGTCACAGGGCTGGGTGGTCCCACCTCCCACTTTAAGCACCAGGGGCCCCGGGCACAGAGATAACGGACAGCTCTGCTGTGGAGTTCACAGGCAAGTCTGGGGGGATTCCTAGAGCTCTTCTAAACCATGCATGGCTCTTCCATGACAACCAGAATATTTGCAAAATCTTCACAAACATCTACTAACATGTGTTTCACATATTCAGTGAAAGCTTAAAAACTTTCCAACCTTGCAGAGACATGTTTTGCATTTAAGAACACAGGAACATTCTGGTGGGGAAGGAATTCCAGTTAAGCCTGACTGTCCAAGCACGCAACATTGCTTTTGTGAGAGTTGCTGGTAACAGTTTAAAATGTAAGATTCTGACAATGTGGCAATGTATTTTTAACACAGGCATTTAGAGTTACACTAGAAGCCTGGTGCACGAATTCCTGGTTGAGGGGACAATTTGCATATTAGCCTTTTATTATATAGGATAACACCATGATGGACTGTGTAAGAGCTCATGTCCATTTATAATTTAATTTGGACGTATTCTCTAGGTCAAGATATTTGAGTAGCTTTATGTAAATGTAATTTTAAACAAGAGAGCTGACCTTTAAAATAGGAAAAGCCATTATTGTTAAATCAAAGGCGGCTGGGGCTTTATACTGGGAGGAACTGAAGTAATCAGGGTCCTTTCGCTTCTGGCTTCACACACGCATTTGCATTTAGCTGCCTGAGCCTGTGGGAAACTAAAGCTGCTCCCCCTTCACTCCCCCTTCTCACTCCCCTCCCCCTCCACACACCCTGTGCAGTGACCTGACTCAGAGGGAGCTGGGGAAGCGGAAGCCTCTACCTTGGCCTGCTGGCTCAGCTGGGCCACCTCCCTCTGCAGGTCCCCCGAGGTGGCCCGCTCCTCCTCCAGCTGGTGCTGCAGTTGCACTTTCTCATCCTTGAGAGCTTTGATTTCTTCTTTCAAAGAGCACATCTGCTTCTCATAGTCATGTGTTTTCAGTTCAAAGCTTTTTTCAAGAAGACTAGGCAGCAAAAGGAAAAATAATTCAGAATTGTCTCTAAAGTCTTTACCCTGAGTTAGAACGATACATCATTTTGAAAATAAGAGGAGATTCCAGAAAGGAGGAGACAAGTTAATTAGGATCTATTGTGACAGTTTCCATAATAATGGCCTTATTTTTAGCTGACTGTTTCCTGTCCCCTTAGGGTAAGGAAGCTTCTTCCACTTTCTGATCAGAGAAGAGTGGCGCTAACATGGTCCCACACAGAAGAAACACAGCACAGGAGGTTGAACTTAAAGTCTCAGTGGTGGTTGGGGCACTGTATTCCCAAAACCATCCCAGTTCCATGTGGCCCCCTCGGAGGGGCCACATCCCTCGGCAAAGACCTTGGCACGCTTGGCCAAGTCCTGGCCCCTGCCAAGTCCCAGGGATCCTGGAGGGCTTTGGCCTGGTGCTACTCAAGATAGCGCAGTCATTTAATATGTCAAAGCATCCAGCCCTTCAACGATTCTAGAATAAGTTTCAGCAAATTCAGGTGCCCCAACTTCCAGGAAAACCCAATTCCTCGTGAGATAGCTGCTCAGTTAAATATGGGTGAATGACCAAGAAAATAACTGAAGAGAGATCCATGACCTAGACCAGCCAACACAGTCCACAGCAGCCCACTTAGAACTGAAGCAGACCTAGGGGCTCTATGAGTTTATGAGTTACCATTCTACTTGCTAAACTGTTGACGGGTTTATGACTTGCTTTTATAGCACGAAAGGAAAATCCCTGAGGAAGAGAGTCACATTCCCAATAGGTTTTTGTTTCATTTCCTTTTATAGATATTATTAAAAATTTAAACTTTGTTTTCAGGTTTTTAACCCCCCCCTACACACACACACACACACACACACACACACAGTCACCTGGCCAGCGTGGCTCAGCAATTGAACGTCGACCTATGAACCAGGAGGTCACAGTTCGCTTCCCCGTCAGAGCCCATGCCTGGGCTGTGGGCTGATCCCCAGTAAGGGCCGTGCAGGAGGCAGCTGATCAATGATTCTCTGTCATCATTGATGTTTCTATCTCTCTCTCCCTCTCCCTTCCTCTCTCTGAAGTCAGTAAAAATATATTCAAAAAAACAAAACAAAAAAAAAACCCCTCAGTACTCCTAAGAGGCCAGCAAAATACCTTTGAAGAAGCAGACTGCAGCCGGCAGTCACATGTAAAAACAAACTTAAATTTGTAGCCTAAATGAGGCAGGTGTGTTCTTCCCACAGACTGTGGGCTTCTTTGTGCCTCCGTCGGGTTGTGACAGTGGCCAAGATGTCCCCGTTCAGCTGACCAGGGACCAGACGGAGCTACAGGTGAGTGCTGATGAGGTTTGCAAAGAGCTCAAGGTGACCTGGCCTCAGCCTGGCTCTCCCAGCCTCCTGCTTGCAATGGTCACTCCCAAGTGGCCCTCACTAGTACACAGTGAGGGTCCAAAAACCAAACTCCTTCCCTAGAGTTGAAAGTTCATTGAAAAATAGATTTTTCAAGGTAAAGTCAAATGTCTCTATTTTAAAATTGATGCAGGATCATGAGACACTTTGTTAGCTCTTTGGACTCTTCAGTGACACTCCCTCCCCTAGCTTTTTGGCATGTTCCTCCCCACCCAGACCCAGGCTACTGACTAACTGCATGCGGAGGCTGCATATCCTACCACCCCAGGAAGCCCTGAGCCTCCTAGCCCCCTACATCCTGGATGCCAAGAATGTTCCATTTCTTCCCAACACCTTGCTCCGCATTCCCTACTATGAGATCTAAAACCTTTCAGTTGACTTCTTAAGAGAAGGGAGCCCAGATTGGAGATTAGTAAAGGGTTTGATATTGACAAGGCCACAGGGAGCAGCCTTAGTTTCTGTGAGGGTTTCATATCCCTCACTGTGCGGGACAAGAGTCACGTGAGCAGGTGTAACAGGAGTGGAGAGGGAGGTGTATTTCCTAGGCAAACTCTTACTTCTTAGGCTTCAGGGAAGTTGAAAGGGTAGCAATGTCTGAACTCCTCACAGTCTCGGTAAAAAAGGGAAAGCAAGAAATTCCAAGGGTCCCCTGCCCACACTGCAGAACCCAGGCAGTGTCTGCAAGGTGCACAGGGAGGGCATTTGCTCTCCCAAACCTCCAGCCACGTTTTCACTGCCTACAAATACGCACACCCTGTTCTCTTGCCTGTGACCTGCTATCTGCAAGCCAGGAAGCAAAGTAGAAAACAGCAGAGAGAGACAGCGGCAGTTGTAAGGCAACCCATGTTTCATACATTCTTTGTCGTTCTTCTTTTTGCACGTCCTCAAAGAGCTGCTTGGTGAGGTCATCCATTTTCCCTGTGAAAAGACAACGCTTTTTGACATAATGCACACCAATGCCTGGATTGCTTCACGTCTCATTTAAGAAAGTGTGAGTGTAAGAACAGTCATGGGTATTTATTCCTCATAGGACAACGAGTGTAACTGTCACTTTTATAAACTAGAAATACAGGTCCGGGGGTTCAAAATAATAATCCTCACAAATTTGTCATATTGAAATCTATAGTTTCACTTATATCACTTTGATTGGTTTGAATATCATTTGTTTGATTAAAATTAGGCATATTGGCTTTGGGATAATAAATATGTTTTTTATTAAAAGTAAACAGAAACCCTTTGGGGAGAAAATAATCAATTTATGATAGGGTTTCTCAATCTTAGCATTATGATACTTCAAGGGAGGTAATTCTTTATCGTGGCGGGGAGGGGTCCCCTGTGCACTGTAGGATATTGCACAGCATCCCTGGCCTCTACTCACTAGAATCCAGCGGCACCTTCTCCACTTATGACAATTAAAAATGTGTCCAGATACTGCCCAGTGTCCTGGGGGGCACCTTGACTGAAACCAGTCATTCATGATAACCAAAAAAATAATGTCTTCATTTAAATACGGGGTCTCTAACACAGAGTGCAGGTTAAGGTAGCAGAGGATCTGGACATCCTCCGGCCATGACAATCCCACGTCCCTAGCATGTCCACAAATGACAGGTGCCTTTCAAAATAGGAGCAGATGACAGATGCAGCCCATCAGAGCGGGGTGTCCCTATTTGTTCTTAGCTGACACCTCATTCTTGAGTTTTGCCAGATTTCTGAGTCCTGCCCCAGAGGGGAGCCCAAGGATGAAGTTATAATAGCAATTCTCCAAATTATTTGGTTTAAAAAAAAAAAAGCCAACAGTTTAATAGTTTGTCCGGTGCAGTGTCAAATGTCCTTGAATCAAATGATTGCTTTAGAACATCATGAGTCAGCCAGAAAACACGAGGGAAGACGCCTAAGGTTAAATTTAGAACCAGCATGTCTATCTAAACTAATAAAAGGGTAATATGCTAATTAGATTGGGAGACATTCTGGATGTCCTTCCGGAAAAAGCCATGGTGGCGGGGCCAAGGCAGAGGCAGTTAGGGGCGATCAGGCCAGGAGGGGAGGGCAGTTGGGGGCAAGCAGGCTGGCAAGGGTATGCTAGATGCCCAGGCCTGAATCCTTGGGTCTCATGTGCCCCAGGTCAGAGCTTAAGGAAAAAGGTCCCTGGAAAAGACAGGCAATTGAGTGTGGTGATTTCAACCACCTGGTCAGGAACCACCTGGTTCATGAGCCTGTTGGGGTTTAGCAAGTGCTTACGATTAGAATTCAAGTTGGACAGAGCCAGGCTAAGAGTGGCTGCTTCACACCCTAAATAAAAGTGGCACCACCCCTGGTTCCAAGCATCTGCACCTGACAGCCTGGGGGTGCTGTGGCTCATGAGGGAAGCATGCCCTTAGTTCAGGGCCAGGGTACCCTTAGATCAAGTAAGGCGGACAGTTATGCACTCTGACTGCAAATCCTTGGCAAACAACAAACCCAACTCCAACATTATCCTAACCCCCACAGCACACCCATGCATACACACAGACACACATCCTTTCCACCTGTGATGAAAAGGCTCCAGGCTTATGGCCAAACATCTGTACCTAGCAAGTGGCCCAGGGAGGGTCTAGACAGGAATTGCTGTGCTGTCTGACAAAGATGGAAATAAACAGATGAATCTATAGGAAACTGTTACCACAATTTAAATGTAGTTATTTTATGTGGAGCAACAACATTCTTGTTATACTAAGTACACACCAGAGGTTCTGGAGGCAGCCTAAAACTCGGTTCACTGCCAGTGGTTATTCCGGAATGACCGGACAAACACACACATGGGTGAACGAATCAGGCCGCCGTGGGCTTTACCTTTCAGCTCTTCAGTCTGCTCCTGCAGCTTCCGCTGTATCTGCTCTTTTTGTACTTCCAGCTCCGAATTATGCTTCTGAAGCGTTGCCAATTTCTAGCAAAGGGAAGCAAAAACTTTTTGGAAAACCTCATTTTAAGTTTTGTTACCACTGTCCTACTTGGTGAAAAGCTATGTCTTTTTAAAATAGTATGTGTGCATGTGTATGTGTATGTATGTATGCATGCATATGTACACACACACACACACACACACACACACTCTATCCGTGGATAGCAGCCAGCACCAGTGCATAGCATCACACTGCATTTACTTTTGCATGCATGAGCTCCAGGTGACTGCAAGCAGACACCAGTTCCGAGCCTGCAAGGGCTGCGACCAAGGCACCAGACCAAACCAAGGTGACCTCACATGTCAAGGAATCTTCTCTATCCCTTTTTCTTTTTCTTTCTTTTTTTTTTCTATCCCTTTCTTGAGCTTCTCCACACACAGGGTATTTATCTATTTAATGTGATGTAAATTATTTGTGATATACTGTGGATTCACATTTTGAAAGTTTTATGACTCAGGAAGGCAGGCTGTGTGATTGTGATGTAAGTTCTACTATTTTAGCTCTTTTTGGTCAAGTGTATGCTGGGCTGGCAGCTGAAGGCGCTGATGGATGGTTAGTGACCAGCAACGTGAGCAGTGCCAGCAACCAGGCACCAGGCCTTGGGGAGGCAGAGAGATGCCCAGGACTCCAGGCTGCCACAACCTTGGGTGCAGGAGGATGGATGGGAATAAAGACACCTCGTTAGAAAATACCAGCTCACTCGGTGCAGGGCTCTGTGACAGGCATTTAGCTAAATGATTTCATCTGAAAATTTCATCCTCGCAACAACGCTGTCAAGTCACTTTTTGTCATTTCTGTTTTACATAGGAGGAATTGAAGTTCAGAGAGGGTGAGGGCAACTTGCCTAAGGCCACCCAGCCAGACAGCAGCAAAAACAAGCATAGAGCAGGGACACTGGATTTTTACATCTGCTGCTCTTCTGCCCTCCCCACACCCGAGCTCTGCGCTGCTGATCTGGGTAAGGTGCCCAGGGCTCACACCAGATGGGCCAGCAACTGGGGACCAAGACGGTCCTGGCAGAGGGGGAAGCAGCCACAGGGCCCCTTCTTGGCCTTCGTCTCTTGACAAGAGTCGAAAGGAAGAGGCACCGTCATACTGTGTTTCTTCCCTACGCCCGGCTCTGCCCTCTGTTCTCGGAGGGGGAGGCCCCTCTGACAGCGGGGGCTCCGTGGGGACACATGCTGAGGTCCCTCCCGTGGGAAGGCTCACAGCTGTCGCCAGTCACAACCAGCACTGACCTCTTCCACAGCAGCCTTGTATCTCTGCCCCTTCTCCTCGTAATTGCGTCTATGGGCAACTGCCCTGTCCAGTTCCGATTCCAGTTTCTGAATCTTCTCCATGTCACCGGCCTGAGCGGCAGCCAGGCTGGTCACCTTCTCCATCAGCCCGTGGTTCTCTCTGTTCTAGAGAAGAACAGCAGGTGCTCAGGGGTTTATCCCAAACAAAGAAGCCGTTCCCTTGGCTTCTCACAGCCTTTACCACGGCATCTAAATCTCAGAGGTCCAGTTACGTTGGCCACGTGTATCACTGTGAGCGTGGATGAGCATCCTCGTGCCAGGGAAAGCAGCGAGGCAGAGCCGGTCGGTTCACGTTCCTGAGCTGGTGGGCTCTTCTACTGCGGGCCGGTCTAGCCCCAGAGCACCAGGCAACGCTCCTGTGGGCTGAACCGGGTTCCCCACTGCCCCCAATCACATGGTGACATCCTAACACCCAGCACTTCAGAATGCGACTGACTTTAAACACAATTGAGGTAAAACGAGGCCATGCGATGGACCTAATTCAGTATGGCTGATGTTTTTATGAGGAGATCAGGACACAGACACACACAGAAGGAAGGTGATGTGAAGACAAAGGGAGGAGGTCTCGGTTCGATTCCCGGTCAGGGCACCTGCTGGGTTGCCAACTCGATCCCTAGTATGGGGCATGCAGGAGGCAGCCAATCAGTGAATCCCTCTCATTGTTGATGTTTCTCTCTCTCTCCCTCTCCCTTCCTCCCTAAAATCAATAAATAATATAAATATAAATATAAATGTAAATGTAAATATATACATATATATACACACAGACATGGTGAGGAGATGGCCATCTGAAAGCCCAGGGGAGACAACTCAGTGGAAACCAGCTCAGCCAACACCTTGAACATGGTACGATGTTCTGCACAAGCCATGTAACACAGGCCTGCCACACAGCAGTGCAATAGGGGAAACTGTGTCAAAATGTCAAGTGTATTTGCTTGCACGCTGATTCATCCATTAAGGATCCTCATAGTACAGTTAAGGCTGCATTTAAAGTTCACCTCAGGCTGAAACCGGTTTGGCTCAGCGGTAGAGCGTCGGTCTGCGGACTGAAGGGCCCCAGGTTCAATTCCGGTCAGGGGCATGTACATTGGTTGCGGGCACATCCCCGGTAGGAGGTGTGCAAGAGGCAGCTAGTCGATGATTCTCTCTCACAGACGTTTCTAGCTCTTTATCGCTCTCTCCTCCTCTCTGTAAAAAATCAATAAAATATATATTTAAAAAATAAATAAATAAATAAAGTTCACCTCAGGAGACTCTCAGTATAAAGAGAGGCAGCCCAGGAGCGAGCTTCATAGACCTGGACGCTGCATATTGCACAGCCCCGCCCATGGGTGGAGAGCAGTGGGAATGGCACAGGGATTCTTCTCACACTAGGCAGGGCTACAGCTGGGCCTGATGGACCTTCGGGCAGATTAGGAAATGGCAGCTCCTCTGAGCCAAGACCTCCCTGAGGGAGCCTGGCTTGGCACCCAGACAGCAGCTCTGTGCAAGTTTAAAAAGGCACTCCTGCCTCCAGGCAGCCCATCTCTGTGCCAGAACACATGGATTGGCAAGCAGAGCCAGGCTCAGTTTCAGCTCCACTGGCCCTCCTGGGCAGCTGCCCTGTGCAGTGTACAACCTGCACGACCATATGCAGCAGCCCTTTAAAATGTGCTTCTGTTTCCCAGCTCAGGGTACATGTGAACCTCCAGCATGAGTATAAATTTGACTGCATAGCTAAGTAACTGGCCCAGGACAAAATATATCTATTGAAAAAAGTAAGTATGAAAGATCCATTAGGAACACCTACCTGATCTTCTAGCTTTTTCTGCAGGCGCTGGACCCTGTACGTGAGCTGAATGTTGAGCACGAACCGCCGGATGCTCTGGAACCTGCGCCGGGCCAGCCAGGCCCGAGCATATTTCTGAAGGATCACAGCCTTGTGCTCCTCCAGCATCTTTAAAACAAGATTTTGTGAAATGCAAACTGGCTCGCCATTCTTTCTCTCATCATCGCCTCCAATGTTGGGAGGTACAACTACCACAAGGTTCCCACAGTGAAAAGATGGATTTCTTGTAATCCACCCATAGGGACCTACAACAGACTTTGAAACAATAGCCAAATCCCACCTGTAGCAGCCATGTCTGGACATTCACATACCAGAGCTTCCTGCTCTAGGAAGGTCTTCATGCAGACACACTATCTCACGCTAGGCACACCTCAGAGGAGCCGAAATAAAGTGAATATCACAGTGAAGTGAGTATCAAGAATTGTTGGGTTTCCCAGGGTATGTAAGAGTCATATATACACTATAGTGTAGTCTATTACGTGTGTAGTAGTATTATATCTAAAAAAGCACATAACAATTAAAAAATACTTTATTGCTAAACAATGCTACCCATCACCTGAGCCTGTTCGAAAAATGGTGCTGATCGGCTTGCTCAACACAGAGTTGCCACAAACCTTCAATTTACATATTAAAAACCCCCACAATTATCTGTGAAGAGCAAGAAAATGAGGTATTCCAGGACTGCTGGTGAAAAATAACACGAGCTCTGGGGAAGCCTGTGGTCCCGGCCGCACCTTGCGATACCTCCTCCGGGCCAGACATCCTCGGGTGTGGGCCTGGATGGTGATGGTGGCCACGCGGATCAGCTGGTACAGACTGCGGACGAGGTACCCGCGGCAGTGCTTCTGGATGGTGATGGCTGCCCAGGCCTCTTTCAAGGCTGCCGCGGTCACGGCTTTCCTGGTTAAGAAGAATGGGGAGTCAACCTGTTACCCACAGAGCACTGGCTTCCACAGTGTGCGCTCTTTCCTGCTAAGGAAGAGTCACATGTTTTGCAAATCTACACATTATGCTCTGTGAGTGGTTTATTGTAATGCCAGACTGAGATCCATCATCACCGTCTCCCCTTTCACCCTCATCTGAATATGCTGGCTCCGGGCATGAGGAACTTCACACTCCTCATATCCAGGCTGATAATCCACCCGCCTCACGCCCACAGGGATGGTGGCAACAAACCTGTGCCTTGGCATTGCTCTTGCTCCTTCACCTGTGGGCCATTGGGCTGAAGGTGCTAGATCAGGGAGGGAGTGGCAAACCAGGCTTCAGGGCCAAGCCTGCAGCTGTCCACCTGTGCCGGTCAGGTTTTACAGGAACACCCACACCTGTGCTTTACAATCTTCCCTGTGCCTGATGTCATGCTACACGGCAGAGGTGAATAACTGAGCGAAACTGCAGGGCCCTAAAAAGCTCTCACAGAACACATTTGTTGACTTCTATCCAAAGGACTGGAGAAGACGACAAAGCTCTTACCTTCAGGATTCACCACCTTGTGAACCAGATAGACTTACAAGTGGCCAAGTGATATATGAGAGAAATAGAATATCCGCTAAAGGATCCATAAGCGAGATCTTACTTGGGAAGGGCTGATCTGTGAGCCAGCCCTTGATGGAAAAGGACAGCGAAGGTTGGAAAAGCATTCCATACTGGAAGCCTAGCAGTGCTGGAATGTTCAGAAAAAGAGACTCTGTCTAAAATTCCCAGAATATGATATGCATGCAGAAAATTAATAGTCAGTGAGGTTAAGAAAAACAGATGGAAACAGTGTGTCATCAGAGCAACCTTTATGACTGGTCTACTGGTTGCTCTGATGACACACTAACCACCAGGGGGCAGACGCTCAAACTCAGGATCTGCCCCCTGGTGGTCAGTGCGCTCCCACAGCCAGTCAACCTCCAGTGGTCCCTCCCCCTGGCCAGCCATCCCAGACCGGGGATTACCCCGATTGGCCCCAATCAGCCAGGCCAAGGGACCCCACCCGAGTTCGTGCCCTAGGCCTGTAGTTGAAAGATAGATAGATAGATAGATAGATATAGGTATAGATATAGATATAGATATATCATCTACTATGTGACAGCCACTCTGCTAGGTCCTAGAATGGATGCAATGGAAACCAGACAAGTACGGTCCTTGTCCTCATGGAGCTTCCATTCTTATGAATGCATCCAGGCTATAGCAAAGATTGAATGCTACCCAGTCAGTGTGGCTCAGTGGTTGAGCATCAACCTATGAACCAGAAGGTCACAGTTCTATTCTCAGTCAAGGTACCTGCCCAGGTCGTGGGCTCGATCCCCAGTGTGGGGCATGCAGGAGGCAGCCAATCAATGATTCTCTCTCATCACTGATGTTTCTATCTCTCTCTCCCTTTCCCTTCCTCTCTAAAATGAATAAAAACACATTTTAAAAAAATAAAGAAAAGATTGAGTACTCTTTGGTAGGAAACAGGGGCTGCTGGAGGCATCCAGAACAGGAGCAGGGCAGTGGCTGGATCAGGCCCTGCTTTAGGAAGATGGAGAGAAAGGAATGTGCTCTAAGTGTGTAAGGAAGTGATGATGAAATGAAACAAGCAGGATGATACAGAGGAAAGTGAAGGGTACATGGGATATAAAATCAGGCTTTGTGATTCCCGACTGAAAAGGAGCACACTCTTGGGAAGAAGATAAGTCTAGGGTTTCCTGCCCTGGAGGCTGCTGTTGTTAACTGAACTAAGAAGCTCAGGAGGGCGAGCCCGGCTGCACGTGCGTGTAAGCCGGTTGCCTGGGGCACGTGGCTGTGATGGCAAGTCCGGTTTGGGGCGGGCTGAGATGAAGGTGGCGGTGTACCAACCACGTGGAGAAGCGCAGGAAGAGGTCGGGCTCAGTGACACACCTGCTTTCGCAACTATCCTAGGGCCATGATAGGCAAACCATGGCTCGAGAGCCACGTGCAGCTTTTTGGCTCCTTGCGTGTGGCTCTTCCACAAAATACCACAGCCTGGGCGAGTCTATTTTGAAGAAGTGGCATTAGAAGAAGTTTAAGTTTAAAAAATTTGGCTCTCAAAAGAAATTTCAATCGTTGTACTGTTGATATTTGGCTCTGTTGACTCATGCATTTGCCGACCACGGGCCTAAGGCATGCCATGGAAGTACACGGTGCAGTCCGGGAACAAGGCCTGTCTCACTGGCCAGCCCAGCATGGCCTCTTGGGAGCTCCCTAGGAGGGTGGGACTGGCATGGCTGGTGGGACTGCCCTGTGCTCAGCCATCCCCTTGGGCCACCACGCAGCCTTGCCCAAGGGCTACATGTTTGCTGGAAGGGCCTCCCCGTCAACCCCCTCAGGTGTGCTCTGTCTCCTGTCCTCTGCCGGTGGACTGGTCATTGGCAATTTATGGCGTCTTTACTCAGGGGCTTCACCAAGACTTCCTAGGCATTTTCAATTCTCACAGAAGAGGAGCCCAGTCCCTCCATCTGCTCTCATGGGGAATTCTGACCTCCTCAGAGACACCCTGATGGGGGCTTCCTCTCTTCTGGGTCTTGGTTGTCACCTGTCCCACATGGGGACAGCGGGCTGAGTCAGCACTCCCTGCCTTGAGGGACACACCCTTCTCATCTGGAGGCTAATGTGCACCCTGAGTCCCACGAGAAAGGTCCTTTGTCCTTGACAGGCCTCTCCCCCCTCCCGTTCGTGACCAGCAAAGAAAGCTGCACAACTGCACACGCCTCCTCCCCCACCTACCTGACCGTGTGCTGCCCCCGGAAGTACTGCTGGATGGTCAGGGCGGCTTGTCTCTGGCGGAGGAATTTTTTCCTCTGGAGCCAGCCCCGGACGTGCTTTTGTATCACAACACAACCCTGCCTCAGTTTATCCAGTCGGAGTTTCTCTAAAAAAGCCACTTGTCCTGCTCTGAAGAAAATTTTGGTTTTACCAAACTGGTACTGATTGGAATCCTGGAAGAGAAAAATAATCAGAAACAAAATCTTTTCAGATTTTCTACAGTATTCGGAAAAGATGTTCAGAGATTCAAAGATGCCCAAAACATTGATATGTTTTACATTTTTGTTCTTTGACTTAAAGCAGAAAAACTGATCATGACCTAGAAATTTATATTTTGACTTGTTTGTCCACAAAGAGGCAATAGGCACTGGGAAAGGCTTGGTTTCTATCTTCATTTTGGTTCCTTTTTGACTCCCTTCCTGACCGTCACAACTCCTTCCCTATCTCTTTTCCACCATAACTCACTGCTTCGGCAATTATCTAAACCCACAGCGGGGGCTCCGTCTGGAACCCTGGCTCGGTGACCGTCTGATGGACTGTGTAACATAAGCCAGGCCCATGGAGGATCCCCAGGATGTGGGAGCACAAAGCCGGACAGGAGGACACTGGGAGAAGCCGAGGTTGGAATGTGTGTCCCTAAAGGGGAGTCCTGCTGCCAGGAGGGGATGCCCATGAGCCTGCTGCTCTGAACTCCTTAGCACGTCCCAGCTTAGGCACATCTTCCCTCTTAGCCACCGTGACAATCACAGTCCAGAGACTGAGGCAAAGACGAGGAAAAATACATTTGGGAGACGCACTTCTTGGTCTGAGCCTGTGACTCGAGGTGAGCGAACCTGACCTGGATGAGCCTGTGTAAAACCACCTTGCAGACCTCCTTTTTATCCCCGAACGAAAGCTCTTGCTTGGTCATGAGGATACCATAGCGACTGTAGAACTCGATGTACGTCCACCTGGAAAGTCAAAGAGGATGTAAGAAGGTGTGCCAGACAGGAAGCGTGTCACCTGACACTGCTGGTGGGGTGCAGTCTGTTCTTGGGTGATGGCCCTGATCTCTGACCTACGTCCCCGCTGGGACACCACCCAAATCTCATGCAGAGCACATGTGTCTACACCTGGACTGATTTTATTAATGCTCAGCTCCAACAATGTCCCAATGTCCTCTCCCCATCTCCACTCCTTTCCCAGACACCGGGAGGCCACGGGTGACCCTCGGCAGCAGCTGAGGATAGGGTGGTGGTGATGGCAACTGCCTCCCCTCTCACCACCCTCTCCCCCACCCCCACGCCGCCTGCTTGTCACCCTGTTCTGGCCTAGCACAGAGGGACAAAACTTGGGAGCATCTTATGAAAGTATGTGACCAACACTCCCTCGGTCTCAGCACAGACCTGGAGTTGGGCACCTTCCCCCGAAACAAGGACAGCCCGCGTACCGGGACGGGTAGCTCTGCGCACTGATGCGGATCGTTTCCAGGACGCCGCAGGCTCGCAGCTGCTGGACAATTCTCTTGGAGTCAAACCTTAAAGAAGAGATTTTACAAGGTGTTAAGCCATCCTCGTGGACAATCGTGTCCGTGAGCAATGCAGCAGAGCTGCCCTGACCGGGAGCTCCCGGGGAGCACGGCCGTCTCTGTAGCCCACACGCCACACACAGCAGACAGGTAATGAGGGTGAGTGGATGTCAAATGGAAATGGCACCTCTGTGACACAGTTCAGGAAGCTGAGGACACAGAGAAAGGAGAGGCTGGTTCTGAAGGAGGCGACGGGGAGAAGGCCTTTGGGGAAACACCATTGGGTTGAGCTTCGAATGACAAGAGTGGAAGACATGTTCAAACTGACCTTGTCCAAGTGCCCGTTTGATGCCCGAGTTCCCTCTACAAGACACCCAGCAGGCAGCCCTCTGCCTTGGCCTGACCCTCTGGTGACCACATCCACACCTCCAGGACAGCACATTCCCCTCAGCCAGCCCTCAGCTCCATCAGCTAAGGGGGACTCGAGACCTCCCACTCACAGATCTGGAGTTCTTTCCCGGGGCCCCAGAGGGAAGTCTCATGGCTCCTGCCATGTCAGGGCGTGAAGCTGTGGCCCCCTCCTTCAGCCTTTCTCCTTTAAACACACACAGAGTCTTTGAGAACCAAGGAACACACTCGAGCTTTCTCGGTTGCATAAACTTCAAGTGCAGACTGTTCCTTCACCTCTCGCCACTTTGCTTCATGTGGGAGATAAGGGGGCTCGGCCACAGGGACTGTGCTAACATTATGTGTACAGGGCAGGATCGTTTTGAATCAGAAACAGTAAAGTTCAAGACAATTGTAGGCACACTCTCCAATATCATGACGGAAACACTCTGCCACGTGAGAGCACTTACTCAAAGGGCAGTTTCTCATCGTTTGGCTTGATGCAGCGAACGTAGTGGGGCGTGGTCGCGTTGAGGGTCTCCATGAGCAAGGACAGAGAGCTGCGGAACTAGGAGACAGAGTCAGACAACAAACGTGCTGAAAGGGAATGCTTACATCGCGCCAAAAAAAGGCCCCACCTTGGTAAATAAAGAGGAAAAGTTAACTTTATGCTAAAGGTCTATTATGAAAGCTTTCAACCCATGACTGCGGTTATCAGCGTGTCCCACTGCCCTGGACGGAACACCGCTCTGCCCCACACTCCCACACAGCAGGAAGTGTGGTAAGTCACGCTCCTGTGCACATGTGTGGTTTGCCCAGGTATGTGCAGCCTCAAGGGGTTGAGGTGCGACCACGGGGAACAACTGCTTTTCTTTACATTTGAGCTTACACCACACTGGATGGAGCGCGGTGCCATGTCCAGGCCTGCAATATGGGTCCGCCCAGTGCCTGGCGCCCGGGGGCCTGGCTGAGCCCGTGGCCCCTCGCCCTCCACACCTCCTGGTACCTTGCTCCCCACGGTGGTCCGGAACTGCCTGTTGCTGGGCTTGATGACTTGCTTTGCAGATTTCATTGTGATGGCTGAACCGAAAGGGGAAGGGGGAACTGGACTCTCTTGGAAAAACTTGGCACAGAGGTGGAACTAGAAGGAACAGAGAGGATTTCAGTGTCCGAAAACACTCACCCGCAGCCTCAGCTAGTACAAGCCACATAAAGGACCACAACAAGCCCATCCAAACCAGTGGAGGGTCAATCGACAGTCTTTACATCAAGTCTCAATTCCTTGAGTGATCTCCTCCCTCCGGATGACCGGGAATGGGAGCAGAGGTTAGCCATAGGCGGCATCACTCAGTGTCGGGAAGGTGGAAACACTTACAAGGCCTTATCTCCCACCCACGTCCTCACTCCCTCAGACCCAAACCCAACCCAACATTCGAGATTTTGTTAACATATTTTTCACCTACACTTTCCCAATACCTTCCCTGGTGCCCAACAGGAAAGAATTCCAAATCTCTCTGAACTGTCTTAATCTTTTATTTATACCTCTTCTAAGATACTCATTACTTTCTACCTAATCAGTTATTTCTTTAAATGACCATCTTCTCTCTTAGAGTGAACCTCCTATTTTTTTATTTTAAATCGGACACTGATCTCCTTCAGGGCAGAACCCTTGCCTGATGCATCCTGGTGTGCCCATGGGGGAGTGGGTCTGAGACCCGAGTCTCCCAGAGCCAGTGTGCTTTACGGGAGACTCGTCGGTGCTTCCCCAGGGTCTGCCTCCGCCTTCCAGACTGGACCCCAGGCTACACTCGGGGGCGAGTAAACAACTGGCGACTTAAGTCAACTAATTTGTACACAAGATGCAGGCCATTTCCATGGGGCACTTGGGCATGGACTCTCTATCATGAATCAATGAATCAGTTTCAGTAACTGAAGGTGTCACGGACAGTGACTGATTCATTGTCATTAGGGGAAGTGCCCGTGCTTATCTGGGAAATGGTCAAAATACTTGAACATCAACAAAGGACCGGGATCTTTTAAAAGAAGGAAAATAATTATGATAACCAAATCTTCACAAAAATGAAGGCTTATGAAATAGCCTTTCTTTTAATAAAGACGTTCAAAGAGGAAATTAAAAAAAAAAAGAAGTCACTCTTTTGGTGACACTAGTGACCACACAGAACCGTGGGAATGAGGAGGGTCCCTGGCCACAGCCGCTGTCCCTCCCTGTGCGGTTCTCTCCCTCGTGCTTGTGTTTTCCTCACACGCTCAACACTGCCTACAAGTCAGTTAAGCTGATTGTGTGCCTAACTCTGGTGCTCCCTCCGGGAAGTGAGCTCCACAGGCAAACCCGTCTGCCTTGCTCACTGCTGTATCCCCAGAACCTAGGCAAGTACTTAGCAAAAGGTAGGAGCTGCATAAGTATTTGTGACTGAATAAATAAAATGTGAGCTGTGGTTCTTTAAATGGCTGGATCAGCTGTTCTTCCTCTCTGTTATTTGCACACTTGATTTCTGAGTTTGCATAGAGAGGAGACTTGTACACTTTCAGAAGCCAGACACATATTTTAGTCCTAATTCTAAAATAGTTTTTTGTATGTCTGACTTATAATTTGCCACTGCAAGACACACACACACACACACACACTCATACACACACACACACACACACACACACACACACTCATACACACACACACACACACATACACACATGCACGCATGCACTCACACTTCGTACTCTTTTCCAGACACGCATCTGCATAATGCAGAACATTAACTGCCCCTCGGGACTTGACAAACCTTGCTTGCTCTCAGGATTTCAATCAGCATGTCATAGACGGTGTCTCTGTTCTTTTCGAGGAAACCTTCACATTTATACTCAACCTATGCAGAGAAAGGAATTGATTATTTCCAAAAAGACAAGAGCATCTAAGTACCAGGAGTTTCTTTTCTTTTTACAGGAAGAGTACGAAGGGACTCTAAAGGCAATCTCCTGACAAAGATATTCGGTTTCTGTGGATCACAGCCACCCCAATAGCTACTAAAGCTTAGAAAGCTGGGAACATGTCACGAATGGAAGGGGCCAGCTGCCCACTGCCTGGACTCCCCACTGGCCGCTGACCACTCTGTTCTCTCACCTGTCCACTCCCTTTGGCCACACTGACCATTCTCTGCAGTGTGGGCAGCTAATGTAACCAAAGGTCTAACAAGACCTGGACTGGGGCTCAGTTGGCCTTAGGAGCCAGCAGGGAGAGGAAATATTTCAGTGGTGTCCTTTGGGTTCAAACAGAAATGTGTTCCGTAAGTCAGCATTAATAGGGCAAAAAGGAAAGAACCTGACCACCTGACCACAGAGCTTCCCAGCACCAGCAAAGCTCTTCGAGTCGGGGTGAGAGTGGGTGAGTGTTTGCACTGCTTGAATCGGGCTTAGAAAAGCTCTCCACGCAGCCCCTCCAGATCCATGAGGCTTCAGGAATCTGCCTCTGAGTTATGTACTTTGATATGTGACATATATCCTTCATAAATTTAAAAAAATGTTTGAGAATAAAGTATTAACTACGAGGATACAGGCTTTTGGCACAGGGAAGGTGTTCAGTGACCCCTGAGCAAGGACTCTGCGGTCCCTCTGAGTGAGGAAGGGTCCTCACTGGGATCACTGAATGTCTACAAACACTCCCTGTGAATGAAGAATAGGACTTGGATTCTTGTATAAATTCTTCCAGGCTGGTGGTGTGAGCCACTTGTTGAAATGTGCAAAGCTGTGACAAATGTAGAGCCTTTTCGATCGGGAAGACCATCTGTGGGGAAGGTGCAGAGAGCTGCGTGCCTCTGTTGGGGGCCAGGAGACCGAGGGAAGATGTGCCATCTGGTTGCATCTAAGCATCGCTGCCTCACTTTCTAAATGACTGTCCTCGGCTTACTGAATTGCAAGCTAAGCTGACCTTTCAACATGTGTTTTTCCCCACCAATCCGCAGCCCACTCGAGTTACTGCATCAATTATTTTATGAGGCATTTCTTGGAAGTGCTAGGTGAGAGCATGGGACGTACAGAAACTGTGTGTTACTAGTGTAAAGAGGGCCTCCTAAAACAAATCCCATGGGCACTTTACATGAAGTCTAATCCTTCCTTTTTTTTTCTCTTAGGACCCCAAGTGGGAAATTGTAAAAGACAACTCAAAAATGTAAGTATAACTTGTTATATCATCATCCATTTCACATGCCTCTCTTCAGGAACCGATCTGAGAAACCCTATGTACTAAAAGGCTATCACGTTTAACAACACTCCGCTAGCCCACAGGGTTGCTACCACTTTCCAGCTTCCTGTCTCTCCCAGGCCCTCGGCCACTCGCAGGGCCAGAACGCGCTGACTCACAGCACCGGCTGCTGGGAGAGGCAAGCACAGCCTGTTCCCAGCATCCCCAGTGCTGGCCAGGCCACAAGAGTGACAGCCACTGTGGAGAGTGAGCTTCCTTGGGGAAGGAAAACAAGATGAGAAGGGATGTTTACGGCAGGTGCTTATGGCAAATTGTCTTCCCTCACCTTCTTTAGGAAGAGGCAAAAGTAGATTTGCAGTTGTTTATAGAAAAAATAACACAATACTCCCCCCACCACCTCTCTCTCTCTCTAGAGAGAGAGAGAGCTGGGAACATGTCACGGATGGAAGGGGCCGGCTGCCCACTGCCTGGACTCCCCACTGGCCGCTGACCACTATATATATATATATATATATATATATATATATATATATATATATATATATATATATATATTCACGCACACAGGCAGTGACCATGATGACTGAAACAACTGTTCGACCAGTCACTAGCATAGATGCATAGACACAGGTAAAGTCTATGAATGAACTAAAAATGAACAAGACAAATGCTTGCCTTCCCTGAGCTCACACTAAAGAAGGTTAGGTTAGGGATGAGAATTCAAAATTGCCACCAGCACAGACCTGAGTGCTGCTTCTCAGAGCGGCCAGAGATACACCTGGTAGCAGATTGGAGGCATGACTAAAGGGCTGGCACTGACATGAAGGCAGGGCCATTTTGGATTTCCCAGCGAAGCCAATGGCTACCTAGGAGGCACAACTTTTGACACTGACTGGCATAGAAACTGACCAATCAGAACCTAATCTGGGTGAACTGCGAAGGCAGAACCTAAGGTGAGGGCTGAGGAGGGGTTTTAAGGGTAAGAGCTGTTTGGTGTAAGGTGTAAGAAAGCAATTCAGTTTTTTTAATAATTGGTTTGGCAGTATAGTGCATATGGCTGGTTATCAGGGGTTATGTTTTTGTGTCTGCCAAGAGCATCTCCTCCGGTTGAAAAAGGCTTTCCCTCCCCATTAAACAATCCTATGCTATATAATCTATACTAATAAAAGGGTAATATGCTAATTAGTCTGGGTCGACTGGCCATCTTCCGGACATCTGTCTTCTCTCCAGACAAAGCCATGGTGGTGGGGGCCAAGGCAAAGCAGTTAGGGGCAAGATCTGGCTGGTAGGGGGTTATTAGGGGAGGGCAATTGGGGGTGACCAGGCCAGCAAGGGAGGGCAGTTGGGGGTAAACTGGCCTGCAGGGGAGGGCAGTTGGGGGCGACCAGGCCAGCAGGGAAGGGCAGTTGGGGGCATTAGGCAGGCAGGCAGGTGAGTAGTTAGGCACCAGTGGTCCTGGATTGCAAGAGGGATGTCCAACTGCTGACTTAGGCTGGATTCCAGAGGATCAGGCCTAAACTGCAGTCGGACATTCCTCAACGAGTCCCAGATTGGAGAGGGTGCAGGCCAGGCTAAGGGACATAATAAATGTCCCTAGTTAATAAATAATAATATAAGAATAAGTTGTTTGGGTACTCACAACTGTAAACCTACTTTTACCCCACTCTGTATTTTCTAAGCTTTCTGCAATGTGATTTTTAAAATTAATTTTATTTTTTTAATAGAGTAACATTTGTTTCATTAAAAATAGGAGATATATCAAGAAAATAAAGATCACCCAGAAAACCCACCATCTTCAGCAACCTATGTCACCAATATAAAAAGTACTTTACATCTTAGTAACAAAGGAAAACCTAAAAAAAAAAAAAAAAAAAAAAAAAGGGCATAGCTTTTGTTATAAGAAACAATTATGCTGTCTTGATTATAACAATTTCATGGAGAAAATAAAATGACAAGAGGTTGATAAATTCACAATAAATCCAAACTCAGAAATGGGGTCCACTAGCAGGAATGCCTGCGTTTTGTGACAAAGACAAAGGAAGACTTGTTGCGGATACTCATGTCCCCATGCGCTGGATCTGATCTGAGAAGCCCCTGGCCAGCCTCTCCCATGAGAAGCAGCTCTGGCTCCCCACACAGCACCTCCCAGACGCCCTGTACCTTATCAGCAAAGTGCTGGATGATAAATGATGCATTTGACATTCTGGGCTTTTCAAACAAAGAGTTCTTGTTGACGAAATTATTATACAGCTTTTGAAGCCAGTTTTCATCAGTTCCATGTGGCAACTGAAAGAGAAAGCAAACCAAATAGCAAGTAAAGAAAACACAGGAAGGTTGAGTAGAGACAAGGAAAAGTGCTCATTTTTTAAAAATGACTTTTTTATTTTTCAGTTAGTCAATGTACAACATTACATTAGTTTCAGGAGTATAACTCAGTGATTGCACATTATATAACTTCCTAGTGATCACCCTGATGAATCTAGTATCCATTTGACATCATACATAGTTATTATGATATTACTGACTATAATTTTTATGCTGTATTTTACATCCCTGTGACTATTCTAAAAGTACTAACTTGTATTTTTTAAATCCTCACCTGAGGACAAGTTTTTATTGATTTTTAAAGACATAGAGAGAAAGGGGTGGGAAGAGGGAGGGAAGGAGAGGGAGGGAGGGAGGGAGGGAGGGAGGGAGGGAGGGAAGAGAAGAGAAGAGAAGAGAAGAGAAGAGAAGAGAAGAGAAGAGAAGAGAAGAGAAGAGAAGAGAAGAGAAGAGAAGAGAAGAGAAGAGAAGAGAAGAGAAGAGAAGAGAAGAGAAGAGAAGAGAAGAGAGAAACATCAGTTGGTTCCTGAACATGCCCCAACCAGGATTGAACCCACAACCTAGGTGTATACCCTGACTAGGAATGGAACCTGCAACCTTTTGGTGTATGGGACAACATTCCAATCAAATGAGACCTTTATCCTTTTCACTCTGTCCTCCAACCCTCCTCCCCTCTGGCAATCACTAGTTCTCTCTTTGTATATGAGTCTATTTCTATTTTGTTTTTTTCTTTAGATTCCATATACCAGCAAAATCATATATTTGTCTTTCTCTGACCGACTTACAATGAGCATAATACCTGCTAGGTCAATCCATGCTGTCACAAATAATTAAGATTTAATTTCTTTCTATGGAAAAAGCACTTATTCTAAGAAACCAGGATATGTGGGGCCTTAGGAGTGAAGGGCTCTAGATCTACAGATCCTTTTTAAAAGCAACTCTAGCCCTAGCCAGTTGGTTCAGTGGGTGGGAGTGGTTGTCTGGTACACGAAAAGATAGTGGGTTCAATACCCAGTCAGGTCACATACTAGGTCTCTAGTCTAGTCAGGTCACATATGTAGGCAACTGATAGACATTTCTCTCTCTCTCTCTCTCTCTCTCTCTCTCTCTCTCTCTCTCTCTCTCTCAATTAAAAATCAAAGCAAAACCTATAACCTTGAGTGAGGATAAAATAAATAAATGCTTTTATAAAAAACAACTCTATGCATAAATCTGTCCTTGATCTCAACAATCTTCAGAGTGATATTTAAATGGCTATATAAATGCCCTTTTAGAACAGAATGTTATAAACTATAAGGAAGTGGTCATATAACTTAAGAATGAAGAATTTTACTTCTATAAAATGGGCATATTTTTATATTTTTCTCCAAAGAAGTCCAAAGATTCAGGGAAAAGTAGCACTGATTCCATTATGTGCACAAGAATTTATTCTGTTTTATGGGGAAAGACTGGCACCTAAATGTAGTTCCCCTCTACCCCGGAGAAGTTTTTCTTTTATTTCACTGCCTAATGAATAACTACCTCCTTGCACTAAGATCTTACCTCCTCAAACTAAGCTAGCTGCAAAACTTGTTCTTGATACTGGTGATTTTAAAGATATCAAGTATATTCAGCCTGAACGCTGTGAATCTAATACCTTATTATGTTCAAACTAGAGGTCCAGTGCATGAATTCGTGCACAGGTGGGGCCTGGCTTGTCTGCCCTGATCGGCCAGGGCAATTGTGAGGGAGGGAGATGCAGGAGGTTGGCCAGCCAGGCCTGCTCCCAATTGGGGAGGTCAATCAGGGACAGGGACAGGGATAGGGAATGGGGAGAGGCCCCAGGTGATTGGCAGGCCCCACCCCTTGCTTGAACTCCAGTTGAACTCCCGGTCGAGGGGACAGTTTGCATTTTACCCTTTTATTATATTGGATGACTCCTTCATATTACTGTGTGACACTGGTCACCTAGGGATATCTGTGATTTTCTTGAGACCACCTTGTCCTCCGTCCCCTGCCCCAAGGAGATCATTCCAGAGTGCATGACACTGATGCTGGCCCTTTAATCTTATATCCATGCAGGTACTAAAGCTCAGGGCAGCAGAACAGATGATCTGTGAGAAAAACCATGGGACTGAGAATTTTAGGGAGAAAATGCCACTAAGTCCTCAACATTATAATCATTTTTTTTTTGTACATATAAATATCCAAAAAAGAAATAGAACTTATGTTTGAACACCATCTTTAAACCAAAAAAATGACTACGTGTCCTGGGGATTATTTGCTCCTGTTGCCCCATGCAGGGCCCTGCGAGGCTGACTCCACCACAAGGTTGCTCCTCCCAGGGGGACGAAGAGAAGCAGACTCCTAGGACCTCTTCTCCTCAAGGGCATGGCGCTGCCTTTCCAGCCACACCCCGATGGGTGAGTCACAGAACCAGAACTCGCTTCTTGTTAGTCATTAACGACGGGCACAGCGTCACTTGCTACTTCCATGTGCATTCCATACACACCTGGGGACCGCCTCCAAGGGCACCTCCTTGCTGGATGTGACCTACGAGGGCGTGCATGTGACCCAGCAGTGGGCTCCACACGCTGAGGTGGGAGGCTCACCTGGGCCTCATGGGTTCCTGCTGTGAACGCTGCCCAGCACCAATATACAACCAGCTGGGTAGCACGTCAAGGATTTACATTTTTAAAAAATCCACTTTACAGTATGCTCATCTGTTACCACTCACAAGTTAGGGGGGAAATTTTTTTTTTTTTAAGTTACCAAGCATTCTTCATCCAGCAACTCCAAAATGCCCATTTTTGCTTCAATCAGGTCAATAACTTGTTGATTGTCATAAAAATCGATCAGAGTCCAAGGGATATCTTCCTTCATATATTCTTCTTGTTCCAGTTTGAAGACATGCTGGGAAGAATCCAGAAGTTAGTGCAGAGTAAAACAGAATACTGAGGTGTGCTTCTGGCAAGTAGGGTGTAAACATTTGGAAGATGTAGATACGGGACAGATTTGCAATGTTTGCCGAGGACCCAGAGGTGCAGGCTCCGCCCCTTATCCATGACCAGTGCACTGAATTCCTATTGTGCGTTTAGACTTCCCTCCCCCACCCGGTCTGGGTGGGTGCCCACATCCCATCACCTCTAGCACCCATGGCACTCAGAATGGTCCCCGGGCCTCCCTGCTCACACACTGCTCTCCAAGATGGAGCCAGCCTGCTGAGAATGCTAGCTGAGGGTCAGTGTGAGGAGCCAGACACTCGGAGAGCTTCGTTTACTACTTGGGAGGGTGTCAGGGGGCTTCCCAGAGCCTGGCTCAGGCTGTTCCTGGCTGCAGGTGGCAGGGATAGAGGCTGTGAGGAGAGAGCCTCCCACAGAAGCATCCATGGAGCAGCTCCAAAGTACGGTAGGTGGTTGAGAACCAGCCAGAGAGAAAGCACAGCTGCGAAGGGGGGCGATGGGAAAGCAAAGTAAGATGGGGGAAGGGGTGGTGGGGTGGGATGAAAGCGCCCATGTGCCTAGAGAATCTGGTCCTGTGGGCTTTTCCTAGGTGCAGTGAGGACCCGGGAAGGGAAGGGGATGAGTGAGGGAGGGTCAGGATGAGGCCTGGCAGTTCAGCTTGGGGTGGGGGCAGGACTGGAGGCAGAGAAGCCCATCAGGACTCAGTTCTGCTGTGGATGGACACTCAGGAGGTGACCCGGAGGACTCTGGGGGAGGAAGATGTCCAAGAGCCATAGTTAGGACAAATGTTAGGCCAGGCCACTGTGTCAATGACAGGGGCCTAACCACAGAAATAAGCAGGGAGGGTACGGAGGCCCAGAGGGGAAGGCGGTGGGTTCCCTCTGTCACTGCTGAGCTCCTTGAGGCCACCAGGTGCGGGGCCCAGCAGCAGCCAGATTCATGGGCCAGGAGCCAGTCCTCACTGGGGCTTTAGTGCTGACATGTTAAGGCATTGCCCCAGGAGCTCTGCACAGTGACAGATGACTTGAGAAAAGGGAGGCGGAGAAGAACAGGAGGAAAACAGTTGCAGCCTCTGCTGTGCTATTTCCAGGAGGTGTCTTGCATGTGCATTATTTTAAGTTGTGTCGGGGAGAGGGCAGGATCTGCAGATTTATACTTTAAGTATACTGCATATCTACTTGGGATAAAGCTTTGCTGTGTTCATTAAATGCGAAACACAGGACTCGGTGAGAATGCTAAAAAATAGAAATTTGCAATAGCATAACATTTAATGCTTACACATGGATGAATTCTGGGGTGAGGAAAAGGAAAAAAAAGAAACACTTACTGAATATGATTTAACGTGAGATTTTCTTAACAATATTAGGCGGGTGCTATTGAACCGTTTTTAAAGTGAGGAAACTGAGTCTCAGAGAGGCCAACGTCCCAGAGAAAGCTGGTGGGAGAGCTGAGACTCAAACCAGTTCACTTTGGGGAAAAGTCCATGCTCTCCAGGATGTCATTCTATTTTTTCTTCGGGGTTGTGTGGGAGAAGATGACTCTCAAAAGACAAGCAGGAGAGTTCCCCAGGTGAAGATGAAGAGGTGGGGAAAGGATGGGAACAGCAGGCGGGTGGCAGCAGACAGACCAGCAGGTGCAAAAATACAGAGTTTTGCAAGGACGTGGGGCTTCAGGAAGCTAACAAAACCACTTGGTCTAGCCCAAACCGGTTTGGCTCGGTGGCTAGAGCATGGCCTTTGAACTGAAGGGTACTGGGTTCGATTCCAATCAAGGGCATATACCTTGGTTGTGGGCACATCCCCAGTAGGGGGCGTGCAGGAGGCAGCTGATCGATGACTCGTCGATGTTTCTATCTCTCTCCCTTCCTTTCTGTAAAAAATCAATGAAATATATTAAACAAAACAAACAAACAAACAAAAAACACTTGGTTTGGCTGCAGATCTGGTCTGTACCCAAGAATGACAGATGAGGACCTGGAACTGAAGAGTAGGCAGGAGGCTCCAAAAAGATAAAATAGGGAGGTGGGAAGGCGTGATTTCAGACATGGCCACAAGGTGGTGCAGTGACCCAGCGTGCGGCTCCTTTACTAATCACAACTTGGAGAGAGAAGCCTGGTTTGCCTCTTCCAGATTCCCTGCTCTCAGCGCCAAGAATGCCTTTCAAGAAGGGAGAAAAGCCACCTACCAGGTTAAACTGCTGTTGCAGCTTTTCATTAGCGTAATTGATGCAAAACTGTTCGAAGCTGTTCACATCAAAGGTTTCAAAGCTGAAATGCAGTTAAACAAGATAAAATGTAACTTGGAAGACATACACACCATTTATTGATCAGTATTTTTTTGACAAAGTTCATAGCTTTAAAGTTTGCTGCGCTTTCTAAAAGTTTTCAGTACACCTGAACACTTGACAATCAGTCTATAAACCGGCTTTTCCCAGGTTGCCTCGCAAGGAATGGTATGTACCAATCCCCTCACTCTGAGGCAGGCACTAATCAGGCCCCTCACAATATCACGTGCCATTTCATGCACAGCCTACCATCACTTTGCAGATGAGGAAATAAGTCTCCAAGAGGTTAGGAAACTTGCCTAAAGCCACACAGTGATGCCAGACTGCAGTGAGCCTTGGCTGACACTTTCGGTGAAAAAGCAATGCTCTTTCCTACCCCCCACTCGCTGCCTCTTGGACAGAAGGCAGCCCAGTTTTGCCCCTGCCAGGGTGCGTTCCCAGTTCTTGGAAGAAAAGGGCAAAGCCATTTAATACTATAGCCCAGCATTCCCCATCAGGTCTGCAGCAGACATGCCCGACCTCCATCCTCAGACTTTCAGTGCTGTCGCTGGCGTTGCCCTGAAGTTGCCCACTCATGGGCTGGCAGGAGGTGGGCAGGTGACAGAGGGGAAGCAGGCTGGAGAGCGGCCAGTAAGCTGTGCGGGGCCGTGACAAACAGGATTATCCAGCGGGGCAGTTGCTTCTCGGCCCCCGCCAGCTGTGGCCATGGATGAATGCAGGCCGGGATGCTAGATCACCTGATTCTCCAGAAAAGCCAGAAATCTGGACGTTTATGTGAATTATCCCGCGTTATTGGCTGAACAAAACTCATGCATGAAATTCCCCACCCTGCCAGGGGAATGCTTCTTTCTGCCCGGAGGAAGTTTCCCAGTGCTCAGCACAGACACACATCACTTCCAGCCCCAGCACCACCCGAGGTGGAGGCTACAGCGACCCTATTGTCACACGTGAGGGTCCGAGGAGACGGTGACCAGCACGGAGAAGGCAGCCAGCAAATGGTGCCAGCCATGCAATCTGACTCCAGCTCTGGGTGCCTCCAAAGCTGAGGTTCTTCACTTCTCTAATCCCCTGGGGTTCCTGCCATTGCCAACATGGGTCCCTGGGGAGTGTCACTCGACAGCCAGCTTGGCTCAGTTTAGACTTCCAGGGCAGCTGAAGGGCCTCGACTTTCTCTGAACGGCTCCAGGCTGATTCGGAGCAGGAACCGAACTCACACAGCCCCATGCCACATCACTCGAGGGTGAGGGGAAGGAAGTCCTGAGCCTGGACACCGCGGACAGGCCAGGGCTGGTTGGGGAAGGGTCTCTCCACACGCACAGCCAAGGCCAGAGGCAGGGATTTCTAGAGCAGGAATGGGATGTCACTCAGCAGTGATTATTTTCCTGCCCTTTTGCCCACCTTTCCCAGAGCTAAAGTTCACAACCCAATAGAAAGAACTAAATCTATGACTTAAAATGCCAGAAGCACATTGGTGATGGCAACACTTCACGTTTGAACGATGCTTATGGTTCTGAAGATTTCTTTACCGATTCTCCTATTTGACCCTCATCACACCCTGCACCAGAGGCCCCGTTTTGCAGAAGCTGAGGTCGGAGAGGTGCTGTGGCTTTCTCGGGGCCACACGTCCGGTACGCGGCAGTGCGCACTCCCGGGGGTCCGACCTCCCAGCCCAGACCTTCACAGCTCCGGGGCCAGGGAACACAAATGCCACTGGCTGGGGGCCCCAAGCCCTCAATCATTCCCAGCTGCACCTCAGAGCTCCCAGCTTCCTCTTTAAATGCTCTGAGTGAGGGAGCACTGCCTCAAAGGCTGTCTCGTGTCTAAGCTAAACAGCTCAGTTCTCTCCAAAGTTTCAGGGAGCACAGGGAACAAAGCTCACACGGACATGGGCATACTGGAGAAGGGCATGAAAGGATTCGCCCAAGGCAACAGCATCATTACTTAAGAAAGGGTGCTTATTTTTCTGGAGGGATACCATTTATTTGGAGGGGTGGTGGCAAGCATGTTACTTTTATACTTTTTGAAGAGGAATTTAATTTTAAAGTTAAAATTTGAACACATACTCCAAGAAGTTCTTGTGAATGTATAATTATTCCTGCCTCAGGTTTGCACACTTAGCCAAAAAACTCAGGTTCCTGGGTCTGACTAGCCGACATGCCATTCCCCTCACTTACTGCTCCTCGCACTCAGTGGCCTCCTCTCTCCCACCCCCAGCTACCTCCCACACATTCCTTTCAAACAAACCATCCTCACCTAATTGCCTACCTGCCCATTCCACTAAAATGTGTGTCCCCAAATGGGCCATGTGTCTATGCTGTTCACCATCACACCCAACACCGGGCCTGGCGATTAGATATCTGTATAGATGTTTGTTGGATGAATGAAATAATATATTCTTATAATAAAGGCCTATTTACTTTTAAGGCGTTTTTAAAAACACAGAAAACAACAGAGAATAATACATCCATCACCTATCTCCACCACAAAGAGACTACTGTTTGGCAGGACTGTAGCCTTTTACAAGTCTCCTTACATCCTTACCGGCTGCTCACAGGCCTTTTTTAGAACAGGGAAAGGTAAATAATTTACTGGAGATCCCACAATGTCCTCAGTATTTTATAACTGTTGACATGTACTATTAATTGGTAGCTATTGTATTAATGAGTCTAAGTTAAACAAAGGAACTCCCCTGAGGCACCCTCTTTCCCTGGGGTCAGTGTGCCCCTGCCCTCCCTTCCCCAGGTGGGGAGGCCCCGCCTGGCTCTCCCTCATGCATGCGGAGGGGGCTGGGCTGTTTCCCCCGCAGACCTGAGGGACTGACTGCTCTGGGTCTGGGCGGGACACTGCTGTGCCTTTCGTGGGACAAGCGGCCCCAGAGAGAGGCCGGGTTGGTCTGGGAGGGGAAGCGCAGGCGTGGAATGCCAGGTGCCAACCCAATAAAGCCGGAACGTGACGGCCCCTCGAGCACCCCTCCACACAGGCTGGCCACACACGCCCTCTGGCTGTCTATGAGCATGGTTCCTGTGAGTCTGACCTGGGATTTAGGAATGCATGATGGGGCAACAAGAAGGAGAACAGAACTCCAACATGGGGACTCCTGGGGAAGGACTAGGGAAAATGCAAGATCCGCATTATACGGGAAAGGATGAGGACGCAGGTGTAAGAGGCAGGTTGGTGGAGGCCTTGGTGTGAGTCCTCCTCTAGCCTGTGGGTCTGGGCGAGGGCAGGGCCTCTGGGACGTCTTTCCCTGTGAAACGTCTTTCCCCTCCACACCTCATGGGGTCTCTTATTAGGAGACAGAAGCGGGCCAGGGCCTCCCTCGGTGCTGGGTCCTCCTCCCACCAGCCTCTCAGCCTCACGGCTCCACCCTAACGGGATAATCTCAGGGGTGAGTCATATGGCACATGGAAACTACCCGGCTTGGTCGCTGGCCACAGTGAGCCCTCGAGGTGGCCGTTGTTAAGTTAGCATTTACTAACACACTAAATAAGACACTGCTGCCCAGGAGACTGGACTTAACATCCGTGCGTGCAAAAACCAAGGACGTCATGTGAAACACAGAGGAAGAACCAGAACCAAATGATCTAAGGATAGCGAGCATTCGACATTCAAAGGGGGAAAGATAGGCTCTTACCCATAAATGTCCAAAACACCAATAAAAGTGTGCTGCTTGCCTGAAAACTGCAACGCTTGGTTAATTCTCTCCACAATGAAGTCAAACAGGTGAGCATAGACCTTCTTGGCCAGCGCATCCCTGGCATTGGCGGCCTGGGGCCTGGTCATGGGCTTCACCACCGTCTCGGAGGTCGTGATGATTTTGCGGTTGCACAGCCACTGGGCGACGCTGCCACGCTCCAGGCCCAGGAGCTCACAGAACACCTGCAGGTGACTGTCATCCACCTTTGGACACAAACACAGGCCCCATCAGGGCCGTCAGCCAACAGAGCCAGCACGGGGCCCCCTGCCAGGGCCCCCGGGCCCCCACTTAGCCTGCAGAGGAGGATGAGCTGGCGTGAGAATGGCCATGACTCAGAGGCACGGCCAGGCCTGGGCATGAAGCGGGAGGGCCCAGCGGTGGGAGCGGAATCTTGCCCCTGGCAGGACACTGCTGCCATCTGCTTCACAGACGTGTTTTTTCCTAGTGCTCCCTTCTTCCTCGTGCAGACATTAATGGGACTAACTAAACACGTGCCCTGACCAACCATCACTCATATGTGTCACACTCACATGTGTCACAGAAGACGCACACATCAACTTACCGTTAATAAAGGAATCTGCCACGCAACGTACACGGTCAGAGGCAGGAGGTGTCCTTTCTGCTTCCAACTGTCCCGTGCCCTTCAGGCCCTGCATAACCTGTGCCCCTCCGCCCCCATTTTCCAGCCTCACCTTCCACCCCTCCTTGCACTCGCTCCTCTCGGGATATACTGGCTTTTTTGCTATTTCTGAAGTTACACCCTCTTGCCCCAGACACAGGCACAGTTCACGCCCATGTGAGCAGGCTCTGCCACGGCTGCCGAATCGGGAAGAAGGAAGGAGGATTCAGGTGTGAGGCGGCCTTTCCCACAGGGCCGTCAGAAAACTTCTCCGAAGGCCCTGCTCCTCTCCACCCCTCCCTCCTCTGCCTTACTTCCTTTTGAACAGCCATCGGCCGCTGAAGAGCCCGGCATTGCTCATAGTGTCTCCTCTCCTCTGATGAAAAGCTCCTCCAGGGGCACCTTGCTCTGTGTTGTTCACTGCTGTTTCTCCAGAGCCTACAACAGTGCCTGGCACATAGCAGTGCTAGTAAAATTTGTTCAATAAAAGAAAAAAATACATAGAAAATGCACTTCCTCCTCCTCTTCTGTTGCAAGAGAAAGAAGCTTTACTCTTTGAAGACAACCCATGGAAACCCTTGCTCTCCTCTTGCTACTAAGCTGGCCTCCCCAGTTGGTCCAAGGTGCCTGGTGCTAAAAAGCAAAAGCAGGGGACCCTGAGGTGTTCTTCCCATGACCCTCCAAACGCAGGCAGGGTGGAACAAGCAAGCCGCTTACGCTGATGGCGGACCTCTCGTTGCCCACTGCTGTGATCTGCACGTTGCCCAGGTGTAGGATGGCTGCCAGGATCTTAAACACATCCATCTGAAAATCCTCCTTGAAGCCTGAAGACAAAAATGTTCCCAAATTAGGAATGTTGCATTTCTCCTCTCACTTAGCCACTAGTAAGCGGACACCTGGGCTCCTTTAAGATACTCTCGGACCCCGGTGCCAAGAGCTGGGACAGGGAGCGTGACTAGGACCCAGGTGAGCCCGGCTCACCCTTCCCCCGAGGTGGGCTTGTGCAAACGCACAGGGCGGACTCTGCAACCCGCGAGGTCCCCCTCAGCCTCGGCTGCTGGAAGTTCCACACAGATTAACATCCAGGTAACCATTTCGTGCTAGATGGCTGGGAGCATCGGCTCTCATTTACCCTGTGATGTACTTGCTTCATCTTTAATGTGCATTTTTCTTTTTCCTTCACAAGCCACCTGAACTACTTTTATGGTGGGGGGCTGGATGTGTCTCACGTGCCCTCGGAGGCTGACCTGTGTGGACCATGGCCTGGGCTGTCAGGCCCTCTGGCCTCTGGCTGGGGCTGTGGGCAGGAGGTCAGAGAGAAGGAGGAGAGAGGGGTTGATCTGCTCGCTTGTCTCTTTTCTGGTAACATCGCCCCAGGCTGACTATCCTGCTGACTGACATAAAGTCACTACTCCTGGTGCAGCACTGACTTTCCCAACCCTCCCTGTGGCTCCAGTAACACCCCTGGGCCTGTAACACTGAGGGGAGGGTGCAGCTAACAGCTCTGCTGCTGCACTGGGTCCCCTCTGGCCCCGAAACCCCACCCACATCATTACAGCTGCTCCCTCCATGAACAAGCCCCCCTCCTACTTGGCGTGTGCTCCATGTTTCCCACAGGCACCCTGACTGCTGTGGGCCGAATACAGGTCATGAATGCCTGGCACATTTGGTCATCAGGAAGGGATTCATGCATTTCCCAGAGCTGAAAGTAAACCAAGCAGGCTCCTGGGAAGGCCTTTGTGTCTGACTCCACAAACCACAGTGGAGAACCTGCCCGTGGTGAGCGGCCAGGTCAGGAGCCGGGTGCGGGCGGGTGGAAGGGTAAGCGCAGGCGGTGGCAATGACACTGCAGTGAGTCCAGGGCTTGGAGACACACTCAGCTGGGTGGGCAGGCTCATTCCGGTGGATGTCCGAGCTCCCTGGTCTGCACCGGGATGGACCTGGAACAGAGACTCCACCCACCCCCAGGCCCCCCGGCACAAAGCAGCCGGCCCTACGGCGAGCGAGAGCCGCTGGCCCCACCGCTGCTGAGGACTCCTGGGATGTTTCAATGGCAGCGAGGTCCTGTTCTTCAATATTTCAAAACCGAGGCGGCTTCTCAAAGATTAAACAAAATCAAAGTCGCAAAAGACTTCAAACCAAAAATGCACGGCTGACTCCAGCTCAAACTGCATCCAGGCACTCGCCACCTCGCCACACGGCGGCGAGAGCTCCGCTGAAGGATGGGGCTTCGGCAGAAACAACCTCCTGGGCCGCCACCAAGGCCAATGACAGGCGAGGACGAGGAACAGCAACCAAAGGGACAGTCCTCTCTGCACGGTCCATAGCTAAGCCTCTTCACCACTCCATGCCCTCCAGACTCGGCAAAAGGGAAGCAAGTCCAAAGCCACGTGGGAAAGAAGGTAAGCTCTTAGCACAGCACTATCCTCGAGGGAGACAACATCACACAGAAGCTCCGCAGCCTGAGTCAGATTTCAGTGAGAGCACAATGGTCCGGTCCCCTGGGCCCGGTCCTGGCTGGGTCTGACTGTGTCCAGGGTGTTCTCTGTGGGAGTTCTAGCCGGCCAGGCGAGGATCAAAGGACGGGTTCAATGTCAGAGGAGAAAAAGGAAGGAGCTGAAGACCAACACGCACCACCTCTGCTTCCTCAGGGGCAACTCTGCAGCTGGCAGAGGTGCCTCAGGAGCCGGGTGGGAAGGGGACATGGTGGGACCCCGTGTCCCTCGGGCATGGTCACCTCTCTAATGCTTACAACAACTTTAAGGAGCAAGTACTCGGATTATTCCCACTGTATAGACGGGAAACTAAGGCACAGGAGGACTTGGGCACGTGCCCACAGTCAGCCGGGGTATGTCCTACCTAAACAGACCACTGCGGTGTGTGGAAAGACTGTGGAGTTTGGAACCCCTCTTAGCTTTACCCGGTGTGAGTAACGTGGAGGTGCCCTGGCGACCCAGGCCAGGCAAAGAGGATGTGCGGGCTCTGAGGCCCGTTTCCTGGCTGGTGTGAAGCTGCGTGTGAACTGAACAAGATGACCTCACTGCTAACTGGCCCGCCTCTCTCTCCTGTTTCCACCACAGAACACAGGCACGGACAAGTCAACCACAACGAGCAATCACTTTTAAAGGAGGTGACATGCCTGAGTGCGTGATAAGCCCACAGAAGATTCAAATTAGGCCACCTGCCCCAGAGGAGGGCTCCGCCTGAGACAGATAACTCTGGACACAAACAGGGGGACAGAGCCAATGCCGGGCAGTGTAAAGCAGGTGCAGCGTTCCCCTGTCAGGAGACAGACCCCTCTGACATGATGTCTTCATTGTGCAGCTCAGAGCTACGGGCCACATGTGTCACAAGCAGCTGAAATACACCTAGTGAAACAGGAACTCAATTTCGTTTCAGTTTAATTAAAGTACTTGTGGCTGGTGCCAGGCCAGGAGCAGCCAGGCCCGGAACAGCCAGGCCAGGAGCGGCCAGGCCCAAAGCAGCCGGGCCTGGAGGAGCGGGGTCAGAAGCAGCCAGGTGCAGAGCAGCAGCAGCCAGGCCCGGAGCAGCCAGGCTGGGAGCGGCCAGGCCTGGAGCGGCTGGGCCTGAAGCGGCCAGGCCCGGAGCAGCCGGGCCTAGAGCAGCCAGGTCGGGAGTGGCCAGGCCCGGAGCAGCAGCAGCCAGTCCCCAAGCAGCAGCGGCCAGACCCAGAGCAGCTGGCTGTGGAGCAGCTTGGAGCAACAAAGGCCAGGCTCGGAGCAACAGCGGCCGGGCCTGGCACAGCTAGCTCCTCACCTGCCCATGCCTCAAGCGCTGCTTCTCAGACATGGCTGGAAACTCTTGGGGGAAGTTGAGGGTCTGCTGAATCAAGTGATGACGGCTTAGATCTGGAAGTGTTGAGTTGTTGTAGCGCTGGGGTGTTGATCTGTGAGTGCCTTGTGTGGGGTCTGGATGAGATTGGTTGATCTATTTGGAAGTGTCTTTGTTTGACATGTATCCTTGGGCATGTGGAGGTATTATTGATTTGAGAAAATGCTAAGAAATTGATTTACTACCTGAAAAATTTAAAGTTCTGAAAGTTTAAGCTCTGTGGCCAAAAAGAGGTTTTAAAGCTAACACCTTAATTTTAATGGAGAAAGGGGAGGACAAGCCCTTCCCACCCAGAACAGGTAATCCAATTCCAGCCAGCAGCTATCTTTAAACAATATGTTCATTTACATTTGAATGGCTATGCCTTTTGATAGCCTAAGGGCAAGTTTACATGTAAACAAGTTTGCTTCTCAGTTCCCAGGGCAGAAAAAACAAGGTTTAAAATTATTAGATTTTAAAATTTATTCTTAATATAAAAGTTTATTAATTAAAAAAAAACACAAGAAAATTGGAAAACCTGATGAACAATATTAACTTGATTATAAGAGAATCAGAGATACGGGAGGGGAGTGGACTGACAATTCTGGGGGGGGGAAGGGGAGTGGTGGATGCGGGAAGAGACTGAACATAAACTGTGCACCTATGGATGAGGACAAGGGCGGGTGGGGAAAGGGCAGAGGGTGGAGTGGGAACCTGGTGGAGGGGGAAGAAATGAGGAACCTTTGTAATAATATGAACAATAAAGATTGGTTGAAAAAATAAAATAAAATAAAAATAGAGTACTTGTGGCTGGTGGCTACTGTGTTGGACGACATCAGTTTAGAGACCATGAAGCCAACTCACAGCATGATCTCCTTGGCTGCACGGTCACAGAATGATGGACATCTTGAAGTTACGGGTCATCTGGTCCCACACATGAATCCAGTGACCGGACCTCTAGAGTCAATCACATTTCCCTCTGCCGGGCCCTGGGTGGTCAGGGGACTTCCGTGTTTGGACACCCTGGGTGAAGCCAGACGGCTTCATAACTTCCCTGGGTCTTTCCCATATCGCAAGAAAACTCTCATCTAGGACAGGGGTCAGCCACTGTTTTCTTGGTAGGCTTTGCAGGCAGGGCTGCTGATGTCACCATTACTCACCTGCCACCACAGTGTGAAAACAGCCACAGACCATACTTACACAAATGAGTCCCTATAAAAACTGTATTTACAAAAATGGGATGCCATCTGCCAACCTTTGGTCTAGGATCTTTTTTAGTGATTCATGCAGTGAGGTCATGCTTTCATTAAATGGGTACTGACCTCTGATACAGCATGGCACAGTTCATAAACCATTTTAGACATTATCTCTTCATCTCACAACATCACTCACAGCTACTCCCAGGGCCCCAGGGCCACCTCCTAGTGTCGGTGCCTGCGTGGCTCCCTCCGAGAGTCCTGGTCTGAGCTGGCCTATGGCTTGCCGTGAGTATTAGCAGGTGGCAGTAGTGAGACCACATTACTTCTGAGGATGGTTCATAAAAAGCCCTGCAGAGTCCACCTGAGCCTGTGGGAACCAGCTCTGGGAGATGGTAGCCGCACACATGCAGTCCCTTCACTGTGAGAGCAGCTGTGAGGACGTCCACATGGAGAGACAGACACCGCCCAGCCCCCGTGACTGCAGCTGCCACGGCTCCCAGAGGATCCAGCCCCTTCCACCATCACATGACAGTCCCATGTGAGACGTGCCCAGTTGAGCCCAGTCCACCCAGAATCACAAGAGATAATAAATTGTTATTGTAAGATAATTGGAAGAACTAAATATTGTCATTATTCTTCCAGGTTATAGATGAAAAATGATGCTCAGAGATAATAATGGACCTGCATGAGATCAAGGACCTGTGTTACGACACATGAAAAACTGGAGCACGCCCTGGCCAGTGTGGCTCAGTTGGTTGGAGCATCGTCCCATATACCTAAAAGTTGCAAGTTCTGGTCAGGGCACATACCTAAGTTTTGGGTTCAGTTTCTGGTTGGGGCACATACAGAAGGCAAACAACTGGTGTGGATGCTTTTCACATGGATGCTTCTCTCACATGGATGCCTGCCCCTCCCTCTCTCTCTCTCTCCCACTCCTACTCTCTCCCACTGGGAAGAGTACTGCTTCACCTGTGCCAACCGGTGCTGCGCCCATCCTCGTGTAAATATCAGGAGGACACCCTTCATAAAGCATGTGATTATCAAATAACTATGCCATACTCTGCAACTAATCCTAGGTAATAAAACCCTATTATGCAAATCGACCTAATGGCAGAATGACCAGTTGCTATCACATGCACTGACCACCAGGGGTCAATGCAGGACCTGCCCCCTGGTGGTCAGTGCACTCCCAAAGTGGGGGGTGCCGCTCAGCCAGAAGCCAGGCTCACAGCTAGCAAGTGCAATGGCAATGGCAGGAGCTTCTCCTGCTTCTGTGGCAGGCGGACAGTCCCCGAGGGGTCCCAGACTGTGAGAGGGCACAGGCCAGACTGAGGGACCCCCCCTTCCCCAGTGCACAAATGTCGTGCACTGTGCTTCTAGTACAAAATAATATTGAATGTAAACTGCAATTGAAAACAAATAAAAAAATTTTAATGAGAAGTTTTAAGGCCCTGAGTCCAATTCCAGTTCCCTCCGTACTTGGCATGTGGCCTCAGGTAAACCATTTACCATGTTGGTGCCTCATCTTACCTGTGTCAAATGCAGCAAATACTAACACATACCTCCCAGGGTGGCTTTAGATGCGTTGATAAGCATGGTAAAGTGCTCACTAAGCTCCATGTAAGTGCCCTCCATTTTATCATCCTCAGGAGGCCCGTGAAGGCCAGTTGGGGTTACACTGCACTTTTGAGCTGAGTCAGCTACCCCCTGGTCAGCCCAGAAGTGCTTCCGAGCACCCACAGGGCCAGCCCAGGCGTCTCCGAGCAGCAGCGGGGCAGAGGACAAAGAAGCTGGGGCTCCATCTTTTCCGGGAAAGACACAGTCTTGATCATTTGGCTTCTACGCTCTGATCGGCTCATTCTAAAATTAGGATTTATTAGGAATATTCTGCACTCATGCATGTGGGGCACCCTGCTTTTAAGCTTTTTAAATCTGTTTGAAAGAGGAAACAGCCACACCGTGGACAGGAGGTCTCCCTTACCCAGCAGCGCGAAGGTCTTCCGCGTCTCCTCCATGCCCGCGCGGTCACTCACCCCCTCGATCACGGTGCTGCCTCCCATCCTCGTGTAAGTGAATTCCTCCGCACCCCCTGAAATCACAAGGCTGTTACATCTGGAGCATCAACACTTGGACATGCAAGTTTATCAAAAAGGGAAGTTCTTGATAAGCTATTGTAACCATTCTACACACATTATTCCATTTATTCCCTAGAATTCTACCTACAGTCTCAGAAGCTGAGGCTCCGAAGAGAAGTGACTTCCTCAGGGCCCCGCACTGATGGCAGGGTAAGAATTTAAACACAGGCTGCCTCCAAAGCTCATGGCTTTTGATCCCACATCTAACAATTTTATTATGCAGCTTTCTGTGTCAACCTTCTGTGCAAATGTCTGTGTCACAGACATTTTTAGTGAGGTTTATTAAATGTACAATGATCCACACACATTTTAGATGTACACGTTGATAAGTTTTGATATATGTGTACCCTGATAAAATTCACCACAAACAAGATCATGATGTCCTGTGCATCTGGTATTTGGGTAACAGGTAACCCTTCTTCCACACTGGCTATTCGCAGTCTGTTTAGTGCACAAAGCATGGACATTATATTTATGTGACTTCATTATGACTTCCCAAATGGTGACCTTGAGTCATCAAGGAAGTTCAAATTATGATAAAAGTACTCTATCTTAGAAGGAGCAAATATGTCATATACATTAGAAAAATGACCAAAGAGTTCAGATAAGAAGAAAAGTTTGGAGACTTAGAGCATAAGTTCTAATTGTCAGGAGGCCTTATCCACGTGGCTCTAGCTGGATGACCTAATCACCAGGACCTTGAAAAGAAGCCTGGGGTTGCAGGGCTAACTCTCCATAGGCCCACCCTACCCTGCAGCCCTTATCTATCTCCTCAGAGGCATCCATTCCACACCAAAGCCCAAGAATCTTGTACCTTTGGACAGAATATATTTTTGAAGTGATGTTACTTTAAGAAGTTAATCTAGAATTTAAACCCCTAAGTAAAAGAGAGACTCTTCCACATACCATCCATCACGTACCCAATTTAAGATGCTTAAATTCCGACTGCTGTGCAGATGCACAGAGCTGATAGAAAATGTGGTAATTTCGTTCATTTTCTGACTGTAAAAGAAAGAAAAGTCCCCAAATTATACCAATCCTTTATAAATGAAAATGTGAGGTTTCTACTAGAGGGTCTTAGATGATCTGGATTGACAGTTCTGTTCTGGGGACCCAGGCACTACCTTGGTTTCTGGTTCATCTGCTGGGACCCATCCTGCTCTCTCTGCTGGCCCATAGGCCGGCCCTGCCTCTTACAGACAGAGAACTGGTGGTTCTGATGGCCCTCCAAATGATGACTCCAGAGAAAATGTTATTTTTTATTTTAAAATTTTTTTGATTAATTCTCACCCAAGGATATATTTTCTACTGATTTTTAGAGAGAGTAAAAGGGTAAGGAGAGGAGAGGAGAGGAGAGGAGAGGAGGGGAGGGGAGGGGAGGGGAGGGGAGAGGAGAGGAGAGGAGAGGGGAGGGGAGGGGAGGGGAGGGGAGGGGAGGGGAGGGGAGGGGAGGGGAGAGGAGAGGGGAGGGGAGGGGAGGGGAGGGGAGGGGAGGGGAGGAGAGAGAAAGAGAGAGAGATAAACATCAATGTGTGAGAGAGACATGTGCCCTGACTGAAGTAGAGGATAGAACCTGCAACCCATATGCATGCCCTTGACTGGGAATTGAACCCAAGACCCTTTGTGCACAGGCCAACACCTGTTACCTAAAGTCTAGTCTCTGGGGTTGCTCCAGTAGAAGGCCATGCAGGAGTCTGCTGATTGCTCCTATGCTCTCACACTTTTTCTCTTTTCTCCCTTCCTCTCTCTCTAAAAACCAATAAACTACTCTTAAAAAAAAAAAAAAAAAAAAAAAGATATATGTACCCCTAAGTGCATTGCAGCATTATTCACAATAGTCAAGATAAGGAAACAACCTAAGTGTCCTTCAATGGAAGACTATAAAGGAGATCTAGGACATATACACAATGGAATACTATTCATAAAAAGGATGAAATATTGCCATTTGTGACAATATGAATGGATCTTAAGGGTATTATAACTGAAATACTAGTAAGTCTGATGAAAAAGAAGATAAGAACAATATGATTTCAATCCAATCCTATCTAATAAAAAGTAATATGCAAATTGACCGTACCTCTGCTATACCCACCAACCACACCCACCGGAGAAAATATGCAAATAAACCCAACCAAGATGGCTGTGGTCACAGAGAGCAGGCGGGAGGCTTGGGTTTTCCTGGCAATGGAGGAAGCCAAGCTTTCCACCTGCCCTTGCTGGCCTCTACTCAATGCTACAAAGTTTCAATTATAGAAGATAAATAAATTTTAACAAAAATGGCAGCAGCTATGGAGCTGGAGAGAGTAGGAGGCTAGGGTTGCCCCTGGTGATGGAGAAAGTCAAGCTTTCCATCTGCCCTGGCCTGCCTTGGCCACCGCTTAAGGCTACAAAGTTTCAATTATAGAAGATAAACCCCAGATACCAGGGCCTCTGCTTAGGTTGCCAGGGGGCGTGGCAGGCCTGCAAACCACCGAGAGCCCCTCACCCAGGCCGCCCCACACCCCAAGGGAACCCCCACCCTGATCTGGGACATCCTTCAGGGCAAACCAGCCAGCCCCCAACCATGCACCAGGCTTCTATCCTACCTAATAAAAGAGTAATATGCAAATTAACCATCACTCCAGCACACAAGATGGCTGCCTCCATGTGGACACAAGATAGCTGCCACAAGATGGCCAGCAAGGGAGGGTAGTTGAGAGGGACCAGGCCTATAAGGGAAGGCAGTTGGGGGCTAGGGCATGTAGGGTAGGGCAGTTAGGGGTGACCAGGCCAGCACAGGAGGGAAGTTGGGGGTAACTAGGCCTGCAGGGAAAGGCAGTTGGGAGGAACCCAGGCCTGCAGGGGAGGGCAGTTAGGAGTGACCAGGCCTGCAGGGGAGGGAAGTTAGAGGCAAACAGGCTGGCAGGGGATCAGTTAGGGAGTGATCAGGCTGGCAGGGGAGTGGTTATGGGGTGATCAGAAGCGGTTAGGGGCAATCAGGAAGGCAGGCAGGCGAGCAGTTGGGAGCCAGCAGTCCTAGATTGTGAGAGGGATGTCTCAGATTGGGGAGGGTCCAGGCTGGACTGAGGGACACTCCCTCCCCCAACCCGTGCATGAATTTCATGCACCGGGCCTCTGGTGTGGGATATAAAACAAAAAGCAATAAATGGCCCTGGCCCTTTTGGCTCAGTACTTACCAGAGAGAAAGGAGGGTGGGGGAAGGATGGAGAAGATAAAAGGGGTCAAATATATGGTGGCAGAAGAAACTTGACTTTAGGTAATAAGCACACAATATAGTATAAAGATGTTGTATTATAAAATTGGACGCTTGAAATTTATATGATGTTATTAACCGTTGTTACCCAAATAAATTCAATGAAAAATTTAAAAAGATTTTTTTTTAAGAACAGAAGAAACCAAACAAACTGTAAATGAAGTAACTATTCAAGTCACAGAACAATGTAGGCTGTCTAATGAGTATATGAATGGAAACAATACTTAAAAGTTGGGAAAAGGAAAATTTAATGAGTATTTTTATCCTTACTTGAAAGACCACTCTGGATTTCTCCAGCAGGTAAGTTCTCATGTTGGCTCCTATAATTTGATTTCTCTCATCAAAACTGATTTCTGTGTATTTCCCAAACCGACTGCTGTTGTCATTGCGGGTGGTCTTGGCATTTCCAACAGCCTGCAAAGCACAGAACTCCCTTGAAATAACCATTAAAAAGATCGTTGCATTCACATTACTGGAGCAGTGTTAGTAAAATCCAATCCTGTATGTGGTGGTGGGGGGGTAATTAGCAGAGGGAGGTTAGGGAGTGGGAAAGCAGCTCTCCTCAATTTCTGGGAGACGCTGAGCAGAACAGAAAGAGTGCAGGCTCTGATGTTTCAGGTCCCTAAGTTCTTTCTTACTTATCTGAGTGATGTTAGAAATGTTATTTCAGCTCTCTCTGAAATATGGGGGATATAAGGACGCTACAGAATTGGGAGGAAAATGAGATAATACAAAGTGCCTCACCTCATCTATGCCTCACATAGTATAAATGCTCAATTAAAAGTCCACATCCTTCATTCAACCTTTATTTCTATCCTTAGCCCTTACCACTTCCCTTAACCGAAAAAACAAAACAAAAAAAAACTGCCTTTTCCCTCTCTACCCTCCCCCCACAACACACACAGATACACTCTGAACATGATTTCAACTTTTTTACTCCCATCTTTGAATTCCGTCTCTTCTGCCTGTCTCCCCTCCTGAGCACCTTTGTCTGGAAGTGCCCTTTTTATGCACATGTACCATGTTTCCTGCCCGGTCACCACACTCCAATACCACGTGTGTTTACCAAGCCCCTGCTAAGGGCCATGAGCTGAGGAGGCAAAGGTGAACCCAACAGACCTGGTCCTGCTTTCACGGAGCTCATAGGCTGGTGGGCAAAAGGCCAACTCCGAACAAATAACCATAAAATCACCCATTAGGCCGAAACTGTTTTTGGCTCAGTGGATCGAGTGTCAGCCTGCGGACTGAAAGGTCCCGTGTTCAATTCTGGTCAAGGGCATGTACCTTGGTTGCGGGCACATCCCCAGTAGGGGGTGTGCAAGAGGCAGCTGATCGATGATTCTCTCTCATCAATCTTTCTGACTCTCTATCCCTCTCTCTTCCTCTCTGTAAAAAAATCAATAAAAATATATATTTCTTAAAAATCACACACTGGGCAGGGCTTCTGGACTCTACTATATTGCTACCTTATGTTTCTATTTAACTTGAAAATATACTTATGTAGAGGAGCCTTAAAACTTGGGGACTGGGTCTTATTCTTTTTCTTTATGTCCCATATTATCTGGCACAGTGGCTTAAACAAAATAGGTGGTCTGACACATAAATATTCTTTGAGGAGAAAGTAGAGAGGAGAGGTCTAGAAATCTTATGTTCTTAATTACTTGCTCTACTTCCAAATGAACCCAAATCAATCCCCTTCCCATTTTGTGAGGGGCCTTTGGGCCCGGCCCTGAGCCTTTCAAATGCCCCTTCTTCGGAGAGGGTAGTGTCCTCACCCCTAGCTGCTATCACCGCTGGCCTTGCCCACACGGGACCATCGATATTATGCTGATGAGTCCGCTGCAGGAAAGAGGAAGAGCCTTGCTACGTGGCATTTGCTGATTTTTAAGGTGTAGATACTACTACCATGATTGATTTCAAACTCCCATGGGCTCAACAATCGCTCACAATATGATGCCTGCATATTTAACACTCAGTTCAGGACAGTTGGTGCCTGCTGGCTGCGGAACTACTGGTCTCTGTGCACTGGTGTCTGTGGTGGAGGACATTTCCCGGGATGTAAATGTAAACAGGGGCTCCTGAAATCTGCTGATAGGATTTCTAGTCCAGCAGACAGCTAGGGGGGCCTCAGAGGCAGCAATCTCTGCCTCATCTCCTTCAGCTCCCACTGAGAACAGAGTTCCAGGCTGTTTCTCACCTCACTTCTTTGATCTTTATTATTATTACTAGAGGCCCAGTGCATGAAATTTGTGCATGGGGGGTGGGGGGCGGGGGAAGACGGTCATCCCCTCAGCACCGCCTGCACCCTCTCCAATCCGGGACCCCTCAGGGGATGCCTGATCCCTGGCAGTCGAACATCCCTCTCACAATCCAAAACCACTGGCTTCTAACTGATCACCTCCCTGCCTGATCACCCCTAACTGCTCCCCCCCCCCCCCCCCGCCAGCCTAATCACCCCTAATTGACTCTGTCTACCAGCCTGATCACCCCTAGCTGCCCCTCCCGCCAGCCTGGTCACCCCTTATTGCTCCCTCCCCCCAACTGGCCTGGTCACGCACAACTGCCACCCCCCCCCCCCATCGGCCTGGTTGTCCCCAACTGCCGCCCCTGCCAACCTGGTCGCCTCCAACTGCCCCCCTGCTGGCCCCATGTAGCCTGCTGTTCAGTCGTTTGGCCGTCCCTCACTAACCCCCCCGTCAGCCTTGTTGCCTGACTCAGCGTGCTGTTTGGCGGTCTGTCCAGTTGTTTTGGTCATGATGGCCCCTGGCTTTTTATATATTCGGATTATTATTAATTTATCTTTATTGTTGTACATATTATAGGTGTCCTCTCCCGCCCCCTTCCCCCTTGTCCCCTGCTAGACTGCACCTGGCCCCCAACCCCACCCCACCCCACTCCCAGGCCTTTATCACATTAGTGCCTCATCCATGGGCTATGCATTAATGCATATAAATTCTTTGGTTAATCTCTTCCCACTCACCCACCCTCACCTTCCCTTTGAGGTTGGACAGAGACATAGAAGCATGGAACTTTGGTTAGTCAGGTCTTTCAAGGGAGGGAACTATGGTTAGTCAGTACACACACACACACGCACACAGACCAGCCCACCTCTCCATCACCCCATGCCATGGCCTCGCAGCCTGCCCCACCCACCCGGGGCACACACCTCGGTTATGGGGTTAGACGCCAGCACCTTGTCCTCCACGTGGGCATTACTGTTCGACTTGCTGACGGTGGCAAAGTACCTCATGGCATAGCGAGCAGACACCGTCTTCCCAGCACCCGACTCCCCGCTCACAATTATTGACTGATTTTTATTGTTTCTAAAGCAAACAAATGAAAGGATTTTAATATGTACATTCCTTCTTATGAAAAGAGCAACATCTAGTCACGAATCAAAATGCTGGAAGGGACAAGCTGGAAGGGAAACTTTCATCACTCCAAAGCAAAATTAATTTTTTTTGGTGTGCCTCAGAATTTTAGCAGTTAGTTTAGGCGCAGTGAGATGAAACATATTGAAAACCTCTGCTCTAATGTACCTGTTTTCAGCACTCCAGAGAATCTCCTCCCAGTCTTTTGTGTCCCGTCTCCTGCGGAGGGTCCCCAAGACCAATCCCAGGTCTTGGTCCACTAGGAGGACTCACAGGACTCAGCATGGAGCCGCAGGCACGGCTAAGATTATTACACGGAAAGGAAACAAAGTAACTCAGCGAAGGGACACACGGGCCAACTCCAGAGGAAGCCAGGCGTCAAATTCCAGGAGCCCTCTCCCGGGGGAGTCCCACAGGACACCCTTAACTCCTCCAGCGGTGCGAGTGACAACACGCTTGGCAAATGCTGTCTACCAGGAAGTGCCCGGAATTCCCATTGGGGCTGGTCACCCAGGCAATCCCTTAATGTCATGGTCGGCAACCTGTGGCTCGAGAGCCACATGCGGCTCTTTGGCCCCTTGAATGTGGCTCTTCCACAAAAATACCATGGCCTAGGCAAGTCTATTTTGAAAAAGAGGCCTTAGAAGAAGTTTAAGTTTAAAAAATTTGGCTCTCAAAAGAAATTTCAATTGTTGTACTGTTGATATTTGGCTCTGTTGACTAACAGTCCTCCTAGTGCCCAGAGGAAATCAGATGTTCAGCATGAACCACGGAAGTAAGCATCAGTACAGCGAGCCACCCTTATCAATTAGGAAATGGGAGAACCTTCCTGAAAGCAGGTCCCCAGAGGCCAGCCTCGGGCCATGTTTGCCAACAGGCCTCTCGTGAGAGCAGTCTCAAGCCTATGACAACTCCCTTCTGCATTTCCCCACTTAAATATGAAACATTTTAAAGACATTGTTTGGAGAGCAGTTATTCAAAATATGCTTGGGAACATATTCAGGTGTTCTGTAAGTCAAAATGCTTTGCTGCATAACTCAGAGAGCTTAAACAATGCACTGAACTTTTCATGTCAAGAGATTATGGTGGTAGAACTTTACTATAATGTCATTTTATGTATCCGGCATGGCTGATGTGTCAGGGCTCTGTGAATACTTTACAGGGATTCTCATTCAAGCCTCACAAAAATCCTATGCCACTTATACCCATTTTACAGATAAGTAAAACTGTCTCGGAGAGAGTAAGAGGCTTAACCCATGGCTCAGAGCACACAGCTTCCCTTGTGAATGCTGGAGAGAGAGAGAGAGAGAGAGAGAGAGAGAGAGAGAACGAGCGCGCGTGCGCGCGCAAGCTAAGACTTCGAAGTGGGTGGCACCCCCAGTGTCCCTTGGCCGGACGGGTACGATGGGGCTGGGTTATTAATGGTGGGCTCTCCCGATCCCAGTCTAGCCTCAGCAAGTCCCACAGGAGCCTGTCTTATGTTTGTTCAGCTACAGTTAGACAGACAGACCTGTAGAAACCTGGCTTTTCAAGCTTGACACTGGCTCAGCCCTGCAGCTCCAAGCAGCGCATACTGCTGGCACCAGGAGCAGCCCTGACCCCTAGGGCCCTGAGCCAGGGACACTAATCAAGCGGATGTCCTGGACCTGCAGGGAGCCAGGGAAAATCCCAGAATGCACTGTGACAATATAGGTATGTTAGGATTGGGAGCAAACTTGCTGTGGCAGAAACCAAGGCATTTGGTTATTAACTGGCAATTCTCTAACCAACATTCATTCTCCTGTTTCTTCCTAGGCATTATGCCCCAATTTTTAGTGAGCACAGTGCTGCCCATATGAAATATTGCATATCCTAGGCTCCCTTATGGCTTGGCATGGCCATGTGGGTGGGGCCTGGACAATGAGCTATGATCAGAATGCTCTGCAGTGGGATTTCTGGAAAGTCTCCTTCACCTGGAGGGGCACAACCTTCCCTGAGACTCTATCATCTAGCATGTGCAGGAAATGCTAAGTATCAGCTTGGATCCAGCCGGTGTGGCTCAGTAGTTGAGCACCAAACCATGAACCAAGAGGTCATCAATTTGATTCCTGGTCAGGGTACATGCCCAGGTTGCAGGCTCAACCCCCGGAAGCAGCTGATCTATGTTTCTCATTAATGTTTCTACCTCTCTATTCCTCTCCCTTACTCTCTCTCTGTCCCTAAAATCAATAAAAACATTTTATTAAAAAAATTTAAAAGTATCAGCTTGGCCCTAGCTGGCTTGGCTCAGTGGATAGAGCATCAGCCTACGGACTAAAGGATCACAGGTTTGATTCGGTCAAGGGCATATGTATGGGTTGCAGGCTTAATCCCCAGTAGGGGGCGTGCAGGAGGCAGCCAATCAATGATTTTCTCTAATCATTGATGTTTCTATTTCTCTCTCTATCTCCCTTCCTCTCTGAAATCAATATAAATATATTAAAATACATTAAAAAATATAAGTATCAGCTTGGCCCCGATAGTGGGCGCTGCCAGGCACCAGGGCCCTGGTGATGGTAGAGGTCCTGTGTGAGCCCTGACTGCCCAGCAGCCTCCTCTGCAGGAGAGAACCACACGCGCCTACCTTGTTTAAGCCGCTATCCTCTTTTCCTGAGGACAAGCAGAGGAGCTTGGAATGGGAGCATCCAGCTCCCAGGTGAGGGCCCTGGTGCTGAGGGGACCAGGCACTGGGCCCAAGGTTACACGGTAAATAATGAGCAGGCCCAGGTCCCTCACTTCAGGTTTTCATCTGTGAAATGAGGGCAATGATGGTAGCTCAGCTGACTTACTGGAGTGTTGGAAAACTTAAAGATTACTGTGAAAGTTGTTTTGCAAACTGTGAAAGGATCTACAACGATAAGGTGGTGTCTTATTCTTCATGCATTACAGATGAGGACATTGAAGCCAAAAGAGCCTGGTTATGGGAAACAAATTTCAAAAGGAGCAAAAATATCTGAGTGCCAGCCCAGCCTCGTACGTGCGGTGGCTCTGGATTCTGTTTACTCCATCACGGCCATCCTGAGGGCGCAGGGATGATGTACAGACACGTGTGCGTGGTCATGGGTCCACAGGAAGCTTTTAATAAATGTTTGCCAGCAGAGCAAGAACTCCACAAGGCCACACAAAAAAAAAACAAGTGGCAAGATGAGGATCAAGCCCAAATCTACACTGAAACCTGTGTTCATCTACCATTGGGCTCTGCTGCCCTGGGTGGGTCAGAAAGCTTCAACATCTCACAGGGAAGAATATGTCAGTATTCCTCCAATCCAGCACACTGCAAGAGAGGCACCTGCTAGTCCCGGATTTGTAGGAACAACTTTTGATCACCCAGAAGGAACCAAACCCAGGAAACGCGATTTAAGCAGGTCAGGTAGGCACTGGGAGTCATCTGCTACTTGGTACAGGTGGTCTGCTCTACCAGTGCCCCTCGGTCTGATGGTCACATCCAATGAAACCATGCTTGGTGACTCCCCTCCCCGGCGAGGACCCAGCAAATGCAGGAGCATTAGGAGAGCAAGAGCAAGCCCGCCCGCAGGAGGCTACCTGGCCATCTGCTTGTATGCCTCTTCTGCCACCGCAAATATGTGCGGGTCCATGTCACCCATGTTCTGCCCGCTGTAGGCATGGATGATGGCATCTCCGTAGATAGGCAGCTGCTTGTAAGGATTCATGGCCACCAAGATGATTCCTGAGAAAAGACGTTAGACACAGTGATGGGGTTCTTACCGTCATCCCAGCTCTGCCACTTACAAAACCTTCTGTGTGACTCTGGGCAGGTCACTCAGCACTCTAAATCAGTTTCCTGCCAATGCCACCCCCAAGTCTTGGCTACTCCAAGAGCGATCGTTGAGGGGGCAGATGAGACTGCCCTGACACTGAGAGGCTTTGGCAATTCTTAATGGAAATATGATGATTACGTCATTGCTCCAAATAAGTAATGAATTTATCCACTCCATTGGGAAACTCAAACACAAGCTTCGTCCACATGTATTTTTCTTGGTAGTCCAACCTTAGCTCTTGTTGGAAATGCTCTCCACCCAGACACTTCTTTTCATAACAGACTCTAAGATCCAATGCCTGCACTGTTTAGGTGGAGATGCAGGCACGTGTAGGTGTGATTACATTTTGACAGCAGTTGGCGATCTAATCTAACGTAATATGGAACGTATCCTCAGGATGCTGTGGGCAGCACACACTGTGTCTGCGCGGCCCTCTCCCGGGAGCCCTCTCCTTACCGCTGTAGGTGTAAATGAGCTTGGACTCCGCGAAGCGGATCCTGAGGTTGTGCAACACTGCGGGCTCGTGGAGGTAGCTGAGGGCCGTGAGGTCATTCTCACCCACGAGGATGTCAGGGTTCCGGAGCGGAGGCAGAGATCCCGCATCCACGGAGTAATCCAGCTCCTGTGCACAAAGATCAACGTCAAGCTCTGGAAGCGAAAGGTTTTGGGTGTTTCTGCTGGACCACCATCTCTGTCCTACCTCCTCCCTTCAGAGTGACCCCGACACTCTAAAACCAAACTTACGTAGAGCAACGAGAAACTTATCTTCATGGCTAGCCTTTAAGAAGTGGAAACCAGGGGCTGGGATATTGGCTGTGTGTCCTAGGACAAGTCATTCGCCTTCTCTGGGCCTCTCCTCTCTCATCTGTGAAAAGACTGGCTGGACCAGACCAGGTGCCTCACTCCAATCCTACCACAGTGGTCTTACTCATATGTGGTTTAGGTGTTGGGTGCCATGGAAGCTTTTATTTGAAAACAGAATCCTGCTGCTGAAGATGGCATGGTCACCTAAAGTCCCTTGAAGCTCTCCAGCTGCCGAATCTGTTGGAAGTTGACCATGCTTCAGGATGAGAAGTGTCCGAAGAGGCCCGGGCAGGTGGTGGTCTCTCTGAGCGAGGCTCCCCTTGCAGGGCTGCCTGTGCTTACCAACCGCAGCCCCGGGCTGGGGAACCCCAGGCTGGCCTCTGCCGATTGCACCTTGTGTTCGGAGGCAGCTGCCTGAGCGGAGTGAGGGCCAGGTTAGCCTGCCGGGTGGTGTCCACACCCCAGACAACTGCGCCTTCAGACATCAGAGCGCCACGGGGCCTATGGCTACCTGCTCCTACTGCCTTCACTGGCCGTTCACAGCTTGGGGACCTGACTGAACAAGGCACCCAGCAAACTTGCTTCCCTTCCCGCTTCCCAGGCTGCCTTCCTTTCGATACCTGGTCCTGGACCAGCTCAAAGTGAGCCAGCTGCCCCTTGGCAAGTGTCAGCACTCAGCACTGGTTGTTTAATATAATCTCAAAACTGCCTTCCAAGGAGGGCATGACTATCCTTAGCAATGGTGAGAGAGACAGGTTCAGAGAGGCTCAGCCCATGTCCAAGGTCACACATGATATGGTCGGGCTGACCCTGAAGCCTGCAGCAGGATGGCCCTGTCCACGCCGACAGGGGTGTGGATTTTTGGTTGCTTGCTCTGCTCTGTGTAAGGAGAGCAGCTCTGGACCATCCAGGACAAGTGGACATGAGTCTTCAGTGCAGCTGCCTGTTCAGTCATCAGTGTCATTATGTTTGCAGATCATTTATCTACACACTTTTGAGAATAAAAAAAAATGCTGCTCATACATAATTTTTACATTCCCCGAGTTTTCTATTTTAAATGAACAGTCTCCTTTTCCAGTTCAGCCTGTGTGTGTGTGTGTGTGCGTGTGTGTGTGTGTGTGTGTGTGTGTGTGTGTGTGTGTGAGAGAGAGAGAGAGAGAGAGAGAGAAACAGGGGGAGAGAGGGAAAGACAAACAGCAGAAGGGACAGCCTGGTGGGGGAGGTAAGAGGAAAATGTGAAGAACATCAGCTTGGCAGTCGGGCAGAATTGCTATTCTCCTGCACAAAGCAGGCTCTGTCCTTCATGGTACAGACAGAGTCACGTTACAGAGCAGCCTGGCAGGCTCCCTCTCACCTGCCTCTCCCTCCTCCTCCGGGCAGCTGGCTCCGGGCCAGGAATGCCGCCACCTGAGGCCCTGCTGATATTACTAAGGCAGCGAGCCACCACAGCATCTGCTGTCTGAGATTTTCCTCCCAGTGCCATCTGATCCCTAATTAGATGCTTGGCTGGGCACAGGAGGTTTTCCAAAAATGCTGCGAGCAGTTTTGGATGGGAAGGGAGAGGCTAATGGAGGCACAGCACCCTCTCACTACATGTCTCTTGCACACACACTCCTAGATCATCTCATTTGATCTGCAGCAACCCTCCCTGTGCTGTGGTGCCGTTATTCACCCATTTCACATGTGAAGCAATCACGGGGCTCATGGTCACAGACCAGCGAGTAGCTGTGGCAGGATTTGAATCCAGATATTGATTCTAGAGGATGTGCCCCTCACATCTATGTTCATCTTCCTTCAGTATCTCAGGAAGTGACTCCCAAATCCAGCATACTCTGATTGGAAATGGTGTGTCCTGTCTCTAGAGAGGCTATTTGGATGCTTTGAAAATTCCAGCATTTTGTGTTATAATATATTCAGATGATCTTCCCCAGATCAGCTCTAGCATCCAGATGGGTCCGGAACCCTCTGTCCAGCTCTGTATCCTCATACTTGATTCTAAAAAGGTGAAGCCACCTTAACCATGGACCCAGTGGGATGTCACCAGCACCGGGAGGAATAGGACAATGTACAGTGGGTAACTAAAGCAAAGGAGAATGTGCGGAAACTGGCCATACCCAGCCTCGAGAGGAAGTCCTCGCCAACATGCTCCACCACAGGCACTGCTCAGCCCCGTCTCTCCCTCGCCACACCAACACAGACAGAGGCCCTGATGTCACCCAAAGCTGGACATTCCTGTCCACCTGTCCCACCTCCCGTCACTTTCCTCATCGCCCCATCAAGCTCCCTGTGGAGGTCCCAATTCTTCATGTTTTTACCCACCTGCGGTCGGACTCACTCTCCCTCTGCTCGTCTCTCACACCTCCCACTCCCGTCTTATTTTCTATCTCCTCGCTCTGTTTCTCTTCCTCTTCCCATCAGCCGAGGATATTTTCCCATTAACTTTTAGGGAGTGGAGGTGGGGGAGGGGAGGCAGAAATTGAAGTGAGAGAGACCCCCCCATGGATTGGTTGCCTCCTGCACTTGCCTTGCCCAGGATCAGGGATCAAGTCTGTAACCGGGACTTGCCCTTGACAGAAATTGAACCTGGGACCTTTCAGGCCATGGGCCAATGTTATATCCACTAAGCCAAACCAGCTAGGGCTCTCTTCCCATCTTGATGTTGTTTTCTGCCAGTTTATGCTTCGGGCTCAAACGATTCCCTCCAAGTTTCTTGTCTTTGCCCAGTCTCTGAGCTAAGACCTAGGAAACCAAAATGGCTAATCGCCTTCCAGCCTTTTCCGAACAGTGCAGACTCCCTGGAAACGCAGCAGAGGACACAGGCCTGTCTGCCCCACCTCGCTGCAAGAGAGGCCCAGCTGAGGCAGGGCACTTTTGGCCTTCAGTTGGGCAGCCTGGGGTGCGGGTAGGGGGATGTGGAGAGAAGCGAGAGTGGTACACACACGTGTGCACCCACAGCACCAGTTGGCCATTTTGGGTGCCTCCTTATGGGCTCTCCTGTGGCTGGTCCCACAGAGACCATCTGTCGTGTCCCCCACCCTCCCACCCCCGGCCCCGATCAACACACACATACCCCGGTTACCCCCTCGTATGTCATGGCAGCCACAGCCAGCGAGGACCTACCGTTCCATCCTCCAGCAGGAGTCGCAGGACTTTGTCACCGACTCTGTAGTCCTTTGCTATCTCAGCAGATTTCCAAACGTCTTCAGGATCCGGAATCCAAACCCTGTTGTACTGACCGGCACAATGAGACGGGCTTAATCTCGGCACTTCGACAATAAGACACAGATCCCCTGGTGATTAGACTCGGAAGGTTTGTTTCTGTTCCTTCATTAGGATCACTTGCACCTAAGTTTTGCTTAGGAGGTAAACTTCGGTGTATCTGCCAGGCATCAGGCCTGGTTGCTTCGTTTTCTCGACAACAGATTCCCAAAGCCTCCTACATCCATCGGGAAAGCTGAAACCTGGGAGTGACAAGAGTGCCCCTAAAGGGAAGACCTGAGAGCTGCCTGCAAGCGTTGGAGCAGAGATTGGGTTCACTGCTGATGGACCATGGGGCTCTGGGCCAGACCCTTAACTACTTGTGCCTCCTTTTTCTCATCCATGAAATGGGTACAACAAGGCCTACCTCACAGATTTGCTGGGAGGGTAAATTAGACACTGTACTTGAAAGCACTCTGCAAAGTGCTGTAGAGGTAATGTCACAGCAGCATGATCCTCATCTTGCCCCCAAGGCAAGCAGCCCAGGGTTCCCACTGTGGGAAATGCAAGTCCAGATGGAGCTGCCAAGCTCAGTTCCCAACAAGCCATCGATACACCCAGCGCTGATGTGCAAGGCTCCAGGCAGAACCACACTGCTGTGTACTGGAGTGTGTCCCCTCCAAAACCCATGTTAAAGGCCCCATTTCCAATGTGACTGGAGACTGGTCTTAAGGAGATAATTCAGGCTAAATGGAGTCATGAGGCCCTGATCTTTAGGATCAGTGTCCTTATAAGAAGAGATCCCGGAGGGCTCGCACACACACAGTCTCTTCACCTGACGCGCTGCCGGCAGGCCATGAGAGGAAACACTGAGAAGGCAGCTGCCTCCTCCCAGGGGGAGAAGTCCTCGCCAGACACCAACCCTGCCAGCCCTGCAACAGGACTTCCCAGCTTCCAGAACTGTGAGAAACAAGTGTCTGCTGTTTAGCACCCAGGCTGTGGTATAGTCTTACGTCAGCCCAAGCCGATGAATACACACACCTAATAATTCACATATTAGGAAGAGGGTGGTCTCACACTCCAAAATTTACCAGTCATACCTGAATGTTGTTTGAGATAAAGCCGAGGTGCCCAGTCTGTGTAGTTGAGTGGATGAATGTCGACCCAAGACCCAGCAGTCATGGTTCGATTCCTGGGCAGATCATGTGCCCGGGTTGCAAGCTCAATCCCCAGTAAGGAGTACGCAGGGGGCAGCCGATCGATAAGTCTCTCTCATCATTGATGTTTCTCTCTCTCCCTTTCCCTTTCCCATTTCCTCTCCCTCTCCCTCTCCCTTCCTGTCTTTGAAATCAATAACAATATATATATTTTTCAAAAATCTTCATTGTTGAAGGTATTACATATGTCCCCCTTGTTCCCACATGGACCACTTTTAGCCTGCCTCTGCTCCTCTCCCCAGGCCTTCACCTCTCTATTGTCTGTGTCCATGTATCATGCATACGTGCATGCATATAAGTTCTTTGGTTGATCACTTCTCACCTCCCCACCCTCCCCACCTTCCTTCCACATTCTGTTCTTTTCTTCTGTTTCTGGATCTAATTCGTTCATTAGATTCCACATATGAGTGAGATCATGTGATACTTGACTTCCTCTGACTGGCTTATTTCGCTTAGCATAATACTCTCTAGGTCCCTCCATGCTGTCTCGAAAGGTAAGAAATACTTCATATATATATATATATATATATATATATATATATATATATATATATATATTGTTTTATTTTGTTTTGTTTGTTTGTTTTTCCTTAGAAAAATAAACATAAGATGACTGCCAAGTGCTTACACTGCAGCTGTCATCCTAGGGTCCATAACTTGCTCCTCTCTCTCTTCCAGGTGTGCTGTCTGCATCATCCCTTCCCCCCAGACCCCACATCTAAGTCTCCTGTAGCAGTCTGTAAATTCATTCCTCTGCCCATTCATTCATCCATTCATCCATTCAACAAACACTTGCTAAACATCTATGATGCACAGTGCCAGGTTACCAAAAAGGTAAGGCATCTCCTCATAGTCATCATGGTCTTCCTACTAACCAGCCAATCATGGGCCTGTGCATATGTGCATACCTTCATCTCTCATTCAAGTACCAGCAGTTTCTATCAGTAGGGCACCCCTCCAGGATACCCTAATGTCTTGGGACATAAGCAGGCCAACAGGGATAAGAACTGGAAAGCACCCCCATGAAGACAGTAAGCAGCACCCAGGAAAGAAAGCTGTTGAATCTAAAGGCGCAGTAGCCCAGGATCCCACAGCTGGATGAAGCCCAAGAGGCCGGCAGTGTCTGACCCTCACAGCCCACAGAACACTGGCCTCCAAGTTTCCCAGGAGCAGAGCTAAGATGAGCTTCACAGTTTTCATAATAGCCCCAAACTGGAAACAGGCTAAATGTTCATTAATGTGAGAATACATTTTAAAAAGAGAAAGACATACAACTGTGGCATACTCACACAATGGAATCCTACTAACCAATAAAAAGTCAACTACTCTCAAAACCGTGGATAAAGCATCTGCCTGCAGACTGAAAGGTCCCAGGTTCGATTCAGGTCAAGGGCATGTACCTTGGTTGCGGGCACATCCCCAGTAGGAGGTGTGCAGGAGGCAGCTGATCAATGTTTCTCTCTCATCGATGTTTCTAACTCTCTCCTTCTCCTTTCCTCTCAGTAAGAAATCAATAAAATATATTTAAAACAAAAAACAAAAAATCAACTACTGATACAAGCAAGAACTTGAATGAATCTTTGAAGCACTAGCTTTACACAAGCGAGTACATTCTGTATAACTCCCTTTACATGAAGTGCTAGAACAGGTAAAACTAACAAACAAATCCAAGCAATATTGCCTCTGGGGGTAGACAGGGCCTGGGAAGGTGCCTGAAGAAATGTTCTGGGGTGATGGCTACATTCTATGTCTTGATGGAGTTTGGGTTCACAGGTGCAAAGCACTTTCAAACTTCAGAGAATATAGACTTAAAATCTGTGCATTTCGTTGTCTGGAAATTTTACACACAGAACAAATAGGAACTCTTAACAATATGCATACTAAAGTATTTAGGAGGATGGGTAATGAAGTATACAATTTACTCTAAAATGCTTCCAAATATATTATGATGGGTTGAGGGCTAGATAGGATAGATATGTGATACAACAAATATGGTGAAATGTTCATGCTCAAATCTAGGTGGTGGGACAGATGCTCACTGTAGAGTTCTTTCAACTTTACGCTTAAATTTTTCATAACAAGTTGTTGGAGGAAATAAAAAAAAATAAGTATAAAACACAGTTCAGGGTTTAGTACTAGACTTGGGCAAAGTTGGCTGAGGAGCATAGCTATTAATCTGCTAGTTAATATAAATTGCTTCACTTAATAAAATATATATATATTTAAAATTGGCTGGATATCAATCATGACTCCCTAGGTTAGTTGTGTTGCTTTAATTATTGACAGCTAATTAACAGCAGAAGCTTGTTGAAATGTAGCATGGGAGGGTAAGATCTGAGAGAGGGAGGGAGAGAGAGGAAGCATGACTTGGCAGCAATGACACATACTCTGATACACCCTTCCCCCTGCAAATAGGTGGACAGGAGCCTAATAAACACACACAGACACACACCTCTCAGGCACAGACGCCCACACTCTATGCATCCTTGTTGCCATGGGCTACCATTTTCTACCTCAGGTCTGCTACTGGAAGTATTTCTTAGTAAGCTCATAAAGCTGAAATCATTAACAGAATATCCCAATTTATCACAAATTGGTCTCCATAGGATTTTAGAGCTGAAAGGGCCCATGAAGGTTGTCTATGCCAGGTGTTCTTCACACAGCGCAGAAAGCTGACTTTAGTGAAGTCTGTCAAGTCCTCCACGGAAGCTGGGGTCTGAGAAGTAATGTTCAAATCCCTCAGCCAACCTAAGCCTTTGTTTTCCTGATCCCTAACCTGGAGCCCAGAGAGGTCAGTAACCCACCAGTTACCACACAGAGAGTCTCCAGGGGAGCCAGGGCCAGGACTCCTACTTGAACTACTTTTAACTACACGAGTCTGACCCTGAAAACAATTCTGATCTCTCTGAGCATGTGGGGGTCTGTGGTGCGGACACATTCCTGGGACCAGGTGCAACTGCTTGCTGAGGACACACAGATCCTCCCAGCACTCACGTTACATTTGTTCCTTTGGTTTATTTCAGCTCAGAGTAGTGCTACATGGGAGGCCCTATTAGGACGTGTCTGCTCTCTTCTGGTGTGAACACAGTGGCCCCCTTGACCCCCTGAGTTCTAGGACTCCCCGCCCCCTACTGGGTCCCGTGCCTCTACCGAAAGCGCTGCCAGTCATTTAGGCTGAAACCCAGCCTGGTAAGTAAACACACCAAAGTTTACCGAGTTCCACGTAAGTTACACCCATTCGGTCCCTCCCTTCTTCCTCTCATTCCTTTACCCACAAGGCAACACTTCAAAGCGGAGGGAGAGCTAACTTTACGGCATTTGGACAAACACGCAGTTCCTGCAAACAATGTGACTCGCTCTCATGTGATCTCCCAGTGTGGTTCCTTTTCCTGGAGCAGGAGCCACCGACTCAGGCCACCCTCTGGGGCAGGCCCATCTCCCACACCTTCCCTGGGAATCCTCCCCCTGCCAGGAGACTGTGGTGTCCCCAAGCCATGGGAGGCGCGGGAATGAGGCAAAGGCACTGACCCTTAGGAAGTGATATGTTCCCAGGAACGTGTCCAATCCGCATACCCCACATGCTCACGTGAGAGGGAGCAGCATCTTCCCTGGTTGCCCCTCCCATCCCCTCTCTCCCTCCCTCCCCCCTGCCTCCTGCCCCCGCCCATTTGAGGGGGTCTACTGGCATCTGCAGACCTCATGGGGATCACGGAATGTCACCCGTTTCCTCCTCAGACACCTCTGGCCTGGAAAGGACTCTACACATTCTGGATCAGCCAGACCAGAGTGGTGACCCAGTGCTCCCTCTCTCTTCCT